AAATTCTAAGTTAAGTATTAATTTAAAAATTTTAATTGAAAAAGATAAAGAGTTTGAAATTAGAAAAGGAATTTGCTCAAAAAAAGCTCCACTGATAGAATAATCTATTGGAAGAAGATAATTATTGGAATGTAATGAGAATAAGCAGAAGTAATGAAATAATTCAACATATAAATATTATAAAAAAAAAATCAAAATATTTAGAATTTGTAACTTGAAAAGTAATTTTTCTTGAGAATGATATAATGAGTCAACTTATGAGAAAAAAATATGTAATTCTTTTAGACTCTAAAATTTTATACTTCATATAACCTAAAAGGAATATTACTATAAATAGGAAATAGATAATCTTCAATCAAGCTTTCAAACAAACCATAAGGATTCATAAAAATTACAATAAAAAAATACAGCTATTTTATTAATCTAAAAGAATTGCATATGTTTGAAGTTATCATTGATGAAGTTCCTCTCTATTATAATAGCAACATCTTAACTTATTCCTTGAATTAGGAAAATCAATTATTTCCTTTTTATAACTATTATTTATTCTTTAATTTTTGTCATATTCATTCTATTACAATAGTTCGGATAAATGAAATTTCTTTCACAAAATTTTGGGAATATGTGGTTTAATATATTTTGTAAATCAGAAAAGTGATTAAAGAGCATTGAAAAGTCAGAACCTAACATAAATATCATAACGACGCTCACAATTGGATACTTAATTAAAAAGTTAACATTTTAAGATATCAAGTTTCTATGTTGATTAATTTGCCTAGTGACATATGGTTATTGATAGAGTCTTTATCTTAAAGGTTTAATTGAAAGATTTTTTCTTTAGAGCATTAAGACTTTAAAATAACTCTTATCCAATAGACCTCCTATTAAGTTGTGATGATCGATCTGTTTATTTTTCTTACTATATATCATTCCATAACTTTTGGTTGTTTATTAATCTTGTACTAAACTAAATTTAAATAGCAAATAATGGGTTCATGTAGATACTTTTATTTCATATTCTTAAAGGACTATATATATTTTGATAGTTGTTATATTCCTGTCTTAAGAATTTTCATTTTTACTCATTAAAATATATAATTAATTTTGAATTTTTTGCTTCTCTTTTAATTTATCATATTAAATTCAACCTTTAGAGTGGGACTTTTGGTGTTTTTTTTGTTTATATGAAGCGATTTAAATGTTTCGATATTCTTAATTCTTGGAATTTAAATCCTCTTTTTAACTTTTAACCTTTGACTTCTTTAGTCTTATGCCTATCTTTGAGTTATGGATTTAATCGTGATAAATTGACTGGATAATGTCCCCATAATTATGGGAATGTAGTCATGAAATTTGGATCTAATTCATTTACTGTCCAATCAATCCATTAATCAACCTATGATTATTAGAAGGGAGTAGCTCTTAAGAATTATTCTAAGTATCATACCCATATAATCCTGATTCTAATTTTGATCTAGCAAGATATCTACATATCGCATTGCTTTCATAAAGGAATCCATCATTTGTTTCAATGACAGGAATTTTAGCAAATGGGTTTCTTGGCAAATGTTCCTTTGATTCGCATAGATAGTATCCAACTCTAACTGCATTACTGGGATTTAAAGAAGATCGGCAACTAGATGACTTGACTAAGTCTAGGATTAGTTGATGGGCCGTATAACTTGAGTGACATATTTAATAAAGATATTATATTTAGATCACTCATTATTCTTTGGAATTTTCAATAAGCCTTACAAACTGTTAATAATTTAATCAAAAGTTTGTCTTTGATCAACATAAAGAGACCTAGACCAATAATGCTTTCATCTCCTATTAATACTTAAAACTAAACTATTTTATTATTTATAATTTATTAAAATGAAAAAACACTAATATTTTTAATTAAGTTTGATTCGATTCACTTTTGTATCAAAGTGTCCTCTCTTCGTAGCAATCTGCCTATGATTGTATTGCTGAGTCCTTTAATAAAAGCACCTTATTCATTAGTGCTCTTTCTATGAAATGAGTCTATTTTCTTTTAAAATTCACTCAACTCAACCTTAATAATTATCAAGTTCTCCCTTAATTCTATATTAATAGGCATTATTAGGTCTGATTTATAATTTAATTTAAACAGTTTCCCCACGTTATCCCTTCTTTGAATAATAATGATTGCACGAAGATTTATCAACGGTGGCAAACTTTGTCCTCAAAGTCTTCAGCATTGTTTCTCTTCATTAACATTCAGTTTGTAATTTATTCTCTAATTAATTCATCCAATTTATAACTTTTGGTTTCTCTTAGTACAATCTTAAATTGATAGGCTGATTAATTTATCAAATCCTCCTCCATAGTTTTCATCCAATGGGGTTAAACCTAACTATCTTGTTTTTTTGTTGATCTAATTTCTTATCTTACCCCTGGTAAATATGGGATTGCGTTTGATATTTTTAACTGATTTATACATAATATTAAATATTTCAATTTTACTATCTGTTCACGTAATTTATTCCTTTCGGTTTTAATTAAATCATAATTATTCATTCTAAAAATGAAAAAATATAGTTCCTAAAACTCTTTAGATTCAAATTTAAACTTATCTCAAGCCCAAATTGACCTATGCTCCTCAATGTAAAGTCTTCCTTTGTGCTTATACACAGATTTATTCCCATAATTTTCACCCATAAAAGACTAGTATTCCTAATTATAAAGTCCTCTTCCTTAGAAATATTAAGAACTTTAAAATTTTTCTGTGCCTATAGCTTCAGAGCAAGGATAAAATTTCAATTAAGGTTTTTAAATCTGTAAACTTTTGGAAAGCAAAGTAAAATTAGATACGAAAGTGTAAATCTAAGAAAGTTCGTAAAATGAACAAAAGGGAGGAGGTTTTCAAATTTAAAAAGGGGAATCCAAGAGGAGTCCAAAAATGAAATAGATTTAGGAGAATTAGTAAGTTATAAAGGAAGATCTTAATATGAATTTAATGAATCAATTTGAGGCATCATTTCAATTACACAATCCAAATGAAGAGAATTAGTTTGAACAACATGAGTCTAATTCCATGTTATATGAAACAGAAAAAGGCTAGAGAAAACATGATTCCTATAGCAAAACAAAGACCTAAACTGAAGTATAGAACCCAAGTAAGCCGATTTAAAATGTCGGTAAAGAACCTGAATTAATCTTTGAGGAATTTATTAGAAGAAAATTTGTTTAAATTAAATAGGGTAAAGAGTAGAAGATTGAGAAAAATATAAAAAAATATATCCTCTCATTATACGTTAGTTTAATATGTAAAGTTGTTTAAAAGCATGGTAAAGGATGTGAAAATATCCGAAATGAATTGCAATTAATACTATATAATAAGTATAATGATTGGAAGACAACTATTAGCACTTATTTCTGCATCAGAAAACAGTATAAATAAGACATACCTAAAGAAATCCAAAATAAAATTGCTAAATTAACCGATTACATAAAAAACAAAATGTAGGAGCAAAATAATTAAGAGGACCCTAAATTTCCGGATAAAAAGAAGGAGAGGCCTTAATTTTCGTTGGAATATATTGAAAATAAAAAGAAAAAGAAAGTTAGGTTAAATTGTAAAGCATTATAGGCGAGATTCTAGACAGGAAAACTAAAATCACTAATGTTGGACTAAGCTAAAGAAAAGGTTAAAAAATTAGAACTCATAGATAAATAAGAATATGATTATTTGATACAATATTTTGATTTAGTAGTTGAATTGAAAAATATCGGTGGGATTAAAAAATCTATCTAAATAGATTCAAAGGATATTAAAAACTTACATGAAAACACAGTATTGAAATAATTTATTGGTACCATTTAAAACATATTACTAAAAAACCCAGAACAGAAAAAAGAACAAGAGGTATCAGAAGCACAAGAAACATTAGATTAACTACTTTTGGAAGAATAGAATATCATATTTGATTATTAAGAAACATATTAGAAGATGTTTGTGAAATTTCTAGAAGAATTTTATCAAAGGTATGAGAAACGCACAGAAATCAAAAACTAAACAGTAACTAAACCTTAATTATTATAGATCAAAGAGAAGATTCAATAAAAATAAGAAGAAAAGTCGAAATAAATATGCTAAGAGTAAGAGTAGGTGAGTCCAATTTAATGAAATTAAGTTAAAAATGATCAATGAAGTATAAATAAAAATATAAAAATATAATGAATATTTTTTTAATATTTTCTATTAATGATCGTATTATACATATAAGTAAAATATTAAGAATTATCAATATAAGTTTTCCCAATTCTACTATCATTGTAAACGGATTGATTTTAATCTTATAATAATTTAGGCCAGCTCAAATTTTAGTATAATTCATTATTTCTTTAATTCTTTACATTTATTAATCTAAGCCATGTAATGGACTTTGAGGATTCAGTTTTTCAAAAAATTAAACAAATTTCCCATTAATTAAGACAAATTTCGTTTTTCACTGTCCAAAGTCAATCAATCAATCAAGTTAATATATTTGATATTACATAAACTGCCATTAAATCTATCAATCTTCAATAAGTATATTTTCTAAAATCGAGATTCCTATTTCCGGTCTTAAAATTGACAGAAATCTTTATTTTTACTGTCACATCTTTTTGCTCCTAATTCAAATTCATCTGTTTGAATTCTAAAAAAAATTTGGCTAAAAGTTTTTGAAACTGAGTAGCATCCACTTTAGCAAAGCGAATTTCACCTATTGTTTTTTAGAGAATATATGTATTAAATTTAATTTTATAAATTCATGCATTCAAATATACTAATGATATAACTCCATCAGATGATGCTGCATATGTAGCATTCTCAGTTTATGTCAAAGCCATAATTTACTGCTTTTTATCTAAAATTATATGAATGTATTTGTACCTTATCTAAATGGTTTATAATCAACAATAGTAGACAGAGTTTCTAAATTGATGATTTTAATTTATCCATCATTGCAGGCACAAATTAGTGAAGTTTGATACTGATTCAGTTTCATAAATTTGATTTCTGTGAAAGGTAACTTAAAATAATAAATTTATCATATTACTTCTAATGTTTTGTAGATTTAATTCTTTCTGATATCTAAGAAATTGACAGTCCCTTTTTTTTGATTGCCAATCAAAATAGAATTCAAGGGAGTAGAAAATAAGATGTCTGTACCATTAAAGTTCTCTTATGCTACAATATTACGATTAGAAGGTAATAACATATCATACAAACCAAAATGAGGCTTATTAGTAGAACTATAAATAGAAGCAAAAACTGTTCCCTCGTTAATAAAGGTCAGATCAGTGGTTGGTCTAACTTTACTATTAAGTTAGAAGAGTGGTGTATTGAGTTTGTTGACTCGATTAAGTTTCCAAATATAAGCACTATTATTTATATCATGTCCAATAAATAATTCACCTGAGTTATTAAATTTAAGAAAATCAATAGAATCTCTTTATTGAGAATTGAATTCAGCAACTACTTATGTGGATGATTTAAAAGTCATTACATTGATCATTCCTTTTCCCCCTTGTAAAAATAAGGGTAGATGAGGATGAGAAGCCAAACATTACAAATCCTCCTCTGGAATCAATTTACTAGAACAGTTCTAGAATTTTTCCATAAAATCCTTTTCAGTGAAGTCTTTGTATTCTTCATAAGGATGTGCTCTTGATTTTAAATATGATTTTTTCTCCTTATCCAATCCAACCTAGATTCCTAAAGCTGAGGAGCATAGTTTTACAATGTATGGTTTATTTGTTTAAGATGCTTCTGTTCTTATAGCCTCATCGATAGTTTCTTCTTCTACCAAATTATAACCATCCAATGATCTATTTTTGTGTTAGAGAGTGTTATAAAATTTCATATGCTTTAAGAATTTGCCATATAATACAAACCCTTCAATTGGATTGGTATTATTAATACATATGCTCTTAATTTAATCGGACTTTATTTTAAATACTTCAACTCCTTACTTAAAGATTTTATTTTTGAATGTGATTATTGATTACTCGTCAAAATTACTTATTGGATATTTGAATGCTTATTTAGTTCTATTTATTGAGATTTCCTCCAAATATTGATCTAATCCAACCTTTTAGCAAATTTAAAAGAAATGATTCAAATTGAAAATCCTTTCAAGCTACTTAAAGTATTGACTTTTAGCAAATGAAGTCTCCTTCAAAACCATTCTTAGATCTTCAATAAAATTCTATTCTTAGGAGAAATCAGAGAGATTCTTTAATAAAGTGATAACCATATCATTTCTAGTGGTCACGTATTATTCAGCCATTGTAAAGATATTACTATAACTAGTTATTGCAATATTGAATATTTCTAATTTAAAGTAACTCTTAGATATAGACAAGAAGTATTTCACAATCAAAGATTGCAAAGTAAAATATATAAATGAGTTCTATATATTCTCCTCCTCTGTTGTCTTTTCTTAACTAAGATCCGATTATTATAAATCTTCAAGACTATCTGATTTCTATTACTCCTATTCTGGTGCAGCTGGTTTATGCTTTTGCAAATAATCCTATTCACTAACATTATATAAATCTTCAGGATAAGCATCTTACAACACATCTAAATTTCGATATGCTTTAAACCCTTTATTTGCATAGAGTCTTTTATTTTTGATTGCTGATTTCACCAACTCACAGAAATCATCTCTCAAATTCTCGTATCCACAATCTTATACATGTTATTTGTATACAGTATTACAAAATGTCTCCAACTTTCTTAATTGTTCAAACGCGTTCTCCCATAGGTGTAATTCTAATGCCAAAATCAAAGTCATGAACAATGCCAATAACTTAATGATGTTCAATTTCAATTTGTTATCAAATTTCTTTTGATAATATTAGGATTATTAAAATAGTTTCAATCCAACATCAATTTCATAGAGACTCTGAACAAATGTTAAATAATACTCTTAACTCTTTTCGGATAAGGGATAATCGAAACATATTCTATACAATAAACTCTAAGTTTCTTGACAAAAAGAAATGAACTCATCTAGCCCAGTCTAATCATAATGGATAGCAAATGTAAGAAAACGAGAAGGAGACTTTAACTATCTTAATTTCTTCAATGCAATATCATATAGTTTAGTTTTGTTATGATTTGTAAAATTGGCTAAATCATCAAGTTTCTACATTAGTTACACATAATTTGTGAAATGCTCTTAATCCTCAATAGCTTAAACTATGTACATTTCAATCTATAATTCGATTAACTACTCTGATTATTCTGTTTGTTAATTTAACTCTTAAGCAAATATCATTCCTAATTATGGCATTTAGATGTTGTAATAATATTCTACTGCTTATTACTTAATGAATTCCTAATTATCATTTATCTTCTTAATTGGAACTTATTCTACAACTTCTTCCTCTTCTGATTCTTCACTTTCATAAAATTGAGAAAAGATATCATCCTCTGCCTTCTTGCTCTTCTTTTTATTAGCATCAATGCTTTATTGGATTTCTCTTTTCACATTTATATTTTCCTTGAGTTTTTCAACCAACAGAATAGCTGACGGATGATAATACGATAACTAAGGTGTGAATGTAGATGGCCAACTAATGCAGACAGCCTTTCCTGAATTATCATATTCTAATATATGATGTTCAGGTTCTCTTAATAAAACATTAACACTATCAACATATCTTCCCAATAGATAAAAACCTATATGCAATAACCAAATATCATTCATCTCCTCACCACTTTTGATAAAATAGTCTTAGATTAGTTATTCACCAACAGGTCCACCTTGAGGTTCATGGATCTTTGTTGTTAAGTAAGCTAATTAAATATCCTCCATATATCTAGCCATGACATTCACTGCATCATTCAAATGTCCTCCTATTAAGAAAAAGGCAGCTGCATCTTAGTATCTTTTTTTAGATACTAAGGCATATGCATTCTTTGAAGCAGCTGATTTCCATCTGGGTTAAGTGAAATCTTATTGCAAAAATTCATATGTCGATTTGTATTCTTTGCCAGAATTAACTTCCTTTTTGAAAAGCGTTGTTATTACACTCTTTTTACCCAAAACTATAAAGTATAATAACGATTAAAATGGGTCTTTAGATTATTTATAAATCTACAATGCAATTTCTTCCAATCTTTATTTAATGAATGACAAATCCATCCATAATACTGCTGCATATCTTTTAACTAAATTCCAAGATAAATCATCTGAATTGCCAATGCATTCTTACCAAAGAGTTTCTTTTTACAATGAATGTAATGCCCAAACAACTTCTTTAGAACTTAACACTCGATTTCTTTTGTGAGTAGGTTGATTTCTGAAGATTTACACATGGAACATAAACATTGCAGCATAAAAGTCTAATGAACGTGAATTATCTTCATAATATCTTAAGTAATCTAGAATTATAGTAATCTTTAATGGATATTCTTAACAAATCTTTTTAAGTACATCAACTGGATGTAAAGTATAATCATATGAATCCTTGTCTTACAGTTTCTTTGTTACATATGTCTTAATTGCATCAACCCATAAGGGTTCTGGCTCAGAATTCAAATGATATAATTCTAATAAATACTTATATGGAACCATAAAATGATTTCCCAAAGTACCATGATGTTTAAATTTGAGACATATTAGCTTCAATATGAATTATACCAATTGTATTTTACCAAGTTGTATTAATTCACTCAGGAAATCATAATCTTACAATTAAACGTTGTCTATATTATCGATAATTAAAATACTTTATTAATTTATTAATTTGTAGCTTAATGTACTAGGCATCCAAAACTTGTCTGCTAAACAACGGATTAATGAATTTCCCAATACTTTCACTTTTCGGCCAGTTTTTACTATTAGACAGTCCTTTATTGTGAAAAATCTATAATTTTAAGGCATAGAATATTTCGATAATCGTTTACAATAGATTGCTTCTCTATTATTTAAGTACTTTCTATAATATTAGGTAAATCAATTACTATTTAATCGATGTCAATTTATAATTTTAATCACTCTTATCAAATTGTATCGCAAATGCCGTCAAGTAATTATCGGTTTATAAAATGAATGCAAAGTTATTTAATGGTACAACCTACACTATAACTTTGGAAACATCATAAAGAGCCTTGTCTACTCTCACAAGAAATGATTGGAGATTGAATCTAACCAAAAATTCTCCTGATGAAGAATGAAAATCAATTTCATTTTGATGACTCATCACATAATAAATAGGCTGGATTCCCTTTAACTATCCAACATCTTTGATATTGTAGTTTTTAGAAATTTAAACGATTTGCTTCATCTATTCATTGTATCCCTTCAATGTTTTCCCAGAAATGGAAATAAAAGATAGTTCTATCGATTGTAAGACTTAGAGTCTTTCATAAGTGAAATCTAATTTCCATGTCTTCAATTCTAATATTTATAAATCCATCTGTCCATGTCCATAGATCTCAAACTATATTTAAATTAATGCAATTTTCGAGGCTGCTATTACTAATAATTGTAAGTCATCTATTTCATAATTGATTTTTCTCAAGTCAGTAATTTTATCTCGATACTCATTTGATAGATGGTTGTATAATTTGAGATGCACTTCTACTAGTTGATTTTACTAGATAATAAAAGCCTAACATTGTTAAGCATTAGATGATGTTAGTACAATAACATCATTTTCTTTAATTTTATCCTTAGCAATAAACATTAGCTAATCTACTATAAAGAATGGATTTTACATTTGGATAGATCTGAATTAATTTTCCATATCTTTTATTGTCCCTCAACAATATGATATTCCTAACTAATAACACTATTCAATTTTAATTATTGCAAACACAAATAATTCCAATCATTTATTATTGCCACTTGACTTTTACATGTGGAGAAATGTACGATATTCTAAAATATGAATTTTTCACATTGAAACATCTATTAGGAATCATCCTTCAAATTCACACATATTTTGATTAGATTCCACAATCTATCGAATCCGATCATTTCAATTTTTTGTCCTTCTATTTAATCAACTAGAAGAATCTTTTTAATTTGATTGAAGATGTTACTTTTAGTCTTCTTAATTACTTTAACAGATTCTTCTAATGAATAATTCCTTAGGAAATCTAATTTGACAACACTTAATTCAGATTCCTAGTGTAAGAGAAGGTAATCCACACTAGATTACTCTGTGTCCTATACTCCAAATTAATCAGATTCTAAATATGTATTTTTCCAAGGGTAAGGTGTTAATCCCTTGAGGTAAATGAAACAAAATGATGAGATTTGATCGAAATGCAATGTGTGTAATTTACAGAAATTTTTGCATTGAATCATTTCTTACCATATTGTTAATTGGTTGGATTTGGTGAGTGTAACAATGGTATTAGGAGTGGGAAATGGAGATGGAGCTATTCTAAGTGTACCTCGAAATTTGTAAGAAATTACTTCGTCTTAATGATCCAAACTCACTCTTTATTGTTGTGACAGAGCTCCTTCTTAGACTTCCTTGATTGAATGGAAATCCCACACAATAACTGTATTTAAATGAAGGGTTGTAAAATAACGAACATCTGGAGAGAATTTCACATTTGCTATTTAGTATTCTAATTCTAATGTGTAGATTTCTGTCAGATCAATTAATTCATATTAATCTAATTGTCCAAGTAATCTATTTTGCTTATGAGTTGCCTTCCAAATGTGAAGCTTATTTTATGAACATCCTATGATATGTTCATCTGTTTTATAGAATTATGTATATATTACCATCAAATGAGAAAAATGCATCTCTTATGGGATTTGTGCAATTTTTACTGTACCCTTATTCCCAGCCATTCAAAAGGGGCTTATACGCTATCAATTCTCTCTCACAGAACACGACAAATACTCCTTTGCTTGACGTTGCCACAGCCACGATATCACTTATATAATTCCTAAAAGTCTAAGCACAATCTCATGATGTTAGTACTTGCATATGTAGCAATATTTCTTTGGTGTAAATAATGAGCTTCTCTTTCGAATAGGTTAGAATGCACTCGTTCTAAAAATGTGAGACACTTTTCAGTATTTGATACATATTATTATATATAATTAAAATAAATGAAGAAAGCCAAAGGAGGAGATTTTAATTTTGCTTCAAGAGCACAAAAGATTGATAAACTTGAGTTCCCACAATCAACAGAGGATCGTTTCATTGTCAAAGCTAATAAAGATGTATTTGCAAATGTTGAACTAAACTTAGGGAGTTGGATTCCAATGGAAAACTTATGATGACAAATTGTTAGCTAGAAATATCGACAAATAAACCTTTGATAATACTGTGGCTGAAGCTACTCGTATTTGTCGTAATTTGTGGAGAGAAAAATAAAGAGAAGAACACAAAGACCCAACCAAGGCATATTAACCACTTCTCTATGTGTCAGTTTTCTTAATTCTTTTGGCCTTCGTGTTCCTTTTAGTTTTAATCTACGGAAGTAGAGACAAATTAGCATTGCTATATGTTGCAGTGGCTATTCTATGTCTAGCAGCATGTATTTGAATATTGTTAGTTAGTGCTTACTTTAATAGTTGTTGCTAAGACTTGGAGTTTAGAACCACAGTTTATGGATTTGGAAAAGGTACAGCTCAACAAAGTGACCGAATACTTAAACAATCAGAACTCATAAATTTATCAAAGCAAAGGATATAAATGGTAAGTTGAACCCAATCTTTATTGGATTGAACTGGTTTCCATTTGATATATATATATATAATTATTATATTATATATATTTTAATTATATGCTAGTATAGATTACAGTCCATAAAGACTTTTCTCATCCCTCAGTCGAGAGGGACACTTTTCAGTTGGATGTTGAATCTACGATATCCATCGAAGATCTAAAGGTACCAAATACATTCAAAGGGGAAGGTGCTTATAACTTTAAGATATATCGACTTGGGTCCAGATGACTTTGACTTAATTTAGGAATATGGCAACACCAAAATAGTTAACAAATCTAAAGTTCACGAGTTATTGTTAGGATCAGATAATCGACTTAGATTTGTGATGATCCAAAGATCAAAGGGATGTTGTTGTTTCATATTTTGAAACTCATATATTAATTAAATCCTTCAAAATTACCTATATAAAACTATCTCATATCATCAGATTCTACAAAGAGTTGTAATTTATTATTAATTAATCAAATTAAACAATATATTGCTTATAAATTATATTGGAAATTAATTAAAATAGCAGCAAGATGCTGTGATAATCCTTCTTAAACACAAACTTAAATACAACTCTTTATTTAATATACTTATTTAATATTGTTCATTTTTTTTATTTTTTTTGTTTTTTTGAATTGGTTTTTTGTGAATCCTATAGAGTTGTGTAAGCTAGTTATTATGGAATAGGGATATACCAAATTTCATGATCAAAATGATTACAAAGGCAACTGAAAAGAAAATCATATATGAAAGCCATGAGGATTCAAGAGCTACTCCGAAGATTTTAGTTTTCAATTGATCATCCTTCATTTGAGGGTATAAATCATTAAATCCAAACTCTTCAACTCCTTGAGCTTTTTTCAATTTGGTCAAAAATTCCTATTTAATAGAAAACTCATGATACTTCAATCATATCAGAAAGAGTTTCATCATCTTAAGTGAATTTGTATTCAACTTATCTGTCAAAGTATTTCTTTAAATCGAATCCACTCATCAAATGATAATAGTTTTTAGCATCAAATATTTTATTTTACAATTCTGATAATATCTACCTAATAAATAGTTATTCTCACTTTTTATGATCCATCAACAGTCTGTTTATTTACGCATTGTTTGACTGCATCAAGTTTGATTCTTTTAGATGCAACGTATTGTTGTGCAATTTTTTATTCAAAATCCTAAATTTCCTCATAACTCATCATGATTTTATTTAATTCATTTTCTATTTGGGTATCTTCCTGTATTAAATAATTGTAAGAGACAATAATGCAAGAATTGAAAATATTTGTACTTTTTAGAAGATCGTCATTTTATTCTACATAATGGAGATAATTATAACCTTTATTGTTTATCTTTTTCTCACTTGATTAAGCATTGGTTAGTACAAGAATCACGGCAACAAAAACGAATAAGGGTGGCATTTTTATTTTAAAAATAAATTAATAATTAATACTAAGAGTCAATTCTAAATAAGGATTAAAGATTAAACCATTTGGGGAGTATTGATTAGGTTTAACTAAGATAGAATTATTGATCCAATTTAAATTATTTTATTTCTGTGTAATAACGATATATATAAATTAATTATAATATCAGCAGCATTTATTTGAACTTTAACTACTTTATTAACCTTTCGTCTAGTCAATTGCATATCCAACTCGGACTCCTGGAAGTTCATTCTTTTGCTGACTCTTCTGTACAACTTTCAATACTTGTGCTGCTGCCTATGAGAATGTCTATTGAGTTAGTTTAAAAATTACTTCAATAATGTTCAAATTATCCTTAGCGCTCGTTTCAATAAAAAGCAAATTGTTTTCGTAGGCTAACTATTGTCCTTCAGATTTCGAAACTTTACGCCATTTATATTATGAATATTATACTGTTTTTCTAAATCGACTTTATTTCCAACTAACACTATCACCATTTCCTGTGTCCCGTGTGTTCGACATTCTTTTATCCATTCTCTAACGTTTTCGAATGACTCTCTTCTTGTGATGTCATATACTAAAATTCCACCTGCAGCTGATCTATAATATTATCTGGTGATAGATTTAAAGGTTTCCTATCCAGCAGTGTCCCAAATTTATAATTTGATTTATTTGTTCTCTAAGTTTAGAATCTTGGCACCGAATTCAACTCCCACTGTCATTTCATGTTTCACTCGAAACTTCTATTCCAAAAATTAATACAAAATGCATGATTTTCCAACAGCTTCATTTTTATCATATGAGTATTACCTGTATCTCCAATGATGATAAACTTAAACAAATAATGATAAGACATTAATAATAATATTCAAATTAATTCAATTCAATTACCATAATTCTTATTAAAATAATCGAAATCTATATACTTTATACTTTCCATATATTTAATTTACTTTTTGTTTATTTATAGATGTATAAGTTATATAATTGAATTATGGAATAATAATAAGATAATTACCTATTGTCAATAACAAAAAGGCTTTAGTTTTATTTTCTTTTTAAAATCCACATTATAGTTAAAATTAAACTAAAAATAATTAAAACATCAAATATTAAATAAAAAGAAAATAATATTATTGTAAAGTATTATCCCTAAAATTCATACTTGAAATATGTAACCACCTAATGCATTTTAAATAAAAATAAAAATAGAAGAAATAAGCATGAGAATTTTATAAGCTATTTTTATCGAAACCAAAAGTAACCAAAATATTATTAATAAAATAAAACAGAACAAGACTTATTCATTATTTGACTTCCTTAACTAAGTTCTCAAACTTTTAAATTTCTTTGGACTCTTGAGTGACTGCTTTGATAACATAATGGTTATCACAACTAGATAGAATAATGATTGGATTTACTGTGGACAATACTCATCAGATTCATCATAATCTGTGACGTCTTTTCGAAAAACTTTCTTGCATTTTTTGCAGGCGAAAATCATTTCAATGCATTTTGAAAGAGGATGGTCTTCTAATTCTTAATGACATTCTGCACAATCGAACCATCTTGTTTAATAATAAAGGGAGTGTTTACTTCTTGCAACAGGGAGCTCTGATGGCAACTTGGGCATTGAGTATATGTTTGCACATATTTCTTTTTTAATTTTAAATAGTATATTAATTTAATTAAATCTTTATATATGTCGAACGATAACCCAGACGGTCAACCATTGGATATTGAGTACTATGAGACTAATTATCCATACTTGAATGTTAAAAAGAATTTACTTAATAACACATTGTCTAAGTGGCGAAGGGCTATCGCTCCCTATAACCCATTTGCGATGCAGCAAATTCCTAATTAGAAGCGTATGGGTATGGGAATTAGAAATGGAAATGGGTTCTACTTTCCAGATCCTTACCCCAACAGAGTGAATTGGAGTGTATTTTTCCCAACTCACTATGATCCTTTGAGTGAATAACACTTCAGCAATCATGGATGGCAAACTAGAAAGTAATTAGAAATCCTATTCGCAATAGAGATGCTCCAATGTTCACAGCCTTGGCAATCAGAGCTCAAGCACTTCCCAGAGGTTGTGTGAGACAGATCGAGTAATTCAAACGATGCCAAAGTGTGAATGGAGTGACTAAATGTCAAGAAGAAGCTGACAATATTATATCGATATGTCCAAAATGGGCTTTGGAAGGATTAAAGGAGAAGAAGAAGCAACTCGACAAGATCGAGGCCATACAAACATTGCAATATCGTTCTGTTTTAGAGGTCTCTCCTTACAACAAGGTATGTGATCCTCATTGACATTCAAGGGTAGAACAGTGAAGGATGTTTCAGACAAGACTTGGGCTGATGGACACAGGGACAATCTTAGACCTGACACCATGTGGGCTGATGAAAGATACACAAACATTACTCAAGCTGAGATCAACGAAGCCAAAAAACGTGTTGCTGCCAGGGACAAGGCAACTGGAAGGTAATACTATTATTTTGATGGTTTTAGGGTCAAAGAAGCTGTTTATCAAGTACATCATCCAGATCTTTCGAGTTCTCATCTGAGCGAAGATAAACCTCTATATCCATGATTTATTAATATATGCAACGGAAAATATTAAATAATAAATATAATAATAAAACAAATCTTTAAGGATGGTATCAGTTTCATGCTTATCTAGGGTTTGCTTAATATCATTCGTAAGATTAAGAAGTCAGAAAAGGAATTGAGGATTCTTCGTCTTGGGCTTGGATAATGCAGGAAAAACTACTATTTTAAAGGCATTGTCAAATGAAGACATTAATCAAATTGCTCCTACTCACGGCTTTAACATTAAAAATTTGCAACACGAGGGATTTAAACTTAATGTTTGGGATGTGGGAGGTTAGGAGGTAATTCCAATACTACTTTATAGAAACTTCGAGAATATTGGAGCAACTTCTATGAAAATACAGATGCTTTGGTGTTTGTGATCGACTCATCTGATCAAATGCGTTTGGAAGAGGGAGGCAAAGAGTTAGATAAATTACTTGGAGAGGCTGAATTAAAGAAAGTACCCCTCTTGGTATTTGCAAATAAATAAGACTTGGTGCAAGCCCTTCCTGCTGATGAGGTTAGTATTCTATCTAATTAAGATCTCTGATAGTTTGAAATTAAATAAAATCAACGATAGATAATGGTCTATTGTTGCTTGTTCAGCCAAAACTCAAGAAGGTTTATAAGAAGGAATGGAATGGCTCATCAAGACCGTCCAAGACAAATGAATATTAAATATTAAATATATTTAGATCAAAACATAGATCGGAGTATTAATTCATCTCCTAAAATTCACAAACACAGATCTCTCCACATAAGGAATCTATCAAATTAGAATTCTGTTGTATCACAATTTTCCTCACTTTTCAGAGTCAGAGACTTAGATGCATCTTATAATCGAAATCACTTGTTACTACTCTCACTAAGCTAATGAAATTGAGGAAAAATACATATGTAATCCAAGAAAAAATATACATTATTCTCAAAGATTTTAAATAATATAGAAGGATGAAGAAATATATATTAAAATCGATTGTATATTCAAATTACAATAATTTAGTTAATCTAAAGTAATACTTCCCTTAGATAATAAGCATCTCTCAATATACAAATACTTTTGATGATTTTAAAAAATAATCAATTCTATTCTGTTTGAATTCAGATGTTTACTATCTATATTAAAATATCAATTGCTAAATGGTTTGTTGAAGAATAAATTAAACTCAATCTATTATATTCATTCATAAAATGATACAAGTACTTATATTATGGAGTTCTACACTTCTCAACTTAAAATTAAAGTTATAATCAGATTACAATCATTCGATTATCTAATAAAGGTTTAGAATACTTTAAAAATTAACAATCTTCTAAATATCTATTTCAGTTTTCTTGACTATTTTACTAAAAATTAAATAATTTGATGAACTACTAAAACACATCCTAATTTCTAACTTTATAGTGTATATATAATCTTGAATCAATTACTGTTTAAAAGATTTTATGAATTCTTTAATAATTAATTCTATTTATATATTATATTTTATCTAATATAATTCTTATAATCAATAAAGAATTTGATTTCAAATAATCCTTGGCAGACTAATTAATAATAAAATTGCTTTGCTTAAATTAAATAAATTTTAAATTTTTATATATTTGATATAATTATATTCTGGATTTATATAAACTCTCTGACTATTAATATAAATTATACAATTATCATAAATCACTTTAATTAAATTAAAAATGTGGTAAATCAACATCAGAATAACATTCTTCAAGTTCTTTTTCATAATTTTAATTCTATTTATCGTCAGGTTTATCTAAAGAACCAAGTATTTCAAATTCATCTGAGGCTTAAGCTTATGCAAATTATGCTGGAAATGATTAGTTTGCCAATTTTGGTTAACTAACAGTTACTTATTACTTGGGTATTTGTTTTTCTATTTACGATAACTTTTCATCAGGTTTCCCTTGTGCTTTATCAATTGTAAGTACTTCTTACGCTTTTTCTAATGTAGGTTTTCTTTATTTTTAAGTAGATCCTTAAGGTTTACTAGTAGGAATAATGCCTTTCTTTTATTATTACTATTTCTTTTCTTTTTCAGAAGTTTACTTTTCATCAAGAATTACTTCTTAGCCTTCATCGACTGAAATATCATCTATAAGAATATCTTTAGAATTATCCTTTTGTTCTTTTACTTCTTCAAAGACATCCTTTTTATTCAACTTATCATCCTTTAATACTTCTTTTTAGGGTTCAATAATTTCTTAATTTTTAACTTATTAAGTAACATTATTATGTAGAGTATCTTTATTTTGTTAATTATCCTCATTTTAATTAGCTTCTTAATTTGAATTTAGAAAAGAATGTCGCTTGAGATTTTTAAATTTTAAATCATTATTTAAGAATTCTTGCTCTAAGAATGATAATAAAATAGTAGGAGCTGTTGCCTTAAGAAAGTCATAATGATAATATTCTTGATAAGGTGTAGTTCCATCGGGTCTGGGTATCCATTAAACCAGAAACAATCCATTTTCTAAAGTGATAGATTTAATTTTATCTCCTTAATCTGATTAAAATTAAAGTAAGGTTTAATTTTGGACTTATTATTATTTGATTAAATGTTTTTCATTCTAATTCAAATTATTTTGTAATTAAACTTGCTATTGCTACTAATTCTGTGATTATTAAACTAATAATTGCTACTACAACTATTATTGTTAATGTTAAGGCAATGGTAATATATTGGACTTGACATTTTTTTCATTTTACTTATCAATTTTTTTTTGCCTTTTAAAAATTGGGTAGTTTTCATCAGTAGGAATAATAGGTAATTTAGCATGATTCTCAAAATTTTACATCTTGTTATTATTTTCTCTCATTTTCTACAAAGTTAATTAATCAAATCTGCTACCACAAACAGAGAAATAATTATAATCTTCTATCAATTCCTAATAGTTCTCCTTCATATATTTTTCAGTTTCTTGCTTCTATTCATTATTGCTGTACTCTACTAGATATCTTACTCCACCAGCATTGGTAACAATCTTTTTTAAGATTTTCATTGGTTTAATTTCTGTTTCATCTGAAGGATCGATTAAAATCAATTCACAATCGTTCTTCTTCTATGACATAAATTTAATAATTCTGCACAATGGTAGTAATATTATTAATATATATTCACACAAAATCCTTCTATTGTTTATCAGAGACTATTTAACTTTATTATTAAATTTATTATTTAGTCCATTATACTAGTTATTAACAATTGTATATAATTGAAAGGAAGAAGTGATATATACTAGATATACTGATGAATGGATAGATAAATAGAAGGGATTCAATAGAATCAATAATAGTCTTTTAATGTTAGTTAATACAAAATGAATTAATTATATAATTTGAATTTTAAATTAAACGAAATGTAAGACGACCCAACATTATTTACAACTCTAAAAGGACATAAGGATACTATTACAGCATTATCATTTCATCCTGGATTGTATGTTAATAATTATATAGTAGAAAATCAATAGCATCAAGTGCCAATGATGGTGTAGTGTCTGTGTGGTAATTGAAATAACCAAGGAAGGTCTATAGATTTATGGGTCATAAAGGCTAAGTAAGTGATGTTCAATTCTCTCCAAATGGACTATTGATTGCATCTTGTGCTAAAGAATGAGACTATAAGACTTTGGAATAATACAGTTGAAGGAAGTTCAGTATCAATAAAGGCACATTCAGCTCCAGTCAGAAGCGTTCAATTTTCTTGTGATGGTTAATTATTAGTGAGTTCAAGTGATGATAAATCTGTCAAAGTTTGGAGTGTTAATGATCGTAAATTCCAATATGGATTCCAGCATACAAATTGGGTTAGGAGTGCAGTGTTTTCATAAGATGTTAGATTGATAGCATCAGGAGGTGATGATAGAGCAGTTATTATTTGGGATTGTGATTCAAAAAAAGAAGCTTAAAGATATAATGAACACATTGGAGTAGTCTATAAGGTTCAATTCTCACCAGATTCAACAATATTGGGATCATGTTCTCATGATAAAAAATTGAAATTGTTTGATGTAAGATCAAAGAGAGTTATCTAACATTATGATGCTCATGCAGATTCAGTCTTGGATTTGAAATTTCATCCATCTGGATAATTTGCTATGACTTCTGGAGCTGACAGTAAGGTCAAAGTATGGGATCTTAGAATGGGAAAATTGGCTTATACTCTTTATGGTCATAATGGCTAAGCTACCACTTGTGCATTCTCTAATCATGGAGATTACTTTGCTACTGGAGGATCCGATAGTATGATTTTAGTTTGGAATACTAATTGGGTTTGCAGTGGTCAAGAATCTTTAGATGAAAAACCTAAGCAAGTAAAATCTAAACCCACTCAACAGTCATTAACATAAGGATAATAACAATCTTCATAATAAAAAGAAAATGTTTAATAAACTAATAGTTAATTACCTAAATAGAAGGAAACTGTTCTATATTCTAATGCAGATAATAGTTTACACAAGAAGAGTGAATTTAACTAAAGTGTATAATTATAGAAAGAGGATGTTCCAGCTGAAGTTATCACTCAATTAGACAATATCAGTGGTTAATTGGAATTAATTACAAGGTTTTTATCTCATTTAAGTGTAGGACTTTATAAGCCCTTGAGTAAAGAGTTTCCAACAATGAATAATAGATTTGTAGACTCAATCTTGCATTAACTAGAGATTTTGAAAGAAGTGAATAAATTTAAAATTAAATCTATGACCTAAGACCCTTAGAAGAACAAGTTTAGGATTAGGATGAAGAAGAGAATGTTAATTATATCAAATTTCATCGTGCAGCTAACAATTGATTTAATTTAATTTTAAATATATAATAATTTATTTTAAAATGTCTATTTGGCAGGATAAATACACTCTGGATTATCACATTTAAGTATATAATATTTAATGAAGTAATAAATAAAATTAGATGCATTAGAAGAATTATGGTAGGAATACAAAAAATAAGAAATAAGAATTTCAAAATAAAAATAAAAATATGAACAAAAAAAGAAATATAACAATAAGAAAAAGAGAAAGAAAAGCAGTAGTAGTAGTAGTAGCAGCAGTAGTAGTAGTTCATCTTCTACAAGTTCTAGTTTTTAGTCAATTACTAGTTCAAGTGAATCTGATAGTTTATTATCATTACCTTCTCATTCTAAATCAAAAAATAAACAAATAAAATCTTAGACCAAAATTCTAGATTTTATTTTTGATATCAATCCACCTAAAAGAGATTACTTGATAGAATATGAATTGAATGGATAAAAAAAAATGACTTCAATGAAAAATTTGAATGAAAAAATATAAAAACTAAATTCTTAATCACTGTAAATTTAAAATGATGATGATACAAATAAAATGTAAGATGATAATTTAAAGTATCAATAACATCTAAATATTATAGATAAGATTTAAAAGATGAATTAGAATTAGGTGCCAATAGATACTACTAATAAAATCCATTTGAATACTGCTATAGATGTAAGTAGACTGGACATTAAGAAAGATAATGTACTGAGTAATTAAACATATAATGCAATTATTGTTTAAGTTATAAACATGTCGGAGACATATGCTCTAATGTTTCTTGTTTTAGATGCAATCAAATGGGTCATAGAAAATAAGATTGTAAGGTAATCCATAAATATAAACATGTAGTTTTAACAAAGATTATAATAATGTATAAACTGTGGGAAAAACACTCATAAAGAGTAAGATTGCGGAATTTTGATTTACAATTTACACAATTTTTTAGATTAGATCGAATGTTTAGTTTGTAGAAATTATGGCCATATTAATTGCTTAAATATTATGAGTTGATTTATTGTTATAATTATTTCATAAAAACTCATTATTTAAACTAAATTTAATACTTCATTAACGTTTTTTAGAATGAAACATTGTTATATATCAGTCTTAATTAATGAGGGACTAAAATCGAATTTAAAAGCTATAAAAATAATTAAATTCTTAAAATATAATTAATAAAGACGAATTATTATCAAATCCTGTTAATTGAATCTTTTAATAAAATCATTTTAGAAAATTTAAGTCATAAATTTAATAGTTCGAATATCAAAATAGGTTAATAAGGAAAGTTACTCTAGAAAGAGATATAATGACAATCAAATATGTCAATAACTTTCAATGTAGGAATATAAAACTAATCATTTCCAGAAAATAAAAATTAATACTTCCTTAGTTAAACTATTAAGCAAATATCTAAGACTTTTTCTGCACTTGGTTTTTTGTTTAAATAGATTTTCAGAAACAAGATAATTAATAATATGAATATTTATTTTGTTGTTTTAAAGTTAAATATAAAGTAAATAAAAATGATCTCAAAATTAAATAAGGATAATTAGTTTGCTTGTAAGCAATTTCATATTAATTAAAGCATTAATAGAAAAATTAAGCATATAATAATTTTAAGTTATTAAATTAATATGAATTATAATTACTATCGCACACAAATAGACAATTAGAATGCTATCCATTCAAACTCCTAATCAGTTGGTAAATTAAAGAAGGGAATTGTCTTTCAAAATTACCCCTTTAATCCTGTACAGAGCTATAACTCCAATATGCAAGTGCGTCCATTTACTTCTTAAACTCAGCCTCTAAAAAAACCCTTCAACTGCTCAAGTAATTAAAATTAAATAATGGAAAGTCCATTCATCATGTTCCTAGAGCAGCAACTTCACAAACTTAAAGATAACCAAATATACTGTTTTCTGAGTAATTAAATAATAATGAGATGGAAACAAAATAAAGTAAACGATATATGAAAATATACTTTCTCAAAAGTAATGCACTTGATAACACATTTAGCAAACTATCGCACTATTCTTCATAATGTAATGAATAACAAGCTCAAAGCTCTACCTCCTGGAGACAGGAGAAGATTGTCAGTTCTTAATATTGTGTAGGACAAATTTAAAGAACTTACAATTTAAGAAATAAATTTGCTGATATGTCAACATGCAGTATCCGAAAAGTTTTACATTTATTTTTCAGGTTAATAATTAGATTATTATATTTAGATTCCGAGTGGATTCCATGTAGTAAATGTTGTTAGACTCCCATATATTTAGTTCTTACTCCATAAGCTTAAAAAACTGACGTATTTTGTAGCTAATGTTCTCGAAATCTCTAAAATCCTCCAAGATCTGCTGGCATCATAAGTAATACAATTTTACCAAAATCTTCTTTTACATAATTTGGACACTCATTATAAGAATAGAAAGAGAGATAAAAAGTGAGTAGGATGATTATCTCTGGAAAGTATAGAAAGATAAATCTAAAAGATGTTTATCATGAAGTGTAAGAACCCGTTTTACCAGAAGAATCATATAATTTAGAGTTTCCTGTTAAAGAGAAATAATAAGAAAGTACAATTTTAGAATTGAAAGACTTAATTAATGAATTATTCTGAAAATAAAATCATTAAAATTATTAAACAGTTCCATTTACTAAATCATCAAAATTATATTGTTCCTCCTCCTAACGTATTTTATCTTTTTCTAAAAATCTATATTTAATCTCCTCAATAACATTCTAAAATCTAGCTTATAACCTATTTTCTATTGATTAATGTATACTTGTTTTGCTTAACATAAATTTTTGAAGCATTTTGAGACTAAAATATTCTTTCCAGCAGATATACAATCTAATAATTAGATATAATTTGTACTCTTTAGATGTTATTTGGGATTGTAGAATAAATTTGAATGGCTATGATACTGATGGCTTCTACAAATTATGATTTATCAAGGAAAACCTAGTCTGAGTATTCTTAGCCTTCTTAATTAAGTGATGCTACAGAGTAAAATATTGATGTCAATTGAGTTTACGATATTAAAATATTGGAAAGTTCAAAGTCTTAACAAAATTTCAAAAACTCTGATAAGTACAATATTGAACTTTATTATTTTGCATATTCTTAAAAATACCAATCAAAGACTGATTAAATCATCTCGTATAGTTAAATCTATTATTATTATATGATTTATATACAATTTATTCATCTTGTAATAGATCAACTAAAACTTAAAGGATTTACTCCTTATTGTCATCAGAAATTTATTTCTCTAAAGGTAGGATATTTTATTGAATTAGTTCGTTTACATCCATACCACATTTTTCAGCTATGATTGCCAAACTAATTTGAAATTGTCCAAAAGTCATTTTGCCATTTGTCAATTATTTATTCTTTTATTGAGTTTTAATAGATTAAAGGCCACATAACTTTGAATAGATCATATCGGAATCAGTTATAGTAATTAAATTATTCAAAATCCCTGAGTGTAGTAACAATTTATTGAATTTTGTATTTTTCAATGATTAAATATTGCTAGGTTCTCCACTTTATGCAAAGAACTCAAATAGCTTTTTCAATGAAGAAATGTAAGATTGATCTATATCTGACAAATATTTAGATTGTCTCAACATTGAAACATTAACCCTGCTCTCATCAACCTTCTTATTAGTGTTTGCAATTTATATGTTTTAAATATTAGTATGACTCAAATTATTTTATGTGTTTGATATCATTTAACTTTATTGGATTAGATTCTCTTATTTATAGACTCTACTTTTTTCTATGTTATAAAATAATCTCACTTTGTCACTTTATGTTCTGTTTAGCTTTCTTAAATATTAACTAAAGCCTTCAGACTATTCAATTTTATCAAGTAGCAACCTAAATTGAGTAAATTCATCTAAATTTGGAACTGTTTTTGAAATTATTATCAAACTTTCAACAAAATTATTCAAACTAAATAAGTAATTTCCACTTTCTTATAGATTTAGGGTTTGCTATCTTATTTGTATATTATCAAAAATGATTTGTGCTTAAGATTAATTTATATAATTAGGCAATATTTCACATTGAGTTAAGAATTACATAAATTACCATTACACTTTGCTTAGGTTAGTGCTTTGATCTTCAAAAATAAATTTATGTAAATTAGACAATTACTATTAAATGGGTTCTATGAATTCTTTAATTTCATTGCTTATTGGTTGGAGTACGAACTGAATTTATTGTCCAAATTCAGTAAAATTTAATATTTTTTAAGATAACTATGAGAGATATTCATTATATAATTTTTGAAATGCTTAGTGAACTTTTTGTTAGGGGTAGAGAATCATAGCTAATTTCGGTATTAAGTTTTAAAATTGTTCAAGTGTGAGGCTTTCATTATTTTTAGTTTGTTAGGCATATAGAATATCACAATCTCGATTTGACAATAATTACGGCATTATTTGAGCATCAGATAACATTTTAATAAATTTGTTTGATTTCAAAAATCTAGTATTGTTTCTATTTCCAAAACTTGCATAAAATTTGAAAACTATTCTAATGTTCAGTCTTATATCTTCCATTCCAATGCCCTTCTTTTAGGGTGATGCATTTTTGCTTTGTTATACAGTTGATTGATGAGTATTACCTAGAGTTTCATTTTGTTATTCCGTTATCACAGGCATTCCAACATTTACTTTAATTTTAGAATAAGAGAGTTGGGTGCCTAAATTTAAAGGTTGATTATCCCTCTGCAAATAGCGATTGAAAGAATCCAATTCATTCTCATCTATATTTTATGTTTTTTTCTAACGATCCATTATCATTTTGCTTATCATAATCGTTAATAAAAATAAATAATAGTAAATTTAATCAATATTGTTATTCTATGCTCATTCTTAGCATTCTCATATATTTTTATATAATTTATATTCCAAGATCCCCATATTCCATTGAATTTCCTAACTAAATTTGGGAGTGTGCAAAAAAATAAATTTATTTCTTTTAAAACTTGATATATATTTAGATAATTCTTAATCTCCTTATCTAATTTATTTCTAGTAATATAGCCTAAAGACAATTTTATAATATTCTGTTATTTTATACTTTGCTGAAGCTGAAATTATTTAATTAATTTGTTAAAAGCAACCATGTAATCTCATAGATAAATTTTAATGTATTATTAATCACTTTTTGATTTATTTTACGATCTTAACCTCCTCAACAAGGAATGCTCTGATGATGCGATTTTTTAATGCTCCAGCACTGAGGACACCTCCATATGGTCTTGAGACTGTTCTTTATCTTCTAGCAAGTTATTTGAGTTTTGTTGGTCTGATTCTTTTGAGACCATTCAAGACGACACTCAAATTAGAATCTGCACATGTTGATGCGCTAGTCTTTTTATTGGGATATTAAGCCACAACATTGCCACCTAGAGTAGATGGATTTAAATACCTGGAGTCTTGACCTTTCTGATCTTATTTGATCTTGTGTTATAGCTGGTTCTTCTACGATATGTGACTCTTACGCCCATGTATTAAAATCTTAATTAAAAATTTTTTTAATATTTTTATGGAACAAATTACAGAAGAACAAAAACAAGCTATTTCTAAAAAGAACATCTTCATATTTGAACTCATAGGCACATTCTTTTTAGTGTATATAAGTGTATGCAGTCAGTAATACAATTAAATACAATTAGGAATGAAGCATATCAAGTAGCATTGGGATTATTTGGATGCATGCTTGTATTTGGTAGATTGAGTGGAGGCCATTTCAATCCAGCAATAACATTGGCTATGGCATTGGGTGGAGGAATTCCATATGGCACAATGTTCTTCTATTTCCTTCCTTAATTTTTGGGAGCATTTTGTGGGGCTGCATTATCATTTTTGTTATTGAATATGGACAAGGCTCCATATATAGAAGAGTAATAAATTACAATAAATTAGTGAACCTATAAAGGAATTGGCTGCATCATTATTTGGAGAAATGATTGGATCAACAATCTTTTTGATTTTTACTCTAATTTGCTTTGTTAAAGAGACTTAATTATCTGAAAATAGAATAGCCACATTAGTCATGCTATCATGTATATACTATGCTTGTCGAGAGTAAAATTGTTGAATATTTTGATAGATACACAATTACATCGAGTAATAGTCTTCTTAATCCAGCTGCTGCTCTGAGTTTGACCTTGTTTGACTGTTTAGCTAAGAGTTGGGATTAGATGATCAATATGTGGATTTATGTCGGAGGACCAATTGGTGCTGCAATTCTGGCAACAATGTTTTATTCACAATTATACCACTCAGTTACACATAGAAAATGAATTTATATAATATTATTCATGAACTAAGATGATTTCGAGGTATTATATATCGATGTAGAGATTATAAAAGATCTCAGTTGAAGTCGGTGATCCGAAGGTCTAATCGGGACTTAACAAGTACACAACTTATTCAGTTCGAGGAATGGATAAGAATGGATAATTTGATGTGATACGAAGGTTTAGCGATTTCAGACTTATTCGTCAATTCCTCATAACAAAGTGGCCTGGTTGTTACATTCCACCACTTCCACCACGAAAGGCAATTGTAAATATATAGACTCTATAACTTTTAGGGAAATATGGATTAGAAGTTCATAGATGATAGAATGCATTCATTATAAGAATGGATGAGGATTATGGCTCAATCCAAGTACTTCTGGTATTCTGAAGAATTCCAGTTATTTATAAAGGCCAATGGAGATATTGAAAAAGTAAACACAGCACTTATTTGTAGGCGTTGACCTAAGTGCCCAAATTGACATACGATGAGATCATCAACAAATACCAAGACACATTCACTGATCTTTCAGGAGTATCCATATTTATATTGAATATAGAGAGAAATCAATAGAGAATTAATCCAAAAGATAACAGATTTTCATCAATTTCTAAAAAGAGTAAATCCAATGGTTGAGAATTTTAAATAAATTGCTAAGTATATACTCTAAATACATTAGAAATATTGCAGAAGCAAGACATAATTTTTAAGAATAAATGATCAATTTCCTTTAAATTCAGTTACCTAATTATGAGTAGCAAGTGTTGCTCGAATTTAGCGAGAGTCAAGATAAATTGGTGATTTTGAACATCTAAAAGGATGAATACCCAGCTAAATTATTAAATAATTACCTTAATTTATTGCAATAGAATGAATTTCAATCATTATTTTAAGAAATTAAGAAGGAATCAAAGTAAGTGAGAGCATTCTTGGAGACCATGATTTAGAGAGAGAAGTATGAATAATAGAAGGTGGTTTATGAATAGAGATAAAAAGAACTTTAAATTTAATTGTAAGAAGTGTTAGCAGGGAAGTCTTCAATAAAGAACATATTTAGTACATCAAAGAAGGAGGATCAAATAGCTAAATTATAAGTTTAGATTGATTAAGTGTGTAAGGACATTGAAAACATGCAATTTATATGTGATATACTCACTGTTTTATTGGGATATATAGAGATTGATAAATTCAAGGTATGAGTAAGACTGATTGTTTAGTTGGAGAAGTAGTAGAATTATTATAGATTGGCAAAGAGCTTAATTCAATATGAAGTCCAATTGAGCCAGGTATCTGAAGAGTTTTGGGAGAGAGTCTAATAAAATTATAATTTATTGTGATAAATAAATATTATAATAAAATTATTTATGAAATCATTTTTTTGGTAAATAATAAGTGTTAGGTACTTAAAATAGAGGTTTGTTTAATTAATTTAGATTAGGTCTATGATAATAATCAGTCTATCTATTAGGTTTCTAATCGATACTTCTTCTGCCTGTCATTTGGAAATTTTAATTATTAGTTGGAGTAACTAATGAGTTTGTGATAGGTTATTTCAGATGATTCAAGCTTTGATGAATGCTCATTTTTTATTACACGAAACTTTAATTGTTAACAGTTTATGAAGAATACTTGTTAGGTGAACTTTAAGGTTATTAATTATGAACACTATTAACTCTAACAGTTCTAATTTATTTTTCACTATGCAGAATAAGTGGCATTTATAATTTATTTTTGATCTACTTTTTTGTAGCCTCTTCCAAACCCTCTCCAAAATAAGTTAATTTGGGCGAGATTTCAAATTCTGAATTGACATCAAAACCTATTTGAGACATCCATTTTTGGTCTCTACGCATATAGGCCTGGCGTGCAGTATGAATAGTATCTTTGTTTTCATTTGGTGGATTGAGGATGGGAGCATATTCATATTCCCTTTTGACTCTGAATAATCCAAAGGATTGAATAGGACAATAAGGAATAGCTTAGTAAAATGTCAATTCAAATTTAAGAGCATTAGATTGTGACATGGGTTTGATTAAACTGGAAGTTATGTAATCAAAATATGTACATTTCTTTTATCGAATATGGAAACTAGTTTGATTGTAAATCTCTACTTAGACAAAATATGGTTTTTATATTTGCAACAAAGTTCAAGGGCATAATCGAGAGAACATAAGATCTAACCAATGACTCCATCAGGATTAGCCAAACCTCCGTTTTTGTCTCTTTTGACCAAATCAGAATAAGAGATTTCATCATACTCTAGAAATGAAATTACAATTCTAAATACCTTTGTATTACAAACCTGAATTTGATTAATTGACAATGATTCCTAGGTTTTCATCAACACTACGTTTTTGTACACATTTTGCACTCAAATATAATTGATTTCTAATGAAAGCACCAATCCATAGGGGATCTCCAAATTTGCAAAGTACATTTTCTATTGAACAAAGGTGAAGGATGGTGATTCCCAAAAATTTCATAGTATCTAAAACCGATTGATTTAAATATATATATCCATCACCAATGCAATCATCAAAAATCTAAGATTCATTACTAAATAGAATTTGTCCTTCCATGCTAAATAAGGGTAAATTATCTTATTAAATAAAAAAGATCTGATCATCTTACAAGCCAAAATGATTCTTTTCTTAAAAAAAGCAAGTAATCATATCATGATTAATATTGGTGGTCATAATGAATATCAAAATTGGTAAACACATTCCACAACGCTGTTTGATTACATTCTAAAGACTCCAAATTCGTTCGCAATACAATTGAAACAAACACTTATGTGAAGGCAACTGGATGTCTAACAAACTAATGTTTTGCTGAGCACTCATAACGATTGCCACTAAATAGTGAGGATTGCCGTATACGTTTGCCCTCTGCTATTGTTGTATATCCAATCTCTTCGTCCTTCTAATCAAACTCCAAACATCTGATTGTCTCTTAAGGTGTCATCTAAACTATCTTTGCTTTGAATTATTGATAAACCTAAGTTCTAAACACTATATTACATGATACAATTATTTAATGTCGTATTTTTGTAATTTATGAATAATGCTGTTCTACTCTGCTTCCCTCAATGTCTGAATATATTTCAACAATTATCCCTAGCCTGCAGATTGATAATCCAACAAACTTGGTGCTATCTTTTTCATTAAATAAATTTATTATACCAATTAGTTAATTCTAATTAATTATTGAATAAAATATATTGCGATAATTAATTCATAAAAAATAAGGTAACACAGTTGAACCAATGATCATTTAAGTTGGCTCGGCCGACTCCTTAAAGAATTAGAAGCTCTACTCTAAATTCTCATCCAAAACCAAAATGCATCCTTCATTTCCACACCTATAACAATAATTAGGTGCTGACCATACTGTCACTAATTTTTTCTAACCTTAAATTCCATATTTACATTAAATTCATATTTATACCCTTCCATAACCAACTGATGGGATCTTGCAATCAAAATTAATCCATTAATATGACTAAATTGATCAACTGCTTTCCTCCCAAATTAATATCCAGCCCCACGGTTATTCACAAACCAACCCTCCAAATCTTAATCAGGATCTGACCATAACATGTCACTCATAGGACCTTCATGATCCTTTGCTGTTCTTCGATCTAATCTCATATAAAATAGATGTGAAACCTATGACTCGAATCTAATCGATATTATTTATTTATGGAGACAGTCCTCCGTGCACACAAAACACCTTTTGATCTATCAATGCACACAAGGGCAAGTAATCAAATACTTCACAAAAGTATTGCCAAACATAAGGATTTCCAAATTTTCTTTTCACTTCATCATACAACCCATACACTTAAGTTATAGCTCCTGATTCATGATTTCCTCTTAGCAATATAATCTCTTTTGGATACATGATCTTTAAACATAACAAGTATTAGAAGGTCTCGACAGAATGATGTCTTCAATAATCCATCACATTACCCTCGATTCACATAATCTCCATTAAATACATACCTCTTTTCTGGTAATTGTCCTCCACACTTGAAAAGTTCCAATAAATCAAAAAATTATCCATGCACATCTCCACATACTATTGCTGGAGTTTTCACTTGAACAACATTGGGCTCCTCTATCAGAATTTCCTTAGCCAATTCACAAATCAAATGAGTGTCTCGCTCACTTATGCATCTCCCATTTCTCAAAATCTCTAATTATTTGTCAATATCCATTTCAAAAACTAATTATTTCTCTCGAGCTTTTAATTTTTAGTTATTATTTGTTATATTATTATGATAAAACCGTAAATACATAAATATGTTTTATTAGAGTAATACATAATAAAATAAACAATTTAAACCTTCATTCAAACAACGAAGAAAACTACCCAATAAAAATCTAGTCTTGGTTTATAATTTAATGTATATTTTATAAAAATCAATACTTTATCTCAAAATTATATAAGCATTTATATAAATAGATAAACTCATAAGTTACTGATTAGTTTATATTATTTAGAAATCAACTCGAGTTTCTTTAACTTTTCTTCAATAGAGGAGTCTAGTTCAGTGTATGTTAATAAATTTACACTACTCACATTAGCAGTACGTCGAGAAAGCTAAAAACTATCTATTGATTAATTGGTTTCATCCAAAGCTTCAGATATTGGAGTTAATTAATTTAGTTCTTAAATACAATGTCGTGTCGTCTTGCAATATTTTAGCATTATAGCATTTAGTAATTTAATAAAATATTAATGTTTTGGCTCGTCATTATATTATTCGAGTTATTTAAAATACAATCTAAATTCGTAAGGAAGTCCCTTAAACACTTCGTTTGATTTTAAACATTCGATTTTCTTCTTTCCCATCAATTACTGAGGCAATGATTCCCAGGGTAAGGTTCCTTTAAATATAAGAAAGTAATACCTTTTCTTAATTTTATTAATAGATAGCCCAAACTTTCTAAATCGTCCTTCTTGTAAGGGGTGCGATTATTATGAGATTGGCAGGATTGATAGGGCAAAAAGTTTTAATTGTACATTTTTTTTGGTTTGTCATATTTTAAAAATGCTTAACCAAAGCCTATTAAATGAATTTTCGAGTCATGATCAAGACCATCTTTTGAAAATACAATATTTTCGGGACAGAGATTGCTGTAGATTATTTCTTATCGGTGAATGGCACTTAAAATTCTAAGCAAAGATAATCCTATAGATAGCACTGATTATAAGCTTAGAGTTCCGTATTTCTTCAAAATATCTGAGATTGATTTGTCGTAGAAGTCTATGGAATAGTAAAACCTAATATGAGGATGATTTTTACTTTTCATCCGAAGTAAAACCACAGTTCAGTACTTACGGCACTCCCAACACAAATTTCAAAAAATCAAGTATTTTGTACTGCGTGTACAGATGTTTTTTATCACCCATTTCCACTTTAAGTACAATCATTGTGAATCTATCTTTCATGTTAGCCATGTAAATTTTTTAGTTTTCATTTTCATAAATTATTTTTTTAATGGTAAACATCTTAAATGTGTCATGATTGCAAATCATATTTTAATGGAGAGGTTTAAAATAATTATAAATATAATTCATTGCAAGATTAATCCTGGATTAATTTAAGGATTAGATTAAGCACCCCGATATTTATTTAGATGATGTAAAATAGATCAGTATTATTAATGAAGTTAATAATATTAATTTAAATCATTATTTATTTATTTAGAGAGATAATAAAATTCTTAATTTCAAACTCATTTATAAAATATTTATAAAATAATAGTGGTTAGTAAAATACTTATATGATAATAAAAGGGTTTTTTGTGAGAATCATATTATATAATTGGTTGTTTCGAGGGAATGTTGAAAGATAATAAAAATGAAATTAATACAATTTTATAAAAATTTTACATTGGGATGAATGTATATATTTTTCAGTATTTATCGGCAGAAGTTCAATAAATTAAATAAATTAATTAATTAATTTTCACTAAAAACACAATGTAGGATGAGAGTTCAGATCATATGAGTGTGTCTTAATAGGTTGCAGATAAACTTAAAAGACAAGCCCTAGATTTCTAAGTACTTATGGATTCTTTTCAAAAGAGGTTTCAATAAGATCAAAATAATCAATTTTATATTTTAAGCGTGAAGTATTTTAATTCTATATTAAAGATGGCTAAATTTATGGAAGGAATATGTTTCATATGAAGAATTATTGGCAAACAAGAACCCAAGCAGAAACTTTGGAAAACTAAATATGGATCTAATAAACTTAGATTTAGAGGATAAAGTTGAAAGGTGCCTTAAATATTATCCAATAAATACCCATCCTTGGAATACATTCATGAAAGAGAATCTCTAAGAAAACATTGATTATATTATAGTAGATAAGGACATTTGGTAATTCTTCACAACATATTATCATGGCACACCAATTGTGAGAATGTCAAATGGAACAGGAATAGAGAAAACAGTCGCTGTAAATCTATTAAAAGTATTTGTATACAACTATTCTTCGAGTTTAAAAGTACTTTGCTTTACCCTTCAGTAATCAGGCAGATTGCTATGGATAGGGTTCAGAAATAAACATTTGAGAAATTGAATTTACAAGTCGATCGAAGTATGAAACTGAAAGACTACTACAATTTACTCCAAAAGACTGTTCCCACATTCACAGGTAACTTCGCAAAAGATGACAACGTCAGAATATGGAGATATCATTCAGATTAGAAGGATATTCAGAAAGCATTATTTGCAGATATTCAAAAGCAAGTAGCCAGTTTGGAGATGAATGATGAAATGAGTTTTGATTTCAATGGCGATTATATCCATTATTCAATATACGAAACTATTGAAGATGTAGGCATCCTAGATAATCATTTGATTATTATAGAAGTATTAATATAAGTTACCTAAATAGTTTAAAGATGAGATTAAACCTTGGTGTATTCGTAATAAAGCAGTTTAGGTAGAAGGAAAGTGTGAGAATTGTTAAATACTCAAAATTCTAAATCACCCATGGTGTGTGTAGGAAGGTAGCGTATTGTTCATAAGAATGCAAAAGCTAAAGATTACAACAACCACAGTATGAGATGCGAGAAATTTGGATCTGATGATGACACTATCAAAGGTTTGACTTAACAGCCAAACTCTATTGCAGGATTGGCTGGTTTGAGTAATTTAGGAAATACTTGTTTTATGAATAGTGGAACGCAATGTATATCGAACACTGTCCCATTAACGGAGTACTTTTTGAGTAATTAATATTTTGATGAAATTAATATGGATAATCCTATAGGAACTAAGGGTTAATTAGTCAAAAGGGTGGGATCTCTATTAAAAAAGTTATGGTATGGAGAAAAGTCAGTTGTAACACCAACCAATTATAAAAAAGCTGTGGGCTAATTTTAACCTATGTTCAAAGGATACCATTAACATGATTCATCTGAATTGATCACTTTTGTTTTGGATGGCATTCATGAGGATTTGAATAGAGTGAAAAAGAAACCATATGTTGAAACAAAGGATAGTGATGGAAGAACAGATTTTGTTGTTGCCAAGGAAAGTTGGATAAATCATTTGGCCAGAAATTAATCTATCATTGTTGATTTGATGTATGGATAATACAAATCTACTTTAAAATGTCCAAAATGCGCTAGGTTGTCTATCACATTTGATCCTTACTTGATGGTGTAATTGGGAATTCCAAGTTAGAAGAAAAGAACGATTTCTTTTAAATATTTTGATTCCTTCTTCAATTCAACTTTTAAGGTTATTCCATTTGATAAAAACAAGAATTTAACTTTGAAGGAATATTATCAAGTTTTAGGAGAGGAATTGAATGATAAACCATAAAACTTATTTGCTTATATAGCTAATTAATACACTTCTTTTGAACTATTAAAGGAAAGTAGATCCATAGTTGAAATTAGAAAGAGCGCAAAAAGATAATAGTTGTGTTTTAGGACTCTATCAGATTAAGAAGCTTAAATATAAAATAAACTTCCTATTTAATTTTAAAATAAATATTAAGACTTTTAAAAGAATTCATATTTTTAGAATGGAGTCTTTATATTTGATGGATCCAATACAAGAAAATAAATGCATCTCCAAATATTCAAACATTTGAAACCACTTTTTACTGATCATCAAGATTTAGATTACGAAACTAATGTATTAAATAAAGTATCATTTGAATTTATTATTACTAGTACTACAGTCTTTTATACAAATCTAACAGCAATTATTGGAATCCCTGTTCTTATTGTTCCGTTAAGAATTGCAATGATTGCGAAGTGAAATTTGATGATGAACCACTAGAAGAAATCAAGAAAAAAGTGGTTACTTCTGATTCTTAAGGTCTTTTTGAAATTATTATATTATGGAAAGAAAGCCCTTATAAAAATGTCAAACTAGGCGATATTTTTGATCATTATCGAAGCTAGAATAAATTTCAAAGTAATTATTTATTCCAACAGCTATAGTTGAATAACCATAATAATAAACAACTCCATTCCAAAACCATGGTCATTCTAATTAACATTCTGGTAGTGTTTCTTTAGCAGATTGCTTGTCATTCTCTCAATAACCAGAATAATTGAATTCTGAAAACACTTGGTTTTGTAAAGTCTGTCAAGAACATGTCTAAGCTTATAAAAGTATGCAAATATACAAGGTTAATATACATATCTCATATTAATATAGGCTCCATAAATATTAATATTCACTTTGAAACGATTTAAGGCTTCCAATAGAATGTTCAAATAAAAGCTTGAAACCTTTGTGGACTTCCCAATTAATGGACTTGATATGACTGATTATTTAATCAATTCAAAGACACCTTAGGAATATGAAAATGAAACTGAAGATGACAATGGAGAAAATAATAAATAAAGAGTTATTTATGATTTGTATGCTGTATCAAATCATTTTGGAGGTCTTGGAGGTGGTCATTATACTGCTTGTGCTAAAAATAAAGTATTCATAATAATGTTATGAAAGTATACGAAAAAATGGTATAATTTTGATGACTCTCATGTTGGAGAAATAAGTGAATAATAAGTTATTACAAAATCAGCTTACGTTCTTTGTTACTAATTAAGAACCGATGAATCAAAGAATTCTTAAGGACAAACCATCTAATAAGAATGAGTAATATGATAAATTTAAAGTTATTAACATTCTATACTAATATTCTCTTTTAATAGGAAGTACCCATCCTTCTTTACAAATAGATTATATTAATTTTCTCTTAAATCTTATAGAATAGATAATTAATTGAAAGAAGATAAATTCGTATTTATTAAATATAATATTATAATCATAAATATTGTTTGATCAAATTCTCGATTTGTGTATTTAACTCATTTAAATTTGTGTCATTTGCTTTCGGAAATCCTATAGCTGTTCCATTTATTATCAAGACATTTTAATTCGGAAATGATGAATAAAGAGCTGGTATCTAATTTAGACTGGAAATAGTATAAATATTTTAACTAGAATATTGTATAAAATCTACTTTGTTTTCAGATTTTTGAGTATAGTTAGTAATGCCTCTGTCATTATGTCATTTTAATAATATAAAATGATTTGTTAGTTTTTATTTTAGTTACTTTGAAGGAAATTAAAATAATCTAAATTAATTTCCTAAATCTTATCAAGATCCTAAGATAAATAATCAATGTTGGCTATTCTCTCCTCCGAAGGTTATTAGAGCAAATTGTTCAATTGTTAATCAATTACTTCAAATCTCTCCACAAATTAAGTGTCTTTAAGGAAATATTTTTCATATAGTTTTGCAGTTTATGGAAACAATTATTTCGAATAGGATATCGAATTAAAGATATTAAAAAGAACAAACTTACTCTGAAATTTGTTTAGATGAGGCAGCAATTCTTCTAATTAATTGGTTGCTGATATCACAAACTCCAATCTGTCCCTATATTTCTCATAGAGCTTAAAGAATAGTGATATTCTTATGTGATTCTATTTAAAATATTAATAAATTAAATTACATCCAATCTATTTTAATGTTTAGGATCTAATTGCAGACTGACAACTAATTTATCAGTTTAGTATTTATGATTTTGGATCTTTCTTACAAAGGCTCCAATATTAGATTTTCTGCTATTCTTCAAATAAAATATTCTTGGTAAACTAAATTACTGGAGATCAAAGACGAATTAATTTTTTAATTGTTTTTTATCAGTAGTTATGCTTTATGTAGACTTTGTATTGTATTATTTCCATTCATTAAATGATTCATATTTCAATTAATCAATTTATTGTTTAGCTATCAGTTGTGGTATTATTTGATTGCTTTCATTAATGATGCAATTTTGATATTTTTGCAGGATATCATTTCTTAACAATAATATATCATCATCTTTTAATTGCAATTCTTAGCATAGTTCTTTATTATCTATGATGAGAAATTTTGAGTTTTAATTTACAGTCTTTTTCTCCAAAAACTAAAAGGAAATTTTCTTAAATTATTTAAGTTAAGCATCAGAGCTATTTGACTTAATGAAAACAGGAGAGTCTAATTAATAATAGCTTTCTAAAATGGTTGATTAAAACTATTCCTTAGTTGTTACTGTTTAGTACAAATCAAAGAATCTTGATACTCGCGTTCTATTGTGATTAATAGGTATTACAAAATTTTAGCTTAATTATTTTCTAGATAAAAGTTGTGTTTTTTAAAAGGAAAGTAAACATAATCATCCGAATGAGGTGTTTTAAAATATATTTCAATTTTTTAAAACTCCTCTTCCTCATAAATCTTCACATTTTTAACCCTATTCACTAATTTAGTGATTAATTTTAAGGAAGGTCTAGACACAGTATAAACATGGCCTATATAAACTAATTGAAAATACAATTGATTTAAAGTTTATCAGCTATTTATTACAATTTTTTAGCAACTTCAATAGCTTCTTTCTCTCCATATCCTCCATCCACTTCTTCTTTGTAGATTACCAAAAAGAAATAATCCTTCCTATTTCCAAGGATATTTTGAACAAACATCGATTGATTCATTTGTCGAACTGGGAAGTGATATAATCATAAGATTTACCTTCATTAGAACAATGAATAGGATTATTACGATAGTTATGGTAAATTAGATAAGGTAAGGCTAAACAACTGACTCTGCTAAACAATTTGGGGATTGTCAAATTCCTGAGTACTCTGAGTCGATTCATATAAATATTTAATAATTAAATAAAATGCAGAATTATGCACTTTTGGGAATCACTCTTTTATTAGTGGTTGTGTACATGTTAATGACCACTATAGAAAAGACTACCTCATATTTTGGAAAGAGATCATCACTTACTCAAATAGAAGACAAACATGAGTCACTGAGAAAACAAAGAAGAGAAATGCTAGTAATAAATCATTCTCATTTTAGCAACACTATTATTGGGCTTAATCAAATAATGAGAGAGATAAAGAGAAGAAACTTGAAACTTAAATCTTTAAGATTGATGATGAATTAGAAGAGTTGAAAAATGACTATGAATCACTTAAAGCAGGCAAGAAAGTTCCTTTGAAGAAAATATGATTTAAATACATTCATTAATCAGAAATCATCTCTAAGTTTTTTATATTATTCAAATGTCTGATTAACTATTTATTTTAATTAATTTCTTATACAATACTTCATTTGAAATGTTTTAGTGCATCAATTTGAATGATATACTATTAAATAATTAAGTGAGGATCAGTTTCATTTTAGAGTAAACTAAGGGTGATCAGTCATAGTCCTCAAAAAATATCTTATATTTTGAAAGGAAATGAAAAAAGAGTTAGAATGTTATAGGTTTCTAAATTTCTCAGAGTAGACAAAGTGAATGCTTATAATATTTCTATCTTTTTGAAACACAATCTCATTTTTGTGATTTTGTCATTATTCAATCAGATCTAAAAACCAAACAATATTATGCTATCTTAAATTAAGAGATTCAAATCTAAATTAAAATTAAAAATGAAGATTGCCTAAAAACACCCTATTTTTCCTTAATTTATAAATATTATATTCTAAATATATTTTTGCAATTTGAATTTCCTTTATTCTAAATATTAAACAAGCTTAATATATTTTCACTTTATGTAGCAAGCATTTAGTTATCTATCATGATTAATTTACCCAAAACCTTAATTAAGTCTTTAATAATACGAATTTGATTTTTTATAAGGTGATAATCTATAAAGTGGAGGGAAATGTTGATAAAACTTTTCATGCTTGGACAAGCTATTTATGACAATCAAATTTATTACACTACAAAAAAATAATATAAAACTCAGAGAAAAAGCTAATAAAAGAATATTCAACTTATTTGCTGAAAGTAGGTAGCCAACAGAGAAGAACATATATAGATTAAAACATAAGTTTAAGGCATATATATCTATATATGAGGATAGAATGATTATTTCAGGCATTTTTTTGATTTATTACAATTGAGAATATATGTAACCATAGAATTTAATACAGGTAATGACCAAATTAAAAATAGAATCTTTATAAGAATAATATAGAATGTAATGGTAATCATTTAGAAGATGAGTTAAACAAAAAATAGAGTATTTTTAAAGTAGGAAGAAATTTTGTTATTTAAACCAAAAACAGTATTAAAATAATTTTACTATATTAATAGATATTTTATTGTTTCAAAACACTAATAAGCTTATTAATCTTATGGCATTATTTTAGCCTATACTTATTAGCTTTATTAGTTTCTCCTTTAAGATTGTTTCCATTTTCTAGCAATCGATATTAAATTTAATAAGTTCTTAGCCTTTCATAGAAATATTTAATAGAATTTGAACGTTCTAATTATATGAATTTTAACTATACAGCAAATGATTTCATTTATGCATACAAAATGAATGAATAAAATAATAATGAAACTAAATAGCTTGAATCGGATTTTGAGTGAAATTTCTTTTATAATTTTAATAAATCATAAAAATGAAGCTCTAGCATAATTAAACCTGTATCTTCCTCCTTATATTCATTTTACAAAAGTAAATCATCGGTCAAGTTATAGTGGATATGAAGTATGGATTTTGTGATTGTGAGGAGTTGGAAACTGATTATGAATGCTTAATCAATTCGAAATGCAAATTTGAAAATGGGAAATGCAAACCTCTTCCTTGTGAGAGTTTAAGTGATCCTGATCGTAGTGGGATTTGTATTTTTGCAAAAAATTAAGGATGCGTATTTGACTACTAAGAAGAAACCTGCACTGACTTTAAAGGTTGTTCATTTTACAATTTCAAATCGCACCATGAGTGCAGTTTTTATCTTCCTTCTAATTGTTATTATGATTCAGAACTCCAAAGGTGTGAAGATTAATCTTAGCTTCCCAACTGCTCTGAGCTACTATTATCGTAGTGCTTTCATGGAAAAGAAGGACTTTGTGTTGTTAAAGATGGGAAATGCTAAGAATTTACTAAATGTGAAGATGTAGCTGGGAATGATATAAGATGTATAGAAGCAGGGCTAGCATGCCAGACTTCCGAAAATTATCCATGTGAAAACATGATTGGGGGTTGTTAATATGCCACGCAAACAACTTGCTTTGAAGCTAGCGTAAGAATAAACAGCTATGAATCCTACCTTTGTAAAGAGAAAACTCCTTTACAATTGGACTGCATAGATTGGGATCCAGCTAACGAAACTTTAGAAACTTGCCTTATTGAATCATTTGGTACACATCATTGGAAGAACAATAAATGCGAGAAATGTTAACCAGGTAAACCAAACACTAGCATACAACTAGAAATAGCGATTATACTTTTGTCGCTAACATTTTGAAAATGAATATTATTAGTTGAAATAGCATATTAAAATTACCCATTTCTTCAATAGGGGTTGGTACCTACTTTTTTGTACTACTAGTAAGAACTTGGTAAGTGATAGTAGAATGCGATCAATACAACTTTTCTAAACTAATATAATGTACTAATAAAATTTTCTCTAAATTTCCAAACACTAATATATAATTTAAACTCTTTAAATTAGTATGTGATAATTTTAATGTACTAATATTATTTGGATTTGACTTGAATTATTCATTTTCATTTTGTATCTTAAATGAGATGGTTTGTAGATTGCAAACTTGATTGCTTTACACATCACAAATTCACATATTCTAATGAAATAGAGCTTTTTATTAATTCAAAATCTTTACAATTTAGTGATAATTAAATTAATTTTGATGTTTAATGAAAATAATTCAGATGAAAAGAATCTGTAATTTATAGAGGTTATACTTCTACGTTTGAAATAGAATATGTTGGTCGAAATATTTGATACTCTTTCTATTTATCAATTATTATAGCTGGCAAATTTCCTTTTCATGGCTAAATAGATATGGCTCAGTAAATTAACAGTAAGTCAGAAAATTTATAATAATTAAGATGTTCAAGATATAGCTGCTTGAATAGAATCATCAACTTTGTTAAAAACTAATAAAATATATTGTTGAGGAATCAACTAATTAGTCAACAAATAACATAAATTCACTCTTTATTAATCAGACCATATTTTTATTAGGATAAAAATGATAAACACACAACTTGAACCATTCATATTTGTCTATGCAACAAACCTTAAATTATTAAACAATTAATTCATTAATTATTTTTATTTTTATTCAAAGATTATTCTTTCATAAAAAAAAAAGAGATCTATTATAAGAAATCTAAAATTTTTTCGGTTTTCTTTCAAAAATCTGTTTTTATCGATTCAATATTAGCATCTATATTGTTTAGATCTAATCGAATTGAGAAGTTAGACTTAGTTTATTATTTGTAACCTTACTTGGTTGATGAAGTAATATTTAATAAAGATTGATTGATGAGATGCTTTTGATATATATTTTTTCACTCTCTGTTGTAGAATTAATTAATAATTAATATGAATAATCTTAAGATTATAAAGAACAGAATTGATCATTTAATTTATATTAAATAATTTAACTGAGTACACAATGAATAGCATAAATTCTAGAAAGTACTTCAAAGTAGGAAACAGGAAACCTTAATCTGGATGTCACAAAGATATTGTAATGAGAATGGAATCCTAGGAAGAAGATTTGGATGATCTTGAAAGCCTACTTCAAAAGAAAATGTGCCTTAATGAAAATGAATGCTATTTTATCGAAGAAATACTCAATACAGATCCAGATGAACCAGAAGCATTACTTGATGAGAATATCTATATTACTCAAGATGTCACTTTCAACCCTCAATATTATTTAAACAATGTGAATTCAATAATAGAATGAGATATTTTAAAAGTATATCAATTAATCTTCCACACTCAAAAGAAAATAATTTTTCCATTCCCTTATGAAAAAAGTTCCAATAGAAATATATAGTCTTAATTTAAATGATTTCATTTTTATATAAATCTTATATAAAGAATTCTATCATGATAAAATTTAGTTAAAAAAGAAGACAGAAATCTAAATAATATATGATAAAATAAATTAAGATATGTAAAACTATTTAAATTAGGAAATGATTTAAATTAAAAGCAAATTTAATGATTTAATTACAAAGAAAAGAATTAATTATTATTGTTTTTTATAAGAGAGGGATTGTATTCTTCCCCCTCTTGAATTTTGAATTTTATATTCTATACTTAAAGTTAGCAAAATTTTATGTTTTCTTAATGTAACGAAGTACCCTTTTATTTAAATTAGTCTCTATATTTTCTTAGTGAGCCAAAATATTATAAGCATATTAAAATATGTCTAGATTTTCTATGTCATTTTATAGGAAAATTAATTAATTTCATTAATTTTTTAATGATTATTTTCAATATAAAAAATTCATGTAGAAACATTTGCAATTAAGTCAATCCCTCTAAATTGAATTAAAGATAATTTTTTTTATCTGAAAATACATTAAATTATAAGCTTTATGATATTTAATTATCAGTATAGTAATGAATACTAAGTATAATAAGGAATACAATAAAAGAAGAATAAAATAGTGAGAAAAAAATATTATATGTATCAAACTTAATTTCATAGACTTTTAAATTGTGACCAAAAAAGATATATTATCATTTATCAATATAGAATCATCTTTTTAAAAATAGGCCTTAGTAAGTTGATATGATAGTTTTTACTAGCTTGTCGTTATAAACACCATTCATTTTAATTTACATCATACTTTTTCTACATGAGATCATAATTTCATATTCTTCATCATTATATTCAGCAGATGCCAGCACACTTATTTCAGTATCTGATTGGCTTATTACTTCGAATTCTGGTAATAAATTGGGAACAGAATTTTAGAATCCTGTTAAAAATGGTTTACATTAATAAAAAAACGATTAAGGTATCTATTCACAAGATTTAAAAGTTAAGTATTTATTGATTGTACAAGGAATCACAAATTAGATATTCTTATCCATAAAAGATATTTAAGCTTCTTATAAAATGTAAGGTATTTCTTTAATTGATACTTCTAATTTAATTTATTAAATTTCGCCAGGATTTAAATCAGTTTTGATTTCATCTAAGACAAAAGCAATTAATTGTTCTACTTCTTTTAAATAGAATTTGAAGCCAGTTAGTTTGATATTTGACTTGTTTTCAAGAGAGAGTGTGATGAATAATTTTTTGAATTTTAACTATGTGTGAGTTGAAATTTAAATCTAATCATCTTGATGTATTATAGCTTTGGAAGTAAAGCAGGCTTATCTAAATCTGGTATTAAAAATAGTAGGGTTGACTGCAAATATAGTTGGATCATACTCAAGTATTGGAGGCATGATGATTTTAGATTATCTATGTGTGGTTTTCTAATTAGCAGATTGTTTTTAAGAGGATATATTACACGCTTGCAACTCATTAATATTTCTCCTGGAATCTGACTTAGTACTCACTCCCCAGGTTTGACTTGTCACACTATATTTTTTATCATTCATTTTTAGTAATTACTCTTTCAATTATGTGATTTGTCTTTTTTAGCATATCATAACCTATTCATATTAGACTAGATTTGATTTTTGTTTATATAATTTGAAATCCTCTTAAGTCTGAGGAGTGTCTTTTTCAACTTTGGTTCCTTTTGCAATTTTTTGAGATAATTGAGAAATTCGAGCTGACAATAATTTATTTTCTGTCAGTAAGACATCCTTGTCATGTTTAATTTTGTCATACATACTATCAGATTCATCCAATTATTTACGTAAATATTCATTTTCAGCTCTTAATTTATGGCATTCTATTTCAGAGTATGAAAGTCCATATTCAACTCTAAATTCAGCTATCTAATGGGCATAGCAGTGATAATTACATTTTTTTCATAAGTTGCAAGGATATATGGAGTTTTGGAAAGATTGTTTTTTTTATAATCTTCAAATAGTTTTTCGTACTTCTTTTCCAAAGCTTTAAAGTTGGTATCATATCGCTCTATTAGCAACTGCTTTTCTTTAATATTTTAAGAGAGCAATGAATTTTAGTTTTGAGTCTCAATTATTTATTTCTATAATTCTTACATTTTTTATTGATGCATATTATTAAGATAGGTAAGTTGTTAATTTTCAATTTGCAATCTCTGCAATTGAGTCCATTCTTCATGGTCTTCCATCTTTTTGACTTCTTGATATTTGGGATCTCGTTCTAGAAATAGATTGGCCAGTCTCGCTTGTTTATTTTTTTTCATTATATGTTTTTTGACTATGGTTTAAAATAATTCAGCAAACGATGAGTATTGGGTTTGATGATATTCTTCTGGAAGATGAGATTCCAAATATCTACATATCTCTTTTGTGCTTGATCTGGAATGCTCGCTTAAAACACTCTTGAGTTGCATCATCATCGATAAAGGAGGAAAAGTAGAAGGCAAATTTATGTGCACTTAATTGAGATCAAAATATTGAATTTCTGGGAATAGTACACCTAAATTGTATAATCTCTCATATGCTACACGGTACAGACTCAATCTGTGATGAATTTTGTCTAAAGGAAACCACCTTCCCCAAATCCTAATACATTCTAGAGTTACTCTCAAAAATTGATCGCCTATTGCCTGCAACTCTTTGTTACCTGAACTACTTTTGTACTCTACATACCTTAGTGGGGTTTTTGATTCCCTAGAAAATACAGTTTGCCTCTATCACAGTCTTTGGACTCATTTTAAAAAAGAGCAATCTATTCCATTTTTGGGAGAACAATTTTTTACATCAAATGGATGTAATCCTCATTAAATGTTTCAGCCAATTCCTTGTTGAACTAGGATAGAGATGGTTTACAAATACTACTTTGAGGGTTAGTAACCGTAAAATCGGAGATTCATCATCGTCTATAAGAAAACCAGCCAAACATTATTGAACAAGTTTGATATGCGATCTATTTATAATCGAAATCTTACTTATCACCATAAAGAACTCTCAACTTGATATCTCGGACATAGGGATAAGTTTCATATGAACTTAAGTAAGATCGTAATTAATTTTGTAATTCCATTAAATAAAATATGAATGAGGAGAATTTGCCACTCATTGATAAATAAGAAGAAACACAAGGGTACATCGAATTGCTTCAATTACACAAATCATTTATCGAACTTGATCAGCCCTAATCAACAATAAGAAGCAAATTCATTAGCAATCCATTCATGGTTCCTATCATATTTTTGCTTATTATCTCCTTAATGATGATCGCAATGCAATTGACTGGCTATTTTGATACAACTATTATATTTAATTGATTTATTGAGCAATCTCTATCAGCGAATTTCATCTTATTTAAATTAATCAGAATTTCAAAGCATCATGTTCACATAAAGACCACTTTACCATTTTAATATGACATCTTGCCTTGTTTTAAGTAGATTTGCCTTTTCCTAGAATTGTACAGAATACAGAGATATATATTATGAATGACAATTATGTAATTAAGTTAAACATGTTATATAGTTATAATTTATTAACTATAATGCAATATTGATATTAATATATTCAATTATCAAAGTAATTCTGATTTGTCTTCTCCCTCTTCTATCATTGAATTGGATATTTCTTCCTAATTTTCCTTCTCATAGAATTATTAGTCCTTCGAGAATTTCAATTAGAAATCAAAGAAGGATGTTTACATTAAACTAAAATCCAAGGCACATTCCTTCTCTAAAGTTGAGAAGATATTCCTGTAAAACTTTTTCAACTTCAAATATTATTCCTTCTCAATATACCACTCTTTATGACAAGAGAATACAAGGATGGGGTAATTCAAATGTTGCTTAGCCAAGTTGACAATTAAAAAGCTTAATAGTTTATATACATCATCTTCTTCAACCTAATCTGAGTTTATGTAAAACATTATTCGAATTCTCTATTCTGCATTCAAACTCAAAAACTCAGGTCTCAATCTCAATAGCATTTCTAAGAATTTTATGACTTGATCAATAATCGTAAATTCCCTGATCTTCACTCCCTGATCACTTATTTGTTCCTTGAAACTTTAGAAGAAATCATTATTTTATTCCACCTAATCCTCTGGCAGTTAAGTGTATTAAGGCTCATTCGTTTCTATCAAAATATTTATTCATAATTACAATGTTTGCTAAGCATTACTTGCAACCTTTGATTGACCTTATCCTTTTAAAGCAGAGATTGAATAATTCTTATCTTTTAAGACGAAGCTTAATCCTTGCTGGATTTCGAATACTTCACTCTCTTTTATGCATATTGATTAGCATCTCTTCTGGCTTTGAATCTATTAATATCCTCTAGGAATGCATTATTAATTTCAAAAACTATCAGTATTTTATCAGACTTAGATTCCGACAGATCACTTAAGGTTTCTTCGTCATCCAAAATTTAAGATTATTTATCTTCTTCTCTTCTAATTATTTTCTTCCCTTGAGATTGTTTCTCCTTTATAAACAACTTCTACACCTATTTTAAGACCCTTTTAAATAATTATCATATTCTACTTATTTATTTTTATGTTAAGATTATCAAAATTTTATATGAACTCTTTGTCATACTTGGTTTGATAGGGCATCTCATAAATTGAAGCCTTCCTGAACCCCTCTATTGACAATGCAATCACATACAAAGCTATTAGAATCTGAAATAGATAATGCAGGATCTCAATTATGATGCTTAATAATTATTTTTCTTCCTAAATTTGTGTTTATATAGAATACTTCATTTTCTTGATAATTGTCTAAAAACAATTAAGCAAATAGATAAGCTATATAGTTGATAGAGTGGTGACCAGTCCTATATTATTTATCTAAAAAGCCTTGAGGCAAAACTGTTAAGGTGTACATTGATAAAGATAAGACAGTACAAGTCAATAATCCAGGCATTGTACGCATCTATAACGTGTGATAATTCTGTATCCACTCCGCATTAAAAAACAATATAAATTGCACAAATGAATATGGATAACTTAATAAAAGCAGGACTTTCCCTACATCCTCGGTTGTTTAATAATCATTAATTAGTAGGGCAGTTCCAACAGATAAGATCTTCCCACTAAAATTCTTTTCTAAAACTGTTCTAGAAAACAGTAAGTTGTTATCTTAAGCTTGATCTCTCACTATAAGAATCTGAAAATGCACTATGCAATACACAATAAGTGCTGCAAAGTTGTACAATTAGAAAAAAAAATTGAATCTTGAAAATATATAGGTTAATTCCAACATGGTTCTAAATATTTTCAGAAGACCAATAAATATCAAATAGGAAAACAGCAATATATGCAGAGTGTCTTTGAAATCAAAAAATGGCAATTGGAAAAATGTTTCCTATAAAGATAAGGGGAATTTAGCATATTGCTATTCCAACAGCAAAGTTATCTGAACTTACTGCTAACTATTCAAATCGTAAAGTGATCCAAATATCCCTATAGATTCAGTATGATTATCAACCCATTTATTTTCAATCAACTTTGTATAGAAATCGGTGTAATTATCTGCTATTTTTAATACACTATAATAATAGAAATCGTAATAGGTTTAGTAATGACCATCTATTCCTATTTATATTCCTCCAAAAGCATTTTGACTTGAAATGAATTCGGAACAATTTTTAGAGACGCATTTATTGGCATCCAAAGCTTGGAATTATACTTCCTAATATTACTCTGATCCATATTCGCAATTTATAACATTAGTATTGCATTTATATATAGCATTTCTTGTCTAGGCTACAATTAAATTTGAAAGTGGAATATGAGATGACTTAAATTGGCTAGCAAAATATTTTGGAGTAAAAACATTCATCAAATAATTAAATGCCTCTTCAACTGTCGCACTATTACGCCAAGTACTCACTTGGAATTAAGATTTGATTTAATACAAATTTAAATATCCATTACCTAATCCATAAGTTTCATACATCATCTAATTTTGAGATTATTAAGTTACCTACCATTAATGGTATTAAGACAAGATACGATAATACTGTTATCTTCTCTAATGTAGGAGATACAAGAATAAGTTTTATTTGTTTCAACCGTCTTTTTCCAATGATCATTTTGTAAATTACTTATATTTTAAAATAAATTATTTTTTCTCCTAACTAATTATCTGAATAATACAATGAATGACATCGAATATTGATAGATAATAAACATTGATAAATCATTATGTTTCGTATCTAATACCAAATTGACATCTAACATATAAAACCACATATAATTATTATATAATAAATTAGTTTAAACAAAATGTTACTGTTGTACTTTTACATACCTTTATTTTAAAACTTATTTTTTTTTTATTACATTTGTATTTCCTAAATTCTCAAATAAATAAATATGTGACTGATCTTAAATACTTTTTATAATCAGATATTTTGGTTTTTTTATTCAAGTAAAGTATTATAATAATAGAAAAAGTTGATTAACTTAGTATTTATATATTAATTTTATTTTCTATTTCTGTTGAAAAAGTACTCTCAATTAAGATGATATGAGCTGAAAGTTAAAGATTACTTGTATGTGTGAGCAATATAATTTTTAACCACTATTTAAGTCAAATTTTGTTAAATTCAATGAAACATAATTAGTATCTTTTAGATTTCACAAATAACTTATCTTATAAGAAAAAATGAAAATAACTATTGGGTTTTATGAATAAATAGAAAAGCAACAAATTAATCAAAAACTATTTTAAATTCCTAATGGACATTTAGTATAATTTGAGATATCAGAACTTTATGAAATATGAATTCATTAAAAAAGCTAAAAAAGACTTTTCTAAAATAATATTAATTCTTAAAATTTGTATGTCTCTAAAATATATTAATTATTAAAATTTGTATGAAATCTATACCTTAATATATTGATTCTATTCTTTAATAAATAAATATAATATAATTTTTGACTTTGGAGAAAGGATATACCCTAAAGAAATAATAAAAAGCGTAATTAAAAGAAATAGAATATTCTTGTTAATTAATATAAATTATCAGCTTATTTAGTGTTAAATTTCTAAGGCAAGCAGTTTTATATTCTGATTTAATCAATTTTACATGATTGATACATTAATAAATGAATAATAAACAAAAGGTTCATAAATAAATGTTACTCTGATAACAGGAAATTTACTAGTTTGAGTAATGTTATATTCAAAGATACCCTTTAAACAATCTTGTATACTTGATTAATTCTGGAATTGTTGAATTTAAAGTTTGGATATAGGAAAATAATGCAGATGATTTAAATTTGATCAGGGTTTTATTTATTAATGAAAAATACAATATTATGTAATATTAATATATATTATGTTGATACAAGTTATTTAAATAATTTGAGGATCAAGTTTTAATATTATTTTAAATTTATCAAATAAATAAGAATGTCAAATCGTCCAGAAGCTGCATAATAACCTTAATAACCATAATAAAGATAATAAGTTCCAGCTCCTTAAACAAGGCCAGCTGGTCCTGTGTATCCAAATACTTATTTACCACCTACTTATTATCCAGCTTCTCCAATTAGACAGTCTTATGTGGCTCCAGTTGCTCCTATTTAATATGCACCAGTGGCCTAAGTGCCTGTTGCTCCAATTGCATCTGTTCCTATTTAACAAGTCGCCCCTGTCCCAGTTCAAACTTTAGGAGTTGCCCCAGTAGCTTAAGTAAATTTGAATACTATTTTAGCACCAAACTATAAAAGGTGAATCCAGAATTGAATATATTCCCTATCAAAAAGCTGTTGTTGAATATGAGGAATAAGAAATTGTGTCTTATGTTCCAAGAGAAACAAAAGTCACCGATTATTACGCTGTCGAATATTAAACTGAATATATCCCATAAGTGTTCCAAGAGAAATACACAGGTAACAGTAATTATTATCCTTCAGAGTATGTGCCAGTCGACAGATATTAAGAGAGAGTAGAATATTACCCAGTTGAAAGATAAGTTGTTCATCAACAGCCAGCATAAGCTGTGTCAGTTGTCTAATAACCAGTCATTTAATAATCAGTTTAATACGTTCAATAACCAGTCTAATATGTTTAATAACCAGTCCAATATGTTTAATAACCATTGATTGCATCAAGAGTTGTTCCTTAATTTGTATAACCATAATATGCTGCTCCCCCTGTTGTAAGACCATCCTAACCATAATAATAATAATCCCATTAACCATAATAAGTTCCATCCTAACAGCCAAGGCCTTAGGCAGTCCAATAGCAGCAATCACAATAACAATGAAATAAAATTATATATATAGATATATAAGATATGTAAAATTTTATTTGAAAAGATTCATTGTTCTTATTCTGGGATAGGTAATAAGAATTAGGAATTTCAAAGTTTTAGCTATATTTTAATTCCTGGGATCACTTTTTATTAGTGTTATTGAATAACTTTCTATATTGGAGTTATATAATTATATAATAAAATGATACCTTGAAAATTCTGGATTGTATTAATTTAACAAAAAGCAATGGTAGAGGGATGTTTTTTCTTGAATCTGATTGATGATAAACTAATATGATAAACTTCTTGATGAATTTGACTTTAGAAGGTTGGCATATTATTATAGGAGAGGTTTTGATCTTAAAGGTTTTAAAGTGTTTATTCAGGAATATTATTAATACTCCTCTCCTCTATTCATGACTTAAATCTTTTTTGAAAATTCTAGAAAGAATTTGTCTTTAATAAGACAAAATACAAATATTAATAATGTTATTAATTTTACAGTAAGATAGAGAAGAAATTTGATAAATTAAATATTTTATGAAAATAGATAACCTAAACAAAGTCAAACACTATCGCATAAAATAATAATTTAAAATAAATTTTAATGCATTCTAAAAACAACAACGTTGAAGTTAAATAGAATTATTCAATTTAGTTATGAACTTATAGAATATTCAAACTTAAACTTCAATTTAATGTAGATTAAATACTTGTATTTTCAATAGATTAAGATATACTATGGCTGCTTTTCAATAAACCATCTTAGAGTTGCATAAATCTTTGCTACATCAAATGTGATACAATAGATAAATAGACTCTAAAATTAGTTTAATTTGAAATAAAGAGTTATTGTTCTGTCATTAGTATTTACAATAGTTGCTAAAATTAGAATTATTGTACGCATATTTTACTTTATTCTTTGATTTAATTTTAATTTACTTGTATGAGGGAATAATTGGATTTGCTTCTTTTTCCAATTGAAATAGTAGTGTTTTGTGGTTTAGCTTTCGGAATATTCAAGTTAAAGAAGAAATTTCCAAATTTACTGTTCCCATGTCATGGCGTAACTCTATATTTATCACCTGATGGAGAAGATCTCAAGGAGAGTAAAGATAAGAAAATAAAGACTTTGGTTTAAATAAAAACGATGCCAAGTTAAGCATAACATTTTTAATAAGTCCCTTTTTCTAATGACATGGAAATTACAATGTTATTCATCTATATGTTACTTGCATAATTTTCGATAGTCGAGACAATGAAAATGATTGGTTCAGCTTTGGGATATTATGTTATCGACAGCGGAATGCTCTTTTATTTTGATGGTATCATAGTCATGATGATTATAAGTATTATTATATTAAACACTTAGGAAACATTTTCAAAGCAGCTACGATTGGAGGCTATGATTCTTAATAAACAAAGATGTCTATTGTAATTTGTATTATCTCTATTGTGATTACAATCTTTATAAATTTGGGATTTAAAGATTTCTTAAATATTAACATGAGACACGAATTTTAAAGGTAAGCTGTTCATCTTGAAATTGTACTTCGAACTCTTATTTAACCAGGAGTCTGGTCATTTATGGGGTAATTTGGAGATATGTTTGTAATCGTATTGGCTCTGATGGTTTCAATCATAATATTTTGCATATTACCTATTCTAATCAGATTTGGCAATTGTTTCACTGAATTAAAGAATAGTTTAATCACAGACAAATCATAATCAAAGTTTTTTTACTTAGTTGCTAGTTAATTAATTGCACATATATTTTATGTAGCTCTGTACATTAAACCTTTAATTTAAAACTTGAATTATGTATTTCATTTCCAATTTTTGGCTATCTTAGTGATTACCATTTTATAAATGATGACATTCAAAATGGAGATGGATAAACATATGGCTAAAGGTTATGATTGGATTATGATACTAAAAGATTAACCAGAATAATAAGATTATGTAAAGAGAAGGGTTGAGGGATTGCTAAGAGGATTTGTAATTGTGGCATATCAATTATTATCTAGAATAGCTATCCCATTTTTATTATATATGATCCTGTTATTGAAAAACTCCTAAATTCCAGAGACAAATGTTAGGTATAACTATCTCCCAGCCAATTATGATGTGAATGAATAGTATTGTGTTAAAGAAAACATTGTTATGATGGACTTTTTATTCGAAGACAAGGATGATCCTGTTGAAGATGGTACATATTAATTAATTAGTATTATAGTGAATTCAGATCCATCTAAGATAATCATGAAAAGGATCACCAAATACGGGATCTTCACTAAGTCATTCATTTATACATTTATAGAATTCATTCTTTTCAATTATTATTTTATTAGCTTCGTGTTATCTGTATTTTATATATTCTTCCTCAATAAAACTCAATCAGTGAAGTAAACTCAAAAGAAGAAAAAGCAATGATGATTGATTTTTTGAAAATAGATTTATTAAAAAGTTAAAAAAGTAAATTCATTTGATTTTCAAAATATAAGTCAGTAACTTGAGTGTTTTTGATTCATTGCTTGGTTTCTAATGTTAGGTTAGTCTTTCCCATTTAAATTATGTTTTTTGACAACCTAAATTGATCTCCACAGCCATAAATATGTTTAAAGCGATTGCTGATTTTTTGTGATTCAAAAACAATGAAGAAGTTAAGCTTGTCTCTGCTAAACTCCTAATAAAATGAGAATTAAACTTACATACATCTTTGCTTTATTTAATCAGAGTATTTGCAATTGTACCCCAACATTTCTCCTATTAATTGCAACCACACCAACGTATTATCACTGATAACATTGAAATTTAACTTATTAAGTATTTCTTTCTCCATCTCAATAACATCCTTTGTTTTAATGTCTGTAGCTCTTAACAATGCTGCTAAGGGAGGTGGGTATATTTCTTCGTATTTAGATGCAATAAAAAGACATGTCAATGAAACAAGCTCCAACTCCCCTATTTCTGGATTTAGGAGCGGGATTGTTTGATCCATCAAATCAACAGTCTAAAAGAGTGTCTCAGGCTTTAAATTGAAGCATCTAACTAGTTTGACTATGTATCTAACCTATACTTAATACAATAACTTACTGTTGTGGCCCTCACAGTATCATTGATTTTCGTGGAAGCCATTTGAAAATTGGGTTCCCCCATACTTTTTTCCTTTTCATACAAAAATTCATAGATTTCTTGTTAATACAAGCTAACAAGCTAAGGAGAGTCCAATTTACTCAAACCCTCCTTGGTCCAAATTGCATCATTTATGAGATTTTCCTTCCCTCCCAATTCATCAAGTTTCGTGTCTTTTTTGCTTTTTAGATTCTTTGATGCCTTCTCTGCTTGATTATCAAGGTTTTTTCCGAAAATTCTTGGTCCTACATTCTCGTGCATTTATTTGAATTCAAAAATATTAATATTTATATAACAATAAATGCATTAATCATTTTTTTGCAGGTTTCTTTGTATTCTTTTTCGCCTCCTCTTCCTAACGCACTCTTTCCTCTTCTTCTCTACGCTGTTTTTCTAATTTCTACTATACGATCTGCTCCTTTATTGAATCAACCTCCCTTGCCAATTGACTATTCTCTATACAGTTATAAGCATCAATAACCTTGCTCTAATTGTTCAACATCACTTCTCAGTTTTTCGAATTCTTCATGAGCCCTTGTATCCTTGTGTATGCTGAAATAATCAATGAGTGCTTGACTGGGAGAGTCAGGCTTGTTTGGTGCATTCCTCAAAGCAAGAAGAACTAGAAACAATTAATCATAAATAAACTAACATTTAACAATCGCAAGTGTAACATCCTGATTGACCAAATATTCTCTGAATTCCCTCTCCTTGTATTCATTCATCTTGGCTTAACTAAGTAATGGTTCCTCAACTGTTTTCTCTTGATTCATTATAATTAAATTAATAAAAATGACAAATGGAAATAATCTCAATCAGGTTATTTAAGAACTAATTAGATGTATACTATTTATCCCCTCTCAAATGCAATTGTTCAAAATCTCAACCTAAATAAGTAAATATACACAACCAAATCCAATTTATAGCTAAATTATCAACTTACAGAACTCTATTAGAATATTTAATGTTTGGAACCTATCTTAATAATTCTTAATTAATATATTTAATACAATTTATTGAGATTTAGAGGTCCTCTGCCATTAATATTTTCTCCCTTGGTATTATTTAAGATTAGAAATAAAAAAAATAAAAGACTAAAAATATATTAGTATTCTTATAGATTTGAACGTGATTTAGTTCTTCTATTATTGTTTTTAAAATAGAATTATTGGATTTGCAGTCGAAATTATAAAATAGCTTCCTCCATTAATTTCTAATAGTAAATTCTGAAGTGTTTCAAGATGTTTGATAAATATTTTAGCATTTAAAAGATATATTAAAATTTAAGTCAAGTTTTAATCAAAATCTAAACAATTTTTAAACTTTATATTGACTTGTAATACAATTCTTTATTATTTTTAAATTTTGAATTTGATTCTGAATTATATTCCATTTTTATAAATCCTTTTAACTTAGTTCTACTAATTTTTTACTTTATATTATTAAAATTGGTTAATTGCAGTTAATCGGATAAAATAATTAGTTATGAAAATAGTTCCTTTGCAAAATGATATAAATATCAAAGGCATTCGAGAAGTCAAGGTTATAAATACTTATTCACTCGTCATCTTAAATGATAAAACTTATATAAGTATTTTAATCAAACAATTAGGTTTGATATTTGAATTAGTTTATATAATAATAAATGAACATCAATTACTTATATTAATAAATTGAAGACTAGGATGAATAGATCGAGAAGGCCACTAAAGTTATCGAAACACTGACAGCAGAAGTAAGAATGCTCCCTAATACAAGATTGAAACCCAACAAAAAGAGATTATAAGATTGAAATATGAAAATGAATATTTGAATTCATAAAATAAAATACTTGAAAAGGAAAAGTTAGCCCTTTAAAAAGAGAGCAATAATATTGATACCATTAAAAAATGTGAAATTAGATAAAAGCAGATTAATGTAAATTAAAAGGAAAAAATAGAGAAATTCTAAACATTATGGGCTCAATAAGAATTGAATTATAACAATACAATAATTGAATTAAATGAAAATATTAAACAGCTTTAGTAGTAAAATGAAGAAAAACAAAATGACCTAGAATTACTTTATAAGTAGAGTTAACAACAACAATTAGCAATTAATTAAGTAATGGAAATTTTGGAACAAAAAGAATAGGAATTGTAACAGTTAAATTCATATCTTAATAATCAAAAAGAAAACACAGATAATTTCAGTACAATATATAAGTAAGACATCGAAAATTTAAAAAAATTCACAGAAAACTTATTTATATAATCCGATAAAAATATCATCATGTAAATCAATAAAAATAAGGCTTCAAAGAATAACGCATCCTCCAAAGATCTTAATTAAACTCATCAGATGGCTTAATAATATAAAGAAGAATAAAAGGATGAATCACATATCTATGATATTATCTTGAGATAAAGTAAATATATAAACGAAATTTATACTAAATTATAGAATACTATTTCAAATGAGTAACTTTCAGAATTTATTGTTCAAGTTAATTATATGAGATAATATTTTGAGATCATGTAAAATAAAATTTACGATATTAATGTTGAGAGAAATATCATACATCAAGTATATAATTTATATTATATTCTAGGCCTATGTAAATTTAGCCTAATAAACTAAAACATAGTAATCATACATTGAATAATTATTGACTATGATTAAGAATTATTAAAATACTAATAATAATAACGATGTTGAAGAAATTAATAAAATTGAGGTCTTAGATATCAAAATTCTAGAACCTGTTAATGAAAATATGCAAAGGCTATTATAAAGTTATTAGTCTAGTTTGATAGCTAAAGATGAAGAGAAAATGTCCTTAGAACGTCAGAATGTAAAATTATAGCAGAAAATAGATTAACTTTAATCTCAATAGTAATAATAACTGTAGACATCTTAATAATCTTAATAATTGGTTTCATTATTGCAAAATCCAAAAAAATAAACAAAAAACAACACTAATCTAAATAAGATGGAGTCATTAGAGAAGGAAAATTAATTGTTAATTGAATAGTTAAATGAACTATCGAAAGAACATGAAGAAACTGTGAAAATGCTTGATAAAGCTATCACGTAATTAGAACAATAAACAGAGACTATATAAAAATATGAATAAGAATAAAATACTAAAATGAAAGGCAAAAATAGTTTTATTGAAACATAGCAGCCTACTACATAGGTGATAGAATCTTAAATCGATAAATTTTTAGAATCATGCTCTGTAATATATACTCAATATTAAAGTTATTACCTCCATTGAAATCACAAACAGATAGTGTAGTTTAGAAAACTAATATTTTAATTGATCTGGTTACGATGTTAACAGATTCTTAACAGTAAAATATAATATTTAAGTTAGTGACATCTTATAAAAATTATTAGTAACTTTTTTAGTGACAAGAGATAATAAGAGTTTGTAAGGATTTGAGAAAGACTTTGCAACTTTAAAATCTATTCGACATAATATTGGAATCTTGGATTATTTGGATTAATTGGAATGTTTAAAAAACGATTTGTTGAATATTATAGAGAAAGAATTGAAATGCGAATATGCAATACCTTATGGGAAATCTATTCTTATATAAGTACTTAATTTGATTGCTTAAAAATATATGGAAATAGTGTAAAAAGATACTTAATCTATTGAAAAACAGATGAAGAAATATAAAAATCATATTGTAATCTATAAAATGTACAAGTAATGGAAAGAATGCATTTTGGATTTCAGTGAAATAATCTTTGAGATTATTGAGAGTATTGATCATATTGGATAGCCTTAATTTGAAAGTAAATTAAATTAACAAATTGAAAAGCTTAACTACAACTTTATTGATAATTTTGATGATTGATTATATATATATATATATATATTTGAATAGATCAGACAAGTAACTATGATCTAATTGACAATATTGTCTCTGAAGGTGTCGTAAGAGTGTCAACTAAAATTCAATTTTTATTATTAATAATAATATTAATTATATGTTGCAACGATTACCCAATAAATACAAAGAGGATTATTATAAATTCAATCAAATAGGAAATGAGAGACAAACATTTATTGATAGTGAATTCGATTACACCGATTAAAACAGTCAAATCCAATTTTTGAGAATAGGGTCTCTAGGATTAAACAAGAATATTTAACCATGTTCTGAATTCAAAAGGTCTTAATATTATCAAGACAATTCTCTCATCAATGCATTTAATATTCTATAGAAGGATATTCAATTTGTCAAGAATATTTATTTAAATTTAAACTCTCTTTATGGAGTTTGGCTAAATTTGTAAGGAGAATGGCATTTAATTAAAATTGATGAAAAAATACCTTGTTATTTAACTGGCAATATTTAGAAGCTAGCCACCTTAGAATGTGAATGCGAATGGCCAATTATTATAGAGAAAGCGATAGTTAAGGTATTGGGAAAGAATTACGATATTTTGAATAGATTAATAGAAGAATCAATAGAGGCGTTTATGTTTGTAATTTTTTATTTGAAATTAGATGCTAATTGGATAACCCATAATGAAGGTGAGTACAGAAGATATTAGCAACTTGAAAAGTGTAATCATATCTCAAATGTAAAATCATTCTTTATTGTTTGCTGTTCAAAAGCAAAACGGTTTAGAGTGTGGTTATGTGATTCAAGCAATTGTTAAAGGGAATATCAAAGAATAGGAATTGATTTAGATGAGAGCAGCAAATAGAAACTCAGTGATTTCAGGATGTAATAAATCATAATTTATTTAGAATAGTTCATCTAAAATGATAAATGCGTATTTTTTTTAACATTCAAGCAATTTTCAGAGATATTTCCAGAATTATGTATAATCCAATATCATCCTACTTATTAATGGAGTTCTAAAGAATTGATCATACAATAAAAGAGGGAATTCTAATAATACGTAGAAAATACTTATTGTTATGATTTTGACATAGTTTAAGACTGTCATCTTTACATGTCAATTTGCTAAAGAGATTAAAATTTCAATTCTAATTAATTGGTATCTCCAATTAAGTATGGGTTAATTCGAATTTTGATTTCCAAAAAGAATGATGATAAATTTGAATTTACAACTGGAGATTACAATATTAAATAAAATGTATGTTTGGATATGTAGGAATTAACTAAAGGATCATACACACTCTTTTGTTAAGGCTATTTTTATAATCAGATAGAGAATAATCCAAAATTACACCAGGAACAATAAAGATTGTTTGTTTAATATTTTGGATCTTCAGTTCCAGATAATCTGATTGCTAATACAACAGAATTCTTTGAATCAAGTAAATTAATGTTGGCCAGCTTAGCTATGAATGATGTAAGTAAAGAAAATACTAGGACATATGAATAATTGGAATAACCTGAAATATAAGTTACTACTTAAATGAATCTAGGGATGTTATACTTTTATTATAACAATATGGGAACTACAAAGATAGAGGAGGAAGTAGTATTTGATAAGTGTGAAAACATTATTGACTTCGAAACAATGAAAGTACAAAATAAATTTAATGTTATTGTTCCACCTCATAATGACTATCTCAAATTGTACGTTTATGATCCCTTTGTAATTTTTAATGAGGATTAGCCTATCTTCCAATACTCATGTAATATCAAGTCTCTTGTGCATTCAACTAAGAAAACATTTATGACTCAGTCTATGAATTTGAGTAAAGTTAACCACAAATAATCTATTTTTGAAAGCATCGCTAATAATCCTTCTTTAGAATTAATCACTTATATGAAGGAGAATGCTAAGTAAGCTACGAGAGTATGGAATAATAATCCTATCGATGTTTAGATGTATATTTATCAACATTAAGAAGGTATAAATGATCACTATTTTCAAAGGTGTCATAATTCTATATTTAAATAATACTCAAAACATATATGAGGAGAAACTAACATTTACATTAGATAATTTAACTATCAATTGCACTCCATCTCTTAGACAAGGGAACTAAGTTTATTTCTAATTGGATTCATATGCTCATCTCTTCATATATTTAAACATCCTAGATAATAAAAAGCCTTACTCACACAAAATTCAATGTATTTATACCCTTTACAAATGATATTTGAAGATTTAATATCATCAATTAAAACATAAAATTACTTATTATTATATATTCTATTTTATTATATAAATATAATAAATCTATATTCTTTTGTATCTAAATTAAATCTAAAAATGTAGAAAATAGAGAGAATTAAAAATACTCATAATCAGAATTCTATTTTTGAATCATAAATATAATCTGAAACTGAAATAAAAGATCAATACCATATTAACTATGGACATAATTCAATTCTCTTTACAATGTAACACATTATCAATTATTATCAAATAGAATTAGGTTATAAATTGATTTAAAATAGAATAAAATAAATATTGAACAATTAAGGGAATTAATGAATTAAACACAATTGTAAGTTCAAAGACAATGACTTACTTATTACAAAAATATATGAGGTTTTAAATTAAAAATTAACAGATATAACAATACTTGAATGAAAAGTATTCAGTTATTATAATTATATTTTCACCATTGTTATATAGCCTTCAAACCTATTTTAGTCATGTATTCTTTAGCTTTCTTTTGATGTTCTCCTCTGCACTTATAAAATCCTACAAAGTTGATTCCAGTCAAACAAAATGCTGTCATAGCTAAGACAGCCTATTTTAATTTTAAATTTTACATTAAACCATCTTAATCCGATCAAATCTAATAAGATTAAAATTCCCCATGTTAAGACTACTCCGAATTAAGCAAACCAAAAGATATTTGAATTGAATGGATTTGGAATGAAATTGGCTACTTAACACTCATAGATCCATTCTTCAGATCCATCTTCCTTTACTTCTGACCACCATCTCAAACCGACCAGTTTTCTATCATAATGTCGAGTGCTACCTTCCAGTGATGTTCTTGACTGTCCAAAAATCAATTGCTGACAAAATCACGACAATTATAAAACAATAGGTTAGATTTAATAAGCCTTCTGGAATGAAGAATCTAATTTTAATGCTTGTCTTACACGAAGATGGCGAGGCCCTTAAATAGGCAATGAAACAATTATGAAAGAAAGGAGGGATCTGCGGTTTTAGGAGGGAGTGGTTAAATGGGTATGGCATCATGATGAGGAGGTTATTGAACTTGGGAGACGGTATTGGATGAGATTTGATTAACTTTCTTTTCGTCGTCTCCTAATTTGATGTTCACGTTGTCGAGGTCTGGGATGGAGTGTTGGACGTCTTATTGATCATCGCCAATTTACTATAATGAGAGACATAGAATACCATGTTGAGTTTAGTTTATTTTAAATTAATTAAAACCCACAATCTGGGTAATGAATTCTTAATTCTATAAAAAGGAAATCATGAATTTATAGTATATATGATGATCAAGAATTCCGACTTCGTAAATTAAGATGTCGACAATCTTCGCCAGTTCTGATTAAAATATATAATTTTTGTTTTTGAATTTTTCTTTAATTTTAGATAATAAAAATTTCAAAAATAATATATGAATCCCACAGTTTTCGATCTCTTTGCTCAAATCAAAGGATTGTATACATGTAAATGTTATGAGTTATTGTAGAGTAAAATTTAGAAGAATTCCATCAACGATTCAAAGGAGATGACGAATTCAAAAAAATTGCCAGACAATCTAAAATTTCTAAGAGTCAACTCGATAGTTTGGAGGACAAGACAGCCTTGATTACTAGATTAAAAAAAATCATTAATGAAAGTAAAACAGCACATAAAGATGCATTACTCTCTGCAAAGAAATTTGAGATAGCTACTTAAGAGAAAGAAAAGGGTAATTTTTAATTCTAATAAAAAAGTGTTTAATGAGAATTCAAAATTAAAGAATCAAATTAAAACCTTAGAGGGCTTTAGGAATACTCAAACTAATCAATTAAATGAATATTAAGAAAAATACAGCAAAGTAGTTGATGAGGAAAAATAAAAGAAAACAGAATTAGTTGAAGGATTTCAATAAGAAATCAAAGACATCTCCACTAAAATGGAAGAGGTCTCTAATGCCAAACATAAAAGTTAAGCTGAAAATGAAGCTTTGAAGGAAAAAATGAAAGAAATTCAAGAACATGTTGAAAAAAGAGATAAAATCTTTGATGAAGAATTAAATAAATTAGGTAATAACATACAATAATTATTTTAAAGATTCATAAAGAAAAGAAAGAGAAACCAAAATATTTGAATAAATCAATAACATAAGCTAATCTCTGGGAACAACCGATAATTCAGAGGATTTATTATAAAAAATAAAAGAAGAAGAAGCATTAGTAGAGGCTCATTTGAATCCACATCTCTAAAAAGCAGAGGAATTCTAATAGATTATTGAGAAAACAAATCAATAATTTAATTTATATAAAAACGAAACAGAAAAAGTACTTTCCCATCTTATATATAGCTTGCACAATAATGCAGAAGTTTAGAGTAGAAGTCCTAAGCTTGTTAAAGAAAGTGCGAAAAGTCTGACATTTACATTGTAGACTAAGCGAAAGAAGTAATCAATTAATCTATTATTTAGTATTAAAAACTATAAGTTTAATATAAACAAAAATAAGAGTAAATAAATTCATTATTAACATTGAAATCAACATTATAAAGTGGATTATTATGAGTTATATTTAATGAAAAATTAATTATAATATAATTATTAAGCACGAATTATCAATGAAATTCTTAATAATCAATATAATATATGTTTTATGTTATTAAATATATCTAAAGTGTTCATAATATTAAAGTAGATTTTTGAAAATAAACAAATATTTCAAACTTTGTAATAACACTAATAAATAATTTGAATAATCATAATTTAGTCCAATCAAAAATGTTATCATTTGGAAATTTCATTCTTGTAAAAAGATCTTTAAATAATTTCTTTAGCCAAACATAATCAGGTCTCTCTTCGAATTTTAAGCTTTTGCAATAATTAAAATAAATGGAAAACTCTTCAGGTAATCCATCACACAATTTTTCGATTGATGTAGCAATTTTGGATTCAGCAATTTTTTCATACTTATCTTTCTTATTATCTGTTTTTAATCCTTACCAAGGTAATTAACCATTTATAAAATAAACCAAAACATATCCAATTGCTTCTAAATCATCTCTTCTACTCTACTCAACTCCTAAATGAGTATTCACACTTGCATATCTAGCTGTTCCTGTCAAGCTTTTACCTTCTCTATATGGTATATGGAGATCTAAAACATTAGACAATATAAATACTAGTTCTCTAATCTCGATATTTCTTAGAGAGTCCAAAGTCAATGATATAAACTAAATCATTCTTTTAATTTAATCCAATTAGGAAATTGTCAGGTTTGATATCTCTATGAATTAGATTTTTGCTATGAATAAATTCAATTCTTTAAAGCATCTATTAGGCAATCATTAAAACTGTTTTTAATGAAAAGTGTCTTTTGCACTAATTAAACAGATCTTCTAAGTTGGGACCAAGTAGTTCCATCACTAATATATTGTATTCTCCTTCACTTCCAACCCAATAGGATTATGGAATGCCCACTTAATATATATTTTATCAATGTACATCCTCCTTGTAATACTTTGTAGATCTTGCCCTCAAAGATTAGTTATGGATGTTTATTGGCGATAGCTTCCTAGATGTATAAAAATTGTCATACTAATTTAATAGCTACATCCTGTCCATTTTATTTGTTTGTTCCTTAATGATTATTCAATAAGTTGTACCTAAAAAGATTTGTCCAAAAGAACCACTTCCTATTTTTTTATCAAAAGAAAATCCAAACTTGTTGAGTCCAACTTACATATTAATATATACTTATAATTTATGTAAATTTAATAAGAATTTTCATTCATCTAAACAGAAATAGTTACCACTTTGTTTCTACTCTCTATCCAAAATAGAATCCATTTTATTGATTCTTGGTCTAAAGTTGGTTGGATCTAAACAGTAATAAAAGTGAGTATACCTCTTCTAAATGTAATATTAAGCACATTCAAGAACTTGTTCATTCCTGTCAATAAATCTTCAGGTGTATTAGCAACGCAAGCTTTGCCTGGAACACCCTCATAGACTACGACTCTTGGGATATAGAATAATATTATTACTTATCTGCCAAATAAGTTGCCATAATGAAATCATGTTCAACAACAAATCCTGCTCTTTTAGTATTCATAATATATCTTTTAATCAATTTAGATGTGGCAACTCTTTACTCTGCATCTAAATAGGCAGAGGGTTCATCCAATAGATAAACCTCAGCTGGTTTACCTAAAGCAAGAATCAAAGCGACTCTTTACAATTCACCTCCTGACAATTTCTTAACCTCATTATCTTCCAAGTCTTCAATTCTCAATGGCTTATACACATCAGTTTTGGAATTAAGGATTTCTATGACTATCTTGTAATTTAGATCTGAATAGCTCTTAAACAGTTCCATCGAATGTTGGTGCAATCATTTATGGTTTGTAACTGACACTCAATCTGGGGACATCAACAGCATCTTTGTCCTTTCCTGCCAACATCTTGATGAATGTAGTTTTTCCAGTTCCATTTTCTCCCAATAAGACAACAATTTCTGAATTATTGAAACCTCCTGCTTTGATTTACAATGAAAATTCTCCTTACACTTTCTTCATGTCAGGATATTAATAGTTTTTCTTTTGTTTTTGGTTCTCCAACATTTCTAAATTATCTGATATCTTGAAATTTAATTCATAGTCTCTGAATCTCATATTTTCAGTTGGTACAAATCCAGCCAAGAATATATTGATACCTTCTCTAACTGAAAAAGGCATTGTCACTATACCATAAGCTGTTTATTCACCATAAAGACAACAAATAAAATCGGATAGATAATCTAAAATGGATAGATCATGTTCAACAATAATAAGATAATTGTTATCTCTCACTTGATTTCTAATGATTCTAGATGCCACTACTCTTTATTTGATGTCCAAATAAGATGTTGGTTCATCAAGCATCAAACAATCACTTTCAGAAATACAAGCCATCAAAATTGCAAATCTTTACAATTCACCTCCTGACAACATACTTATTTCTCTATCCAATAAATGATTCAATTCTAAATCCTTCAACAATTAATCTGCTCTATTCAATTTATCCTTATTCTTAATAACATCTCCAACTTTCCCTTTGACTGCCTTACCAATAGAATCCACATATTATGGTTTGATTACAGCCTTGACCTTACCCTCAAACACTTTTTATAAATAGCTCTGTAATTCACTACCTCTAAAATACTTCAATATCTATTCTACTGTAGGTGGCTCTTTATATAAACCCAAATTAGGTTACACTTTTCCACTTAGAATTTACAATGCAGTTGACTTTCCAATACCATTGGTTCCAACTAATCCTAAAACTTATCCAGGTCTAGGTGTTGGTAATCTATGCAATTTGAATGAGTTGGCTCCGTATTAATGAGTCAATTCTTTAGATAAATCTTTGGGTAAATTGATAATCATGATTGCTTTGAATGGACATTTCTTTACACAAATGGCACATCCAATGCATAATGATTCATTTATTGTGCATGTTTTGCTTTACTTTGTAACCTCTATACACAATTTCTCACTCTTATTAATTGGGCAATTCTTCTTACATTCCAAAGCACAACGCTATGGTTTACATCTGTCTTTATTGATGATGGCAATTCTTAACTTTGATTCCTCCATTAATTAAATTCTTTAATTATTTTATATTTTCTTTATTAATAATGATTCTTTATTCCAGATTGATAATATTGATTTCTTACTCATTTTCATCCAAACTGTCTATCGTTTTATATCACTATTTCCATAAAATCAATAATATGTTATCAAATAAAAAAAAGAAACCTTGAATTTTATATTAAGATATATAACATCTTCAAAAAAATAATAAAGTTATTATGTAGTATAATCTTTGTCATCATAATTATTTTAAGGAAAACCTTCTTTTGAGGTACCAATTAGGTTAGTTATTTAGCAACTAATCAAAGAAATTTGAATTTTAAATATTTTCTGACTTCTAGGCTGTTCTAATTTATTTATGTATTTTTATAGATTAATGGTTCTATTGTGGTTGAATTAGGGGTCTTGAAGTTCATTCATAAATAAGTGAAATAACGGAAATTTTTGGGAAGATGAAAAATGGAATGAATAATTGAAATTCGTGGGAAATAATTACAAAAGGAAATTAATTAAGAATGTTAATTTTCTTAAGTTAGTTTATAATTGTATGGTATTCAGTTATATAGAAGTGAATGTGAACTTATAAATTTGGAGTGGGAGGGTCGATTAAATAATAAGATTGAAATGGTTCTGTTTTATAAATAATTTATTAATGCTTCTTAAATTAACATAAATATTATTTATATCTTATTAATGAGTTTCTTTAGATCGGAGACTATGGCATATTATTAGATAATAGTACCTAAGGAAAGTGCATGGAATGTGTTCAATGAGATGGGAAAATTGAGTATGGTAGGGAATGGAATCTATATTTAAGGTCTAAGTGGTGGATATGTCACCAGATGAGCCCCATGTGAATCGACCTTTTTATCAATACATCCGAAGAGCAGATGAAGTTATCAGTAAGTTAAATGTATTGGAAGTGGAGATGTTGAAGTACAAAATAAAGAATCTGAAATGCTCTGATTATTAATAATTCTTAGAAAAAATGTCCTAATATACTAAGGATATAAGCTAAAGTGAAGATAAATGGTTTGATCTAATTGAGAGTACTTTGGATGAAAAATATTGTAAACATTGGTCTTTATCTCAAAGCTCAATTGATAGAACAAATTCAGAATTTGGAGCAAATCTCTGTTCGTAAAAACACTTTGTTTGAACACAAGGCAGTTTTGATAAAATCAAAGGAAGTATTGGGTCCAACCTATTACACGAAGGGTAGGAATGTGGCTATAAATCCACAGATAGGTGGTATACCAGAACAACAAAAAGTAGCACAACCACGTATAAATTGTATGTTATAATGACAATAGTTTATAATCTAAATTATTTGGTGGGAGTGGTTGACAGATTAGAAGCCAACCGTTTTAAAAGAATGGTGTTCAGAGCCTCCAAAGGAAACGCATGGATTGTGATGTCTGATATAGAATATTCAAGAATTGATGCCTCATTAGAATCGGGGAACTTGGATTCTGATAAGTCGGCTGCTAAAAATTTGGAAAAGCAAAGAACAGTGTTTCTGATTGTGTATACAGGAGGAGGATAAGATTTTTTGAGAGCCAAACTCAACAAAATTTGTGATTCGTTTAATTGTGCCAAATTTGTACTTCCAGATGATCCTTAGTTGTTAGTCTAAAAGACATTAGAATTGGATCGTTCTTTGGATGAATGCGACAATGTATGATGCCATTTAACTTTTAGTTATTGAGATTGACAGCTGGTAAGATAAAGGAATTATTATTGGAGTATGCTTAAATATAACCATAATTGAAAATATCATTGTTGGAAATGAGTAAGTTGATAATGGTGAAAGAGAAAGCATTATATACCAATCTAAATTACCTTTATCAGAAAGAAAGAATTTATATAGGGTTCTTTTGGGCACCCAAACATATAGAAGCTGAATTGCATCATACGGATTACACCAATTGAGTGTCTCCTAAAGCAACGTTTCAGTTGGATAAATTATTGAATTGGAACCACCTGAGAAAGTGCTTACACCCACTTACTTTAAGATAAATGAATTCAATAATGTATTCCAAGAAATTGTCAACACTTACGGAATCCCCAGGTATAAGGAAGTGAACCCTGGAATGTTTGCCGTTATGTTTTTCCCTTTCATGTTTGGTATTATGTTTGGAGATATTGGTCATGGTGGTGTTCTATTTGTTTTAGCATTCCTTTTAGTCAAAAATGCTGACACTCTAAAAAAACTGCCTGATTTTGCTGCTTTAGTTTAGGTTAGATATTTATTCCTACTGATGGGTTTGTGTGCACTCTATTGTGGTATTATTTATAATGATTTCATGTCTTTGACTTGGAATATATTTGGAAGTTGTTTTGAAAATGTCCCTGATTCTGAAGAAACTGTTTATATTAAAGGATGTACCTACCCGATTGGATTTGATCCTAAATGGTACATAGCAAGCAATGAATTGAACTTCTTCAATTCTTTCAAGATGAAGTTTGCAATCATTTATGGAGTCTCTCAAATGATTTTTGGTATTCTCTTAAAAGGAGTCAACAATCTATATTTTAAAGATTACTTATCATTTATTTGTGAATTCCTCCCACAATTGATATTTATGTGCATAACTTTCGGTTACATGGGAGTGATGATCATGTTGAAATGGGGATAGAGTTGGGAAGGTAGAACTGATTAGGCTCCATCAATCATCAATGCTATGATCAATATCCCTCTATAAGGAGGTTCCACAGAAGGAAAACCATTGTTTGACTTAGAGTCTCAAGAGTCTCTTTAATAATCTATTCTATTTTGGTCATTCTTATGCATTCCTTGGATGCTTCTACCTAAACCCATTGTCGAGGTTATTCAACACTACTCTGGAAAAGAGCATGAGAAGAAGCCTTCAAAAGCACTTGAACCCAAAGATGAAAGCAAGGAAGCCTTGTTGCCTGTTCAATCGAGCCAAAAATCAATTAATTAAAGTGCTTTGGCCGAAGAATTAAGATTGTAATTAATATAAAAGGAAAAAGAGAAGGAGTAAAGAAGAAAACAATTGGAAGAACAGAGACTCAAAGAGTAAGTAGCAGAAGAAGATTTACAAAATGATTAACCATAAAAATTATTACCTAAATAACCAGAAAAGACTGGAGAACATGGACATGGACATGACGAATTTGATATTGGAGAACTTGCTGTACATTAGATTATTGAAACCATCGAATTCGTTCTTGGTTCTATTAGTAATACTGCATCATATTTGCGTTTATGGGCCTTATCTTTAGCACATGGATAATTGGCTAAAGTGTTTTTCGAGAAGTGTATTGGTGCAGGAATTGAAGATGGAAATGTAATTGTCTTAGTCATTGGATGGCCTGTCTTTCTACATTGCACTATTGGAGGTATATATATATTTATGTATGATTAGTTTTAATGTGCATGGATCTTATGGAATGTTTCTTACATGCTCTAAGATTGTAATGGGTGGAATTCTAAAGCAAATTCTATAAAGCTGATGGTATTAAGTTTATGCCATTTTCATTCAAAGAAGTTCTAACAAATCAGCCAAAGGATTAATGAATTATTCATGAACATTTATATATCATACAATATTCTATAAAATTGTTAAATAAATTAATTTATATACACTCAGGTAGTGAAGACTCCTTTCCTTTCCAATCTCTTGTTTCTCTTTTTCAATTTGAATCCATGTTTCAACTTCCAAGTTTTCTTACCACTTATGGGTCTAAGACGAGATGAATCAACTAATTCAGGATCCTCGTCTTCTTGATTGATTGTCACATATTAATTCTCAGGCTTCTTTGTTCTAGGTTTCTCTTCTTACTCAGGCAACATATTGTTATTCTATTCATCATTCAACAATCTTCTTTTCCTTATCAATTTATCAGTAATTTAATCATGAACTCTCACAAGCACTTTGACCTTCGATTAATCTCCCTGCATCTTCCTTTACTTCTTGATGAATTCTGGTAACAAATATTCAGATACAGGACCTAAGACATTTTTATATATTGATACCTTATGGCAATTATATTGCTGATCTATTTAACTTCTTCTTTAATTATACGATTTGATCTTACAACAATTCTTTTTCTTTCTAATTCTATTAAAAGTACTCCACTAGATCTGGTGATTTGATCATCTTCTTTTTGAAATCGATTTGCTCAGCCATTTTAACTTAATATTTAGATATATTTTTGGTTGTATCTTCTATACGATAACGGAATGCCTCAATTTCATTTTATTTTATAGGATATTCTTTGCAATTAATATTATTATACTCAGTGTTTACAAACTACATAACTGTTTCAACATTTTATTCATTATTTGAAGCTATACATACAGTATTGCTCACAGATTTTAATATTTAATCTGGTAATTCATTTGGCAATAAATTATACAAAATGATATTATCTAACTTCTTTAGAGTATAAGGTTATTTGGATTTTTTAGTTTGTTACTTGCTTCTTTCAAAGAATTCATTTTCCAGATCTAAGAAGACATTGGCAGTAGCTACAAGTATTTAGATAACTCCAGTATTGAAAGTTGACAATGTATAATATTTAAGTCTTTTTGGGTTTTCATGGTTATAAATTTGATATCTTTCGATATTACATCTTTAAAAAAGTAATTGCAAATAGTAAATCTCAAACAAATTTTAAACTATAATAAGTGTCTTTCCTTAGACAAGGTTAAGTTTCAAAGTGATGTAAAGGACTATCTATTATTAAGTAAAGTCTGAATAAAAATAGTAAAACAAATTGGGCAATGCATTATTAGTTTATTAAATGACTCTATCTTCTTATTCCTATTCTTCCTAATCCTCTTCAATTTTAGCAACTGTAATTGCCTTTCCAAGTATAACTTCAATCAATTTTTCATCTCCAATATAAATTGTGAATTGATTCTTGGAAATCCACTTAGAAACTGTTTCCAATTGATGTTATCCACCATAGAGTGTGGCTAGATTGCAATCATCAAATAAAGCAAATTAGAAACATTTATTATCTACCTTACCACTAGCCTTTAATTTACTCACAGAATAGTAGGTGGCAAACAATATAGATGGTTATGTAACAAGGTGGTAATACAATGTTATATTAATCATTCTAAGAATATTTTACTGAATATGATACTCTTAGCATTCAGAGGAAATTATGAATTAATATCAAGCAAGGCAATCTCTTAGGGATAGTTGTCAAGCAACTTTTGAACTATGGTTTTACAATGTGCTGATTGTTCTCTGCTTGCTGAAGTAACGAGTAGATAATATCCATTCTATGATAATGTATTTAATGATTACTTCTTCATCAGGAGTGAAATGATCTAAAGATTTCAAAAACTAATCCAAAATAATTAACAGACAGGACATAGTTCTTCCACTTTATTTTGGTGCTTCAATACATGTTAAATGTTTCTTGTGTTGGATGATCTAATTTTTGCTATTAAAATTACTTAGAGCAAATTATTCATTATAAAAGTGGGATGCTTGATGATACCGAACTCCCTTTTGAGTTGGGAGAGTAGAGGTGATGTTATTTGATGCTACTTGAAGAATTGTTGGATTGTAAGTTCGTGATCAATATATTACTCCATAATTAAATTTATATATGTCTCATTTTTTTAATAAAGGCAAATATATTGAATTGTAGAAAATCGATGCCATATATGCCCCAAACAGTGGAGCAAATAGAAACACCCAAAAATTAGCTAATTTAGTTGTGTCATTCAACCAGAATGCTTCAAATAATTCCAATCCCACACCCATAGCTGGATTCAGGCAACCTCAAATAGAAGAGTATGAAATACCTCCAGAATGTGATGACAACTATCTAGAAAAGAATAGAGCCAATGCAATCCAAGCGATGCCTGCAATGTCATTATTAGTCTATCTAGTTTATTCATGAACTTGAATGTGTATGAATAGAACAAACATAAAGGTTCCAAAGGCCTAAATTAAGGTGATGTAAGTACTTCTCCACACAAATCAGCAAGCATCCACTCTATGTTTGTACTCTTAATACTAGGAGATGTCACTACTCCCAATATTAAATAAGCAATCCAAGCACCTCCAACTGCACCTAATAATTGAGCTGTCCAATAGATTCTCAATGTCCATGAACTAATTGTATCATCACAATAGAAGCTGAATGACACTGCTGGATTGACATGGCCACCTGTAAATTTGCATGTTAAAAATATTGCTGCATACAAATAAGCAGCAATCAAGATATCAGATCCATTAGATGCCACTATGCCATATGCGAATAATCCTGTTCCTATGGTCTCGAAAATAAATATGATTGTTAAATCTCCGAATGTTTTTGGGGCTGGTCTTTTTACTGGTGGTTCATTAGGCTCTTCTACATCTAGTTGAATGAGATGTGTCTGTGGTTATTGAACTTCGTTTTGGGGCTCCTCATTTTCTTGTTTTTGTTTGGGGGATTCCATTTTATTAATAAAATATAATATAATATAAGTTTGAGTTAATATGCTAAATTCAAGGTTAGTTGAATAGATATTTTGAAGAATTAATAGATCGATGGCTAGGTAATTTACTAAAATTAAAGCGATCTTTCTTTGAAGAATTTGAAGAGATATTAATTAACGAGGGTTGACGAGGAGATCCATATTATGATTATTATTGCTGATCAAATCTGGTAGACGATTATTATTGCTATTATTATGGTGATTGAATTTGTAGTTTTAATTAGGAAAGCATGACACTGCTTTCTACTCTTTTGAAACTATTATATTCAGAGCCCCCTCGTTTTCTGTCTGGATCATTGACTTCATTGGGTTTAACTATGCTTATCGTCATTATGGTATGTCTATCTTATCGAGTGGATTGATTCTCTTATTCAAAGGGAATTGATTTATTGTTCTATGAAACCTTCCCCTTCTGTATCTGATATGCTTTTCTTAAGTCACTCTGTTTCACTGAATCGATAAATCCTCCTTAGATGTTGAGTTTCTGAAGGGATGACTATTGTGAACTGGTTGGCAACTCCTCTTTGTCCTTGAAGATCTTCTCTAATTGGGCTCTGCATTTTAGACAGCCTCTCCATGATCCTATTCTATTTTCATTTCATTCAAATACCGAAATTAGTCGACCGCTTTTTACATATTCTTCTCACATAATATCCCCTTAAAGTAAATCTTACCTCTCATGTAATTAATGATAGATTGATCCTTCAAAATATCCTCTAACTAATCCAACAGAGAAAGGAAATCGTTTATCGAACCCTCCTCTCTCTGTAAATTTTGAAAACGAAGATTAAGTAATTTTTTAGCGCACTTAATATCGCCACTAAGTGCCCCTTATTCGAAGATTAAGTCAGCCATCATTGGATTGGCCTGCAATTCCTCACCTAGGCCATTTAACAGCAAAATTCCAAGATCGTAAAATGCTGGTAAATAGTCTTAGTTCTTGGCTTGACTGAGTAATGGGTAAATTAATTGCTTTCTATTCTGTTAAATAAATGAATGAAAATCTTACTTTGTTTAAGCTAGTCTTGCTCATCTCTTAATAAAGCAAAGACAATTTATAAGTAGCTTCAACTGAATTCTTTTTTTGAGCTTGTTTATAAAAGTATTCAGCATCCTAATAGTCCTTCTCCAAAGAATCTATCATTAATATTTATAATTATTATTGTTACAATTTTATAATTCCAAACCAGATGTGTATAAGTCTCCCAGATAATTCATTGAAGGAACATGTTCCAATTCGGCAGCCTTTCTTAATAATTTGATAGCCAAATCACAATCCTTAGTTTTGATAGCTGTCACACTTGATTTTCTGCTCTATTGATCATCCTTCTCAAAAAATTTATCAAAAACTTTTTCTTCCTATCAAATTACTAATAAGGTATTACCAATATTAATTTAGATGCCCAATAGACGCTGAATGTATGTCCTTGGTCGGCACTCAATTTCAAGTAGTTAAAAGCCTACCACAAGTAGTTTTTATTTAAATACCTGATCATAATCTTTTTCTCCTACTTCTCCATCCATTAAAATCTATCCCATTATTGCCTATGCTATCGGATGGTTCTCCTCTGCCAACCTTTTGTATATTTATAATGCGCCTTCTCTATTTCTCTCGGTTCCCAATCCCACATACAATTCATGGGCAGTCTTCAATTGTGTATCCAAATAACCTTTTTTAGATTTTTTCATGGTATCGAAATTCTTTGTTCTGATATCGTTGGTGAATTGCTCAAACCATTCATTTAACCGTAATTTGAAATCATTCTAACATGTCGAATTCGGCGTTCTGTTTTCTAACAACAACACTTATTCCCAAAAGAAGCACTACTTCTCCAAAGCACGTAGCTGTTTGTCGTACTGCTTATAGGTTTGTCCTTTGCATGGCCATTTTATCGATTCTATTAAACTAAATGCATCGTGCACTTCTTAAATAGTCCTTATCGTATCTCTTTGCAAATTGAATAATGACTAGGTAATCTTAACCTTAATTTGGTTTTGTTATGAACTATAATTTTTAAGAATCTACTGAGCCTAACCTAATATCAATGTTGATAGCTATCTTTTTCCTTCGTCTATCTTCGAACTTATCTCAACCTGCGTTATGAGGTCAGCTAATTAAAATGCAATAGAATACATATTTATTAATGTGCTGCCTAAAACTTGAATCCATCATAAAATAATGAGTCATTCTCCGAAGAATTAGAATTCACTTAATCACAAAATTGGGCTATCGTCTATTGTAGCTGTTCTTGATACGTCTTAAATAAGTTGTCGTTGATATATCGTGAATTCAATGACATATATAATTTATTAATAATAATTATTATTTCCTTATCATCTCTTCTGACCACTCCAAGATTAGAGTTCCATAAACTTGTTTTGAGACTTGCTCAGCATATCTTAAGTTTACTAACTAAGCCAACTCATCATACCTTCAAACGCGCTTTCAATGTCTCCTCATCCTTAAACAACTTTTCCCTTGACTTTTTTAGTTTCTCCTCAATTAATCTCTCATAAGAAACTCTCTCCTTATAAAATTATTACGATTTCATCTCATCCAATTTCTTAGTTTCCTCCTTCTTCTTCTTCCTCTCCTTCTCCTCCTAATACAATGCCTCCCTAATCTTTTGGTTCTCCTGAAGTATGCAATCTCGAGTTCTACTTAAAGTCATTTTCATTGTACTCTTGTATTCTTTCACTTAAGATTGCTTCATCGAATCTCTAAAATCACACACTTTATCTTACCCTAATTTTTGTGCTGTCAGTCTCTTTTTAATGAAGTCTTCTTCACATTTTTTTATTGATTCAATCTGCTACTTCCTTCTTTTCATTTTCTCATCCTTTATTTAATTCGCCTCCTCTGTCAATTCCTACAATTGCTTCTTCACCAAGATTCCATTCTCAATTTTGTCTGCTGCCATCTCATATAACTTAGCCTGCCTAACTCAAGTTACGTTTTACTAGATGCAAATTTTTCTACTCCGTCTATTTCAATAAAGTTATTTTAGCCATTTATCTTTCATATGCTAGCTTTTCTTGTTTCTTTTAACCTGTTGCCTAAAGGAGTGGAATTAGAGGTTTGTCATCATCATTTAAACTTCTTGACATATCGAGAATTTATATTAAAATTATAATATCTATTTTTATAATCGAATCTCTAAAATGCTTCAAATTTTATTAAATGATTTCAAACAACAACATAGAATCTCCATAATTGATATTCCCTTCATCCAATTTTATTTATTTTATTTTACATAAATCTTTTAATTCTCCATTAAAAACGAAAAGATAAATCAAATTAATTTTGTGACTTTAGAATTAAGACTTTCTTGTCTAACAATTAATTCAAACAATTAGTTTATTTTTAATTGTTAAACTCTTTTGTAACCATATTTATTTTTTAATTTAATAATTCCAAAAATATCAATTTTTTTAATTTCCCCAAAAGATTTATTTTTAAATTCCTTATATTTTAAAAAGCAAGTTTCTGATATAACTTACTAAAATGCAGTTTGGATTTCTTGTATATTTTATGAATTTCATTTTTTTTCATAATATTTTGATTTTAGTAACAATCCCCCGAATCTTATTTCGACAAATGTAATCTGTTTGATGAACACCATAGAATTTATAAATAAAAATGCTAAGTAATAATGTAAATTATATATCTGCAGATGTATGAATTATATTACACATTCAACTTTCAACAAATAAATTGATAATATTAATCCTTAGTTAAAATATTTAAATTTATTAATGTATCTACATTGCTCTTTTAAAATAAAACTTCCCATACATTAATTTAAGGCAGAAGAATTGATTTTTAATTAGATCCTTACTTAAGTTAGTTCCATTAATATTGAGTTTCATAAAATCGAAGAAAATACCTAAAATGGCACAATTTTTTAAATGATTTCGATCTTTTAGAAATTTTCAAACTGTAATTTTCTCTATTTAACTTCAACCAATTACAAGAATATAAAAGAATGTGCATGCTTTCAATTAAATATAAATTATTGAATAAGTTAGTAATATTAATTAGAATTTTGTTTATTATATGAGAATTTAATCAATATTCTAATTGATAATTCCTTCAGATTTAATTAGGGAGGGGAAATTTGAAAATAAATAAGGGTTTAATGAGTAAGTCAATTGAGATGACCAACTAAGTAAGTTTATAAATTACGAATTATTAAAGACTTTATTAATGGAATTATTAAAATACATATAAAATATAATAAATGAAATAAAATTTGGAAGAAATAGCAGCCACAATTCCAAATTATAAGATGGTTGATGGGAAGTACTACATCAAAACAACAAAACTGGGAAAAGGAAATTTTGCAGACACGTATATATAAAGATTTAAAAAAGTCATTTAGCTACATTGAAAGAAAATGAGAAAATAGTTTTCGCCTGCAAATTGATTGCAAAACAAAATATAATCGAAAAACTCAAAAAGAGTAATAACCCAGAAAGCAGAAAAGAATATATCATCAACTCATTAAAAATAGAAGTATAAGATTTCGCATATTTTGATTAGGTTTCTTTATGGAAGTAGATGGATCATCCTAATATTGTTAAGTTCATTGATTTCTCAGAGACTCCAAATAATATTTATTTCTTTTTGGAATACTGTAATGGTGGGGATTTGGATATGCTCATCAAAGACAAAGGAAAGTTGAATGAATAAGAGACTGTTGATATTTTTCTCTAGATTGCAGAAGGATGTTCATACTTATATGACAAAAGTGTTTTCCATAGAGATCTAAAGCCAGAAAATATATTGATACACAATGGAACAGCAAAATTAGCAGATTTTGGTTTTGCTAAAGTAATCGAAGAGGACAAAAAAGATGTGGCTGCTCATGGTACATCAGTAGGAACACCTTATTACATGGCTCCACAGATTTTAGCAGGAGAAGAGTATTTATATAGAAATAATTTATTTAGCTATTGCATCAAATGTGATGTGTGGTCTTTGGGTGTTATTCTGTATTAAATGTTATTTGGAGTGCTTCCATGGAAAGATACAAATTCTATAATGTTGTTGTTGAATGCTATCAATAATTAGAAAATTCAATTTCCAAATACAAATCCAGTTAGTTAAGAGATGAAAGACTTAATTACAGTATTAAATAGATTTATGAATTATTAGAAAATGCTGTAAAAGAAAGAAGAAGAGCGTATTAATATTAAGGAAGTTTGTGAGTCATTGAAAAAGATAAAAAAAGTGATATAAAATATTAAAATATATGCATATTGTATTTATATTCTAACTCATTAACCAATTAAGGCAGAAGCTGTCTTTGAGACACTTGAAGATAATATGAAATGTATACTATTTCCAATTTGATGGCAACTTTTGGGTTCTTCTGTAATATCTGCTAAGTCTATGAATTCTGCTTTCAACCAAAATCAATCTGAATTTGCTGGTAATATCACCTCTATTCTTCTCCAAATGCTTTCTGATTTAAACAGCCTTTTTGATTAAAGCGTACAAATCTTCAGGGATTTTTGGAGCACAACCTAAATTTTAATTAATTGCTATACCTCTTTTCTTTAAGATTCTCAAGATCTTTTAACCTGTTAAGAATCTGGTTTAAGGGATGCCTTATTAATCTCTTAAGTAGACTCCGATTTGAGATCCATTCAAACCTATAAAAATTGCAATCATGTTAAATGAAACCTTTCTTGGCTAAATTAACAATTTAATCGACGATTGATTTGGATGATAAGGTCAACCATTTTGGTGCTTTTCTTTTATATGGGAGGGCTGAACCAGAAATACCCTTTCCCTTTCCCTTAGCTTACATACGTCCCATGAATTAATTTAAGATTTAATTTTATTTAAATTTGTTTAGTCATTTCTTTGCTTTTTTGGGTTTCTTTTTTTTGGCACCTAAACCATATAACTCTTTTCTTTCCATTAGTTCGTTCTAAATTAATTTAATGGCATTTTCCATTCGCAATTATTGTAATTCTCTTAATTTTTTGGCTTCTTGTTCTTAAATTTCCTAAAATAAAAGAATAAATATACTTTTCTCTCACGTTCCTATTTTTCTAATTCTTCCTTTTCAAATCTTCTGTTCAGTAGATCTAATTCTTTTAACATAATAGTTTTTTGTTCAGTCAATTTCTCAATTTTATCTTCCAACTCTTATTTCTTCTCATCCATATACTTATTTTGATCATCTGTTTTCTTTTTTGATTCTTCCTAAATTTATATAATATTATTAAGTACTTCTTTTCTAATTAAGTAATCCTTTAATTATTTATGAACCTTTTCTTCTGTCTCAATTTTGGTAGTAAAATTTAAAATTTATTATTCAATATCCTTTAAAGCAAATTCAAACACTCTCATTTGAGTATTTTCTTTAGAAGTCCCTACCTTTTCATCATACTTTTTTTTTAAGTCAGCTCTATTTGTTTTATATAATAGTTTTTCTTTTAATGATTAAATATTCTTTTATTTTTCAGTCTTCTCATGTTCATGTTCTTTAATTTCTTAAGTTTTATCATTTTACAATTTCTTTATTTCAGCAGCCAATTCTTTTTCTCTCACTGCGAATTTTCTTAATGAATCCTACTCTTCTAAACTATTTGTAACATTTTGAGCAAATTTATTTAATTGATTGTTTTAAATGAATGTTTTGAGATTCTTCAATAGATGTAAATAAATACTTCTAAGTCTGAGATCAATCCTGCCCTCTCTTCATAGACTTTTAATGAATCTTAATCTATATTTGGGTTTTCTTTAAATAACCTAATATTTTAAATGAAACTTATACCTGCATAACTTCTTTGTACTCTCTTTCAGTCTTTATGCTACTTCCTAAATGTGCTTCTGAGTTTCAGTTAGTTATTTTCTATTAGAGATCCCTACCAATGTGCTTCGTTTGGCAACTAATTCTGCATATTTAACTTCCAATGTTTGTTGATCGGTTAGCAATTTACTTTATTCATAACCTGCCAATTCAGATGAGATATCATTATCTCTCGTGATTTCTCCTATAAATTGTAATTTGAGAATGCAATCCTTGAGCACAAATTATAATTTGTGCTGATCGATGGGATTCATTTTTTTATTAAATTATATATATGTATTTTAATGCTCATTCAAATTTGTAAAATTGTTTAGGCTTATCGATCTGATTGCTACATAAAATCAATTATTAATACATGCCATGGTGCCATAAGGAAGGTTCAAAATTATTGTCATCATCAATAAAAAAGAATTTTTTATCTAATTCTGGCACATCAAACTTATTTTCCCAAACAGGAGCACCATCAAGTAATTTGCCTATTTCTGTTTTGATGCTATTTGCATAATAACTTCCAGATGCAATTCTAATTATTCATTATTTTACACAATTACCTTGTTCCTAAAAATACTGCACCTACAATTCCAGCCTTAAAATATATGGCTAACTTCTTTGCTGGACCTATTCTATTGACGGCTTCCAAACTCAAATAAGTGGTAAGTAATGTTGACTTATTCTAGAAACTGGATTATCCATTCACTAAATTGAAGACTTTATTTTAAGTTTCTGTTGGGACAAGCGATGTGTGAGTCCACCAAGACTTATTATTTTATGTGAGGTTGATATACATTAATTTATTTAATAAATCTTATATTATCTATGTAAATAACAGAATTGTTTATTAGATGACAACTCCCTAAATAGCAATAAAAATCAACTCATTCATAAATAGAATATGCAATTAAGTATTAACTCAATCTTAATAAAAAATTCATATTGCTTTATTTTTGCTATAAGCTTTTAAATTTTATTAACTATTCTTGATAAAAGGTATATTCATATTTTTAAATATATAAATATTAATGCTTCATAAGGTATTGAGATTCATTCATAGCATATTTCATATAACAAAAACTTTTGATCGCACCAAAGGACTAAATATTTACCATCGTTTGATAAATTTCCATAGCTTTGTTAATTATTTAAGATGATTTATTCTTATTAAACTTTTAATTAAGTTTATGAGTTTAGAGTCAAAAAATGAATACGATTACAATGTTTTTAAATTAAGATTTATTTATTAGAATTGAATATTGATGGAAATGAGTAATCTCCATCATTTTCAGCCTTCTTTGAAAGTTATATTCTATAATCTAATAGCTCTTTGAAGGTACCATCTTCCTATTTAAATATATGAGTTAATCCCATTTTGAATGATTACCAAACTATAGATACATCTGAAATAAAGCTTATTCTATAACCAAAATCATTTGTTAATTTACTTATTACTTGTTGAAACACCCATTCCTTATTGTTGTTTTAACTCCAAACAATTATTTATCTATCTAAACCACTAGATACCAGCAAATTGTTGCTTTGATTCAGACAAATAGAAATCACAGGGCCGCCATGTCTTTCTAAAGATTATTAAAATTAAATAGTATTTTATCTATAATTTACAGACCAAATGGAAATTTTAGTGTCTGAGCTACAAGAGATCAATTAATTTTCTTTGTTATTTAATATTAATTGCAGAATGTAATCCTTGTGAGCATTTAGTTATTATTGTTTAGTCGTAATAATAAAATTAAATAAAAATATTTTTGGTTTCCATAAAATAATTGACATGTCTTTTCCTGCTGAAAATAACCAATTTTTGTTTTTACTAAATGCTAAAGTAAAAATTTGTTATGTATGCCCTTCTAGAGTACCGATACAATCGCATACTTTTCCATCTTAAAATTACCATAATTTAATTTCATTATTACAAGCTGAAGCAAGTAATGAATCATCATGGCTAAATGATATCGATAAAACGGTATCTTTTTATGGGAAGGTTTGGCTTAATTTTAATGATATTTTCATATCATGGTCTGGTTGATTTTGGCTTTGAAAAATAACACGTGGGCCATTACTATCCTCTCTAGCTATAAATAAACTATCAAATCGATCCGAGTAATATGATTACTGGTTTAGCCTCTAAACTGATTCAAATTCTTATTATTTTTTAACAAACTCCAAGAGATTTAAAAAAGTTTAGTTATTTGTTGTTAAAAGCTATATATTAGTTAAGTTATTCTAAATCTTTTCCGAATATTACCATTTTGATTACTAAATAAATTGTAATATTTAATCATCATTTTTAGAAGTTAAAGTACTATCGTTAAATCTATCTAATTCGTCTTAAAATTTGTATTAAGAAATTGCAATTAATTTATTCCCTAATTCAAGTTTCCAGTTGTTCATCACCTCTAATATATTGGAGGCATATTATTGAAAGCTACCCTGGAATGTGATCATATCCTCAATATGAATAATAATTTGCTGCAGTTAATCTAATATCATAGCCTTTTAACCCTAATATTCCAAATTTTTCATCTCTTATAATTTATTCGCAGCCTCAAATATGCTATAAACTTATTTTACACCAGAAAATTCATAAAAACATCCCTTACATAAAAGTTTATCATTTCCATGTATGTCATTATTGAGCAAAACGAATTCAACTTTTTCATTGTGTTTATTACATATTATAGATTCAGGTGAATCAATCATACGACATACTTAAATATTTTAATTCATGCTTCCTTTATAATAAATTAAAAAAATATTCCACAACTTTTCTCTAAGTTTCTCTTATAATTAAAAATTATAAACTAAATTTAGTGTAATATTCTTACTCAAAACCATTTAGGAAATCAGCATCTAAGAGATTATTATAAAATAGAGCATAGAGCATAACCTCAAGATTTTATTAATCTTACTGGATCTTTTTTTATAATTAATAAGTAAGTATTTTATTAAATATTTGGACTTAAATAGGTTTATAAATGAACTTTTATTGGTTTTGTTTTTTTTTAATAGATAAACATCTGCAATTAATTTTTAGAAAACAAGGATATGTTTTTAATTGATATTAATCCTAAATTAAACCTCATCAATTGCCATATATCTATTTAATGATACATTTATAATTTGATTCGAGGTGTAGGCATAATAATATTCAAGAATTTTGATATAAACTAATATTAAAATTATTCAAATTCTATTATATGTCAATTATAGATATAGATGCTTTAATAGAAAACCTTAGGTGTGAATATGGAGAGAAACATAAAAACTCACCAATTTTAGAAATAGATCTGAAAAAATAAGAAGGGATTGAAAAGAAGAATCGCTTGTTATGCGGATTTTGTATTTATAATTTTTAGGGGGGTGTGCGTGAGAGCATGGGGGTCTCTCATGTAATTTAAGCAATAAAAGAACAATATAAAAATATCGAAGAGTATCGTTTTGAATAAATAACGTCGGAAAAAAAGTTATTAGAGAAGATAAAACTTAACCTTGTAGATTTTCAAACATAATTATATTAGATATTAAATGAGACTGGAAATTTGATTGATTAATGCAACTGTGAGCTTGATAATTTAAGCTCTAATATATAATTTAACATAATGGATGAAATAGATGAGGTAGCATAATAATATATAAGAATTAAAGAAAATAAATATAATCAAAATAATCTCATATTTGAGGAATTCCATAAAACACTCACAAAGATTAGGATTGCATATTAAATCAAATTTAAAAACGAAATGAAAAAAGTAGAAGAGTCTATTTCTAATATAGTCCATTAATTTACTTAATATAATAATCGAGATCAGGAGAGGGAAAATCAATTAATTGAAAATAATATTTAAAGAATATCAAGAATAAAAATTATTAGGGATAGACCACTTCAACATAATAAAATAAGCGAGATTTACTGCTAGTATTGTGTTGCTCTTTCTTTTGATTACGAATGCAAATTCTTAGCAATCTCAACTTAAGAAAATAATGTGCATATATATAATGTCGAGAATAAAAAGTTAGAAGAAAATATATAAAAATTAAATCATGAGAACTAAGTTTATTCAATAATTTTTAGTAAAAATTAGAATTGGCTGGTAACAGGGATATCAACTGGTGGAGTTATAATATGGAAATTCCAAGATTCTCGATGGGAGAAATATGTTGAATTAAATGTACATAGAAAAACTGTTTTCGGTCTCTTACTGAACTAAAATGAAGATCTTCTATTTTCATGTAGCGAGGATGAAAGTATCATAATATGGAATTTAAATTTCGCCCAAAATGTAGTCTACAAACAGGAAAAGATTAACACAAATTCAGGATCTATATTTTCTCTAACTCTCAATAAATCAGAGGATAGGTTGGCATGTTGCAGTCGATTAACATGCGTAATTATATGGGAATATTCAAAAGAGTAAGCCTAATGGAATTATAAGCAAAATATCATGATATCACAATTTGACTTTGGTTATAGGATAAGTTTTTATAATAATTATTTGATTTTTTAACCTTCAAATGTAGGGATTTGTATTGTTTATGAAGAGAAAGATAATATTTTCTAAGAGTTTTAACAACTCTAATTGAATTGTAGTGAACCTTCAGACAAAGTTGGATTGTCACCAATTTAATACAACGAGACCAAAAATATTATGATATTGAAACATAGTCAATTTGTTTATTTTATTAGATAATAGGCTGATAAGAATTTTAAAATCATTGGTGATAGCATATAAAATAAGAATAATATCCATTTTTCAGCTTTATCATAAAATGGAGAATATCTGGCATGGTGGAATCAAGATAATAAAATAGTTTTATTCAAATTAGATTATGAATGAATGAATAAATGATAGTAACTAATATTCATATTTAATTATTCAACATATATAGTTTACACGTGCAATGTCTTCTTAAAAGAGAGAATCAAAGTCCCCTTTAAAATCGTTGTTAGCTGTATTCCAAGGTGGAGGAGGAGGAGCAACCAAAGTCATTCTACCACCCAACACTCAAATTGTATTTAATAAAGAAAAAGGAGTGTATGAATACCCAGGAAAGGAAGCTTATTCAGAGAAGAAGCCAGAGCCTAAATTTGAGGAATAGATTCCTCCTGGAGAAGTCAAGGAATATTTGAAGCCATAGAATCCTCATTTAAGAGGAAAGCAACAGAGATAATAGAAAGACCATTCAATTAAATAAGTGCCACCAGTTGCCATTCCTGCTTAAACAAATAACAATTAGACTTTAAATTAATAACAATAGGACTAACCAAAATAATTGGAAAAGCAACCTGAATAAGAGAAATAATTAGAGTAAAATGAATCATCACAATAAAGAAATACTTAAAATAATCCACAAATTGCAGTCAGCTAACCAAAAGCAAATTAGATATCCAATCAACCAGAAATACAACAATCTAACCATCATGTAAATAATCAACAGTTAGTGGTGCTTTAATAATAGGTTTTATAATTAGCAACAGAAAATAAAGAACTTTCATCACAATTATAAGAATTATGTAAAGCATATAATTAGCTGATCCTAAATTATGATTCATGCAATAACTTTATTCAAACTCTTCCAAAAGCACTTTTACCTTAGAATTATATGGACAATTTAGATTAAAATATGAAATATCTTAAACTATTCCAACCTTAAAATATAAGCTTAGACTTGTAATAGTTCAATTTAAATTTATTAAAAAACTAGACTCATGTTTTTGTTCCTCCTTAAATCATCGATTTTCCTATTAGTAGCAACGAATACTTGACCTAAATTATACAAGAGCAGAATGAAGAATTATCCGATATGACTGAACTTCTTGAATAATAATAATAAGAAATATAGAATAAAGATCTGTATGTGTAATAATAGCAATTACTAATAAATGATTTGTTGAGAAAACTAGAGGAGTTTGTGAACTGTACTAATGCCTTCAAGAAATAGTTAGAAAGCTAAGGTGAAGAAAAGAAAAACTATTAATAGTATATTAAGTAACTTGATTTTAACATTAAATAATAAGATTTGCAAATCAAAAATCTGTAAAAAGAGAAAGAAGTATATAAAAGATAGGTTCAAAGTCTTCAAAGAGATAAAGACATGTATATAAAATAAAATGAGAAATTGAGAAGACAATATGATGAAGATATTTAAATGATGAATTCTCAATTAGAGTAATCTCAATTACTAATTAACGATTAAGAGTGTGCTGAACTAAGATAAATTAAAGATTAATTACAGTTTGATTTAGAAATCGCCAAGTCAGAGATTCAAAATCTAAAATAACTTGTATATGAGATTAGTACTGAGATTAATGTTGGATTCAAATTCTTAGGATCTTTAGAAGTTAGATAGATTGAGACCAAATTAGACATCTAAACATTGTGCCATTCATATAGGAGAGAATATTAAAAGTAAAAGCTCTAAAAAGAATAAGGTCATTTATCTATTCTATAAGATTATAAAGCTTAAATCTTTTAGATAAATCTATAAAAATCCTCTTTAGAATCAATAGTTGCTTAATAAGAAAAATAAATCAATAACTATATCAACGATGTTGTATCATCAAAGAAAGAAATTGCTCTTATATGCCAAGAATATGAATAGAAAATAGCAGAAGTGAATGATTAAAAGTCAGTAGTTTTAAATGAATTAAAATAATGTGAAGATTAATTATTCTAGACTAATTTACAATTGATAAATCAACAATAAGAATTCTAGTCGTAATTGAGGAATAAAATACTTGAACATAATGAATAAACAACAGATTTGGAGAAAAGTCTTTAGCAATCTAAAATTGAGCATGAATTTCTGAAAAAATAAATTCATGATAAGGAGAAGGAAATTGAAAAATATTCATTAAATTCAAAAGAATTATAAGAACAAATAATAAGATTAGATCAAGAGAAAAAAACACTGCAACATTCTATATAAAATTCAGATAAATTAATTGAATTAGAAAAGAAATAATTAGAGTAATAAAGGGATTAGAATTAACATAAAATCCTTGAATTATAAACTTAGGTTGAGTAGATTACTGAATAATTGAGTCAATAAATGAATTTATTTGAAGAGCAATAATAAGAAAATTAAAATTTGATTGAATAAATTGAGAAATACTAATAAAAAGAACAAGAATATGATTTTATATTATAATAATAGGAAGAATTGAGTTAAACTAAATAATAATTATAGAATCAAATACAACAACACGAAAATCAGTTATAAATAGTATAAAATTTATATGATGAATTGAAAATTTCACATGAAAATAGTAAACATTAAAATGATTCATTATAATAAGAAATAGACTTGTTAAATTAATAGTTGCTTGATTCAAAAAATGAAGTTGAATAACTTAAATAAATGTAATAACAATTTGAAAATTTGATTCTTCAATTGAATGAACAAATAGAAGAGTAAAACTAAAATTAGAACCAAACTGATTTACAATAATAACTTCAAGAAGAGATTCATAATAAAGTTAACTAAATTAATTAATTGACAGAATAAATTGAAGAATTAACTGAAAACATAAGACAAATAAAAGATAACAATGCTGTAGAAATTGCTTAAATATAATAGTAGCACACAATAGAGTTGAATGGAAAAAAAGAAGTGATAATATAATTAGAAACCAGTTTACACAATTTATAACACCAAAATTCAGTTAACTCCTAAGAACTTGCAAATTTATAATAATATGCCTAAAATGAAAGATCATAACAATAATAGGAAACTGAGATTGAAAAACAATAATTAAAATTGCAGATTACATCTTTTAATGAAGAGAGAGTTACATTAAATAGTCAAATTACTTAGTTATCTTAATAAGTAGAACATTATAGTAATTTAAATTCATAATTAACTTAAAAAATAGAGGAGATTCAATAAAAATTATCTGATCAATAGAGCCAACAACAGCCATCCAACAAAGTTGATTAATAAGAATATCGTAATTTGGAATAAGAAAACTAGGATTTAACAGATTAGATTTCAAAATTGCTTGAAGAATTAGGTGTAGTTGAATAGGAGAGATCTTAGAAGGAAGCAGATAATGAAGAATTAAAAATTCAATATGAACAAGCTTTAAATACAATAGCTGAGTTAAGATCAAAAGAATATGATGTAAGTTAATTGAAGTAATCTCATAATTAATTTTAAACTCTATAGGATGAAAATACTAATTTAAAGTAATTGTATGCTTAGAAGTTAAAATTAGTTGATCAATTGAATAAATAAATTTAAGAGTAAGAGCAACAAATGAATAATTATCTTTAAAATGAATAAGAATATTAGAAATTAAAGGTTAAATATCAAGAGCTAATTGTAATTATTATAGTTTATTTCTTAGATTGAAAAGGATCAGTTGTCATCATAAATTGAGAAGTAATAATAGACATCATCTAAGATTGAAGATACAAAGGAATTTATTGTTGAATAAAATCTGAAGTTGTAGAGAATGGAATAAGAAATAGCAGGCTTAAATTCAAAAATTTTGTAATTGACTGCCCAAAGAGATGAATATAAAGAATAACTTGAATTCAAATAAAAGAATGCAAATTCTTAAAAACCAAGTGGATTTGTGGGTAAATTGGCTGGATTTTTCGCAACAGAAAGTGAGTTGAAAAAAATGACTCAAGGGTAATGAATTCTATATAAAAATACAATAAAATAATACATAGATTTTTGTTTAATATTATATATTCACATAATGGAGATTTTTACATTTGATAATTGCGATCATTCTAAAGAATTCTAACTCCTTGTTTAATATTATTCAGTCTTTGATGAAGATGTAGAATCATCAATCAGAACAAAATCCATTGTTGATTTATTGGATGCAGGTTTAGAAATTTAGGAAAAATTTCGAAATAAAGCAAAATAAGAGAAATAAAGTAACCTATCTTTAATTTTATAGCATAGAAAAATTTCAAGACACCTTTGGATTTTCTTAGGGATTCCTTAAAAAACAAAATTGATAACACTCTGTCTTTTTAGTAAATATTGATATTTTCTAATCCACAAGTAGTGAAGAATTTCGGAAAACCAAAAGTAGTTCATCACAATGGAGAATTTTTGTTAGTGGGTGGATCTTTGGGAAATATTCTATATTATTCTTAATAATAGATGGATATCATAATTTAGTAATAGAAGATAGGAGCTGTCACAGCTTTAGACTCATTAAATGAATTAGTGGCTGTTGGGTATGAGAGTGGATGGATTAGCATAATAAATATGAAAAAAAAGAAGCATTTATGTACATGTTAGAACATTACTAAATCGAAAATAATAGTGTTGAAATTCATTTTTTAATCTAAGAAATTTTACAATGTGGTTACTTCAGATGATGTGGGAGTCATTAGAATAGTAAATTTTCGAAAAGGAATGTTAGGATTCGATTATGAAATATAATTGACAATACCACGTTAATAGTTTCCAATGCTAAACATTGTAGTGTTGTATAAAAATGAAACTAAGGAATTTATGGGAGACCTATATGAAAAGTCTAGTAGAATAATTGGATTGTGTTCGTTAAGCAAATTTTACCTTATCACAGTCTATAAGGATGATGAAAAAAAATTGAAATCAATCATAGAGATAGAGAACCCGCATGTTTCAGCTCCAGAAAAACCTTTCTATTGCTATCTGTCTTGTGGTTACGGAGTCTTACCTCCTCCAAATTAGGAATAAGAAGAGTAATGGAAGGAAAAGCGACTAATAATTTTACTGTGTTGGAATTGCCATATGTTCATATTAATTAGAAGCCAAGATTAGGCGAGATATATGACACTTAAACCATTGATTTTTAAATAGCAAATACATGCAGCTTATTTTGTTGAATAATCAATTATAGAAGTTATTACTGCAAATCAAAATATATACTTGTTTAATACACTTCATTTGGAATTGCATGTGGTTCCAAAAGGAATAGAATAAATCCCATATTTCATTTAAAAAAAGAATTGGCCTGATTCACCCTTCACTTCCCTTTATTAAGTTGAAGTCTTGTGCAAAGATGAAGGAATTGCATACAAATAATACCCTTTACAATATTAGATATATACGTTAAACAAGCAGACAAGGCAAATCCATATATTGGTGGAAGGATCAATTGTAACAGGCAGTATAAATAATTTAGAATAATCTATTGATATTTTTATATAGAATAAAGATTGGGCTAAGGGAATGTTATTGATTTTGGCTTTGATGGATGGAAGTATGAAATCCACTCCAATCAAATTTAACATGTAGGTTTTAAAAAAGAAGGTATTGGAAATAGCTACTCATTACATAAAAGTAGTTTTAGAGGAGATCAAAACTACACTAGATAAACATAAGACCTTGATTTATACTCCAACTTCTTTATTTGGTCATTAACAAGACGTGGAAAAGGTTAAGACTCTGCTCTCAATGCTTGTAGACTTCCTTTTGAGAGTTTCAAGTGATATCCTATTTAATCAAATATATAGCATCATAAGGAAGTTCTTAAATGGAGACATTAGTATAATCTGTAATGAACTAAGTTTATATCTCAAGAATGGAAAGGTCAAAGTCATAGATGCAAATGAATAAACTATAAGTATTCTATTTATTATTAATTTATTAGATGAAATCTTGACATATTACGTTCAAAAAGGAGAATAATAATGCATAGAGGCTTTCATTTAAAAAATCGATTACTCAAAAATTAATACTGAATAATTGATACAATTCTGCCTTTTAAATAAACTAACTACAAGTTTGAGTTATGTTTGCACAAGGTCTGGGGACTTCCTAACTCCTTTGGCAAAATTGTGGGGAATCATTCAATAAGATATAAAAAAGAAGGATCCATCAGTAGTGATAGAATAAGGAAAAAGCATCATCCATTATTTAGAATAGACTCTACATATTGAATAATTGATAAAAGAGAAGTCTGATTAGATATCTTTATGGTTATTTGAGGTGCCAACATTATTTTTATTAATGAGTATAGAATTTGGTGGTTGTGTCTAGTTATGTTACAAGTTTTTTATACCACCTTATGATTAATTTTTAGATAAAGAAAGATTAAAGAAATATTATGTTAATATGACTTAAGCATTTCAAAAATTAAAGACTATTAAAGATTAAAATGATTTAAAATTTCAATTAACTTAATTGTAAATTAAAACATTGCCAGATGCAATTGGTTGGGATAAGATGATCAATTAAGTTGGTAGATCCATCCAAGCAAGCATTTTAAGTAAGGGGTACACAGAATAGTTATAAAATAAATAACTAACTGAATTATTATTAGATTTAGTTAGCGAACATAGACATTTGATATTTTTACCACTTTAATGCTTACCTTTGCCTAATATTTTACATAATGATGAACCCACTCTCAAATATTGTTTGATTTATGCATACAACTAATTTATAATCAATTTATTTAAGAAATACACATCAGTTGATAAAGAAGATATTTTAAATTCGATGGCATCAGATGGATAATTTGATTGGGTCAAAATGTATTTAAATGAGGAACTTAAAAGTTATAGTAGAGCTTTGGATTTCAGAATCAAAATCAAGAATCAATTACAACAATTTAATATCTAAGTGAAATTTGAAATCTTTACTTGGATTTCCAAAATCTTATCAAGAGACCCTCCAATTCCACAAATTGACTCTTTTAGAGATAGAATTCTACATCACATTGGATCATTGGTTTCATATAGTGCTATTCATACTAGATCATTGATTTCTAAATATTTTTAAGCCAATGACATCAGCATTCTCAATAAGATGGGGGAATTGCCTAAGTTATAGTTAGAATATCTAGAATAAATAATGTAAGTTGATAGAAAATAGTATTAATCTAATACAGATTTGTTAAAGCTTTATATAAAATTACTCTGTTAAATTAAACCTGAGAAAGTTTTAAAGGAACTACAAGAATAAGAATATCCTTTAGATGATATAATTGGAGTATTAAAATAATATCCTGTTCCTGATGCTTTGGTATATTTGCTTGAAAGATCAGGGGCAATTACGGAAGCAATCAGCGTAAAATTAGACGATTTTATTTAAAAAATACAATAGAAAGCATTTTTAAGCAAAGTATATATTTAATTTGAATGATTTAGAGTGAGTTTTATTTGTATTTTTTGGAAATTTGCAACATTTGCTTTAGGAATAAGAAACTAGATGAATTGGATGAATCCTGGGATATGGTGACTTAATGCATTTTGGAACTGTCACAAAATAGATATACGCCATAACCTTACCCATCCTATTTAGAGGAATATATTCCATTGTTGTTGAAGAAGTGGGCAGAATGTAGTCATTTAGATGCATTTCTTCATAAAATTACAACTAAATATATGAGGTTAAGTTCGGCTAAACTTAAAATGACATTTTTATCGATGTATACACATATCAATTTCTCTACTACCGTTTATACGAAATTGGTCGATATCAATTTTATTAAATGCGTTCAAAACATGAGAACTTTAGTTCATTTGTAATTGAAAGGATAAGGCTATTTACCAGGTTGTTATTTATGTTATAATTATTATGATTATGATTAATAACTTCAGCCAATAATAGTATTAGCTTGTGGTCACACCTTCCATTTTAATTGTCTGAACCTAGATGAGAAGGCTCAGTATCATTGTCCAGTTTGTTTGAAGAGTCCAAGAATTGCAATTGTTCATTTGCTTCACCAATTAAAATCAAAAAAGTATTTACTTAAGTCTGAAAATTAATAATAATAATAAAATATAAGGAATTAAAATCCTTTGGTTGTGAACATCATTAAGCAAGGATAGAAGAAGCAGTAGGAAATAGATTAGAATTTGAAATTTACTCAAAATGAAAGTGAGGATGACATTAAGAGAATGAAATAGATGGAGAAGTTAAAAAAGTTTGAATAGTAAAAATTGAATCGATTGGAAAGAATTTGTTAAGGAGTTATGCCATATTGAAATAATAAATTATGTAATTTTAAAATGAGTTTAGATTTTTAAATGCATTGAATGTTAGTAATATAATAAATAATGAATTTCATGAATTAAACTTTTAGCAAAATCAGACCCAAAACAACCGACTCTCATACTCGAAATTCCTCTCACCATTAATTGATCTCTCAATTGTTTTAATAAATCAATTCCTATTATGAGTAAGATGAAAAACCCAGACCCAAAACTCAATCCAGATAAAGAAAAATCATTCCTTTGAATTATTCTCAATCTAATACTTATGACCCTACAGACAATTTAATTGATCGCTTATATCCCACCATAGAATAAGATGCAAAATTCGTTTTCATCAAGACTAGAGAAAGAGCCCTTCGAAAACCTCCCTCAGGTAAAAGCAGAAAAAAAATGAATGACGAGCCAAAATTTTAACTCAACCCCATTAAGAAAACAACCTTAATTGAAGAAATTAACTAATAGACTGATCCTCCTAAAAAGACAATTGAATAAAAGACTGATAGTTCATTCTATCTTCTCAAGTAGTTGCATATTTTTATTTAGTTCTATACATATGCTCAAGACAATGAAAAAAGATAAAATGAAATTATTTAATTGCAGTTTTAATTGACTTTTTATTTTGCTATTAAATATACGTGTTAAATTTTAATGAGCAATCCTTCAACTCTTCTTGAATATCATCCAGCCAAATAACCCAATCCCAACATCATAAAATTGCTCACTCAACATCAAGACTTGTTTCTCATTCAGAATTAATAACCTTCAACTTTAGGAGTTTAATACCCTCTTAAATTAGATGCAAAAGAAATGCTTATAGAAGTTCAACCAGATCAAAAATTCACTCATCCTAAATACTACTAAAAAGACAATAAAGTTCAAAAAATTACTAAACAACCTGCATAACCTGCCTCTACAATTTTTGTCGAAAGCGGACTTTGTGATCCAAATAAAAAAGCTTGGTTTTACTTAGATGAAAATTAAAAGTCATAAGGACCTCACACATCAGCAGAAATTGATTAATTGATCACTAAAGGCACTATCAATATGCAAACTAAAGTTGCTTTAGAAACTTTAGATAAATTGGTTAGAGTCGAAAAGATTGTATAAGCAGTTAATAAAAAAAAAGAAGCTGATTCAAAATTAAAAGAAGCATAAAAATTAAAACAAGAAGAAGAAAATAAATAAAAATCACTAGATTCACCCACTAAAGTCGAAAAATAAGAAGAACCTAAAGTTTAATAGTCCAAACCAAAAGAAGAATAAGGAATTGATTTTGAAATAGACTACTCAAAAATTAAATAGAATATCGATATGGGATAATGGGCAAAGCCATTGGTGGCACAACCTATTTAAGTCAAAGTTACTAAGGCATATACAAATAATCCATAATAATCAAAACAAAACAATAAGCCTACTGAAAGAAAAAGAAGCGATAATAAGAGTATGCATGTTGAAGGAAATAAAGGAAATTTATATTAAAAAAAAGGATATGAAAAGTATTTATAGCTTTAATCATTTTAGATAATAAGAAGTGATCTTAGAGGAAAAACCAAAAGAAGAATCAGATGCTGCTGTTAATCAAGAAGTTTAAGATTATTTAAAGAAATTGGAAACAAGAAAACCAGAAAAAGCAGAAGTTTAATAATAACCAGAAAAAATACAATAATAAAAAACTTAAGTTTAGTAGTATTAAAAATTAAAAACTGAACCACCTAAATAGGAATAAAATAAATAACCTAAATAGCAATAAGAAGCCGTAGATAGCGCTGATGAATGGGAAATAGTTGGAGCAAAGAAGAATTCATAGCCCAAAAAGGAATAATAATAAAAATAATAAACTAAAGTTGAATAACCAACAACTTAAAAATAACAATAATAATAATAATAATAATAATAATAATAGTAGTAGTAGTAGTAGTAGTAGTAATAGTAAGAAGATGATGATGAGGATGAAGATGGATGGCATACTGTCGGTGCTTCAAATAAAGATAAAAAAAAGCCTGTTAATAAAAAAATTTAATAAAAGAATTCAAATATTCCTGGATTTGCTGTGGAAATCAAAACAGATTCCGTCACGATATCATCTGGATCAGCCAAAAAACAACCGCCATAAAAATAAAAAAAACCTGAGCCTGTATAATAATAATAATAACAGCCTACATAAACACAACAATAAATTTAACCACAAAATAATCAAAACGATGATGATGATGAAGGTTGGATTGAAGTAGAAGTTGGATAGGCACCAAAAAAGGTTGCCTAATCTAAAAAAGGAAAATGATACCTTTAGTATATTATGTTAAATAAATAATAGTAAAAATATTCAAGATTTTATTGATTTTAATTCTAATATTTATCTTTTTTATTTGTATATTTAAAGAATAAACTTAAAGTTTTCAGCATTACCTGCGTTATCATATGATATTATAAATATACATTCGATATCAGATCAGTGTTTCGATAAAATTCTTATTTAATTGAATGATTAATTATTTAAGTCATTCAATTGATTTATTATTCATAATAAATTTTATGGTTTACTATGTAGTAGTCATCCATTTGAATTAAATCTTTATTCTTTTAAGCTTCAGTAAGATGGGTAATTTTAATCAATTTTTTTTCAGTATTATACATATGTTTTCGAAACTTTAAATATTAAATTTTAGAATAATATATTGATAAAGGTTATTAACTCAGGTTGACACTTGGTTGAGATTTTGTTATTTGAGATTTCACAGCAATCTTGAAAAATAATTATATTTATTGATCAATGGTATATCAGAATTACAAATTTTGAGTTTCTTTACCCTTATTTATCGATTTGATCTATCCGACTTTTACAAAAATGAACTCTGTTAACTTTTAGGGAAAAATACAGACTATTTATTAGAAAAATGTTTCTTGATGATTTATTCTACTGGCGAAGAAGAATCAGTGTATTCTTAATTTTATTTTATGTTATTTATCCGAATTGGATCCTCATTCACATGTAGAGTCCTTTCAGTGTGATATCTTTCTGTTTTTATTTAGAGGACTCGTTTTTGTAATTATTAGCTTTTTATTCTAACTTAAGGGATTCGTATGGGCTACAAAGGCGCAACCAATTATTTTTTTTCTTTCATCTTGAACCACGGACCTAGTCCATCGCCATCGTGATCTTAGAAGTCTAATTTTAATTCAAAAATAACCTTCTTATTCATCAAAAAGCATCGATGTTTATAAAGCTAGACTGCACTTTTTCATTAATTTTTTTTATAAACTTGTAATTTATTAAAAAAAATAAATTTACCAAATTTCTATAGAAAGTGAATTAAAACTATAATTTCTAATGTTTATAATAACTAAATAATGTTTAAACGTAAAAAGCAATAAAGAAATCATTTGTAGATTCAATCTATTTATAAAGAAAAGTGATAAGAACCATCGTAGATTAATCATAATTAAAAATATTCAGTGAAACCAAGTTCAATAGAGATTTAGTGTATTTATTTTGCTTATTTGGAGACTAAGAATCGAAGTATATTCAGAAATTAAGGATAATAATTTGAAGTTATTATTCTAAATCTCATTAATACTAAAATATCAATATTCAATCAATTCATTCGAACTAATGTCCATATTCATTAAATAGAGATCTGAAATATGTGAATTTACTTTTATAGAGACTCAAACTTAAATAAATATTTTTATTCAAATAATAAAATGAACTATTGTTGATATCTAAAAACTAAGATTAAATAATAATGAATCTTAAAGAGTAAAGATAACAAAATTTATAGACTTTTAAAAAAATAAAAAATACTTTCAAAAATTTTAACAAGAGGTTTACAAAATCAATGTTTTTTTCCCATTTAGTAAAATGTTTAGTAATTCAAACAATCTTATATCGCTATCTAACTTTTATGTTTTGATAACTCCAATCAAAATATATAATTAAGGGTCTTTTATTTCTACAATGTTAAATTAAATTGTCTACTTTAGTTCTTTTATTAATAAAAAATAACATGTATTTATTCTCTTAATTCTTTAATTGTCATAAAGCAAGACAATTGAGAAAGGTCAAACTTAAATTCAAATTCAGTATAATTATGCAAGACTATGATGTCAATCAAAAAAACTGATTCCTAAATAATAAAGGAGTTGTACTAATTATGCATTTGTGAATTTAGTCAATGCTTTCCAAATTCTATTTTATAAATCATTCATTTTTACATACAATGAAGGACTAATTATATAATTAATTTATTACTCATTTATAGATTTGATTTGGCTAACAGAAATTGTAATATTATTAGATTCGAAAGTGACAAAGGAATTTTTCCTTTATTGTCTAGGACTTTAATTATTATCTCCTTTTGATGATGTGGAAATTCTCCGAAATGATGTAATTTCAATCATTCTGCCTAATTAACTTGATTCGAAACTGGTGGTTCTTTCAACATCAGAAGTTTCAGATTCCAAATGGGTATGATTGTGATTCATGGATACCTTTTTTAATATTGGTAAACAAGACATTTTGTTCATATATCAAAATATTAAATTTAATATAGATAAATTCAATTACTTTTTTTTGATGATTACATTTACATAATTAATTAATTTAAGTTTTCCAATTTAGAAGGTATGTCTTTTTCTAATTATGATGTCAGTATATTATTAATATTACTTAATTTATTTTTGACTTCTAATTCTAACTGAGCAATTCTATCATTTTTCTCTCTCATTTCTCCTTCAAGTTAAGCAATTCTGACATCTATTTCCTTATCTTAATTAGCTTCTTGCTCAAATTGTATCGGGAACCTAGAATCAAAAAAATAGATTTACCATGATATATTATCCCTCCTGATCATTTCACTAATCGCATATTCCAAACCAGTGTAATCAGTAGTTTCTTTTAATTTTAAGCAATATATATAATAGATATAATTCCACAAGAAATGTTTATCTTTAACATGTTATTCAAATTATTCAAGATTCTTTTCTAAATGAGCTCTCTTAACACCACAAATGAAGCAACAATTCTTTTTATCATCGTCAATCTTTTATCTTTGATCTCTCAATTCTGCAAAAGTATCAATCATAATACCAGAGACAATATTTGTGAAAAGCAATGCAAAAAATACAAAATACAAAGTATCATAACAAAATTTTACAAAATCCCATTTGGACATAGAAGTTCCAATAACTCCACTTGTAACTAGAGTTATCATACAAGAAATCAAAGTTTCACAATGTTCTTCTGGTTATTTTTCAGTGTAAATATCATCTGCATACTAATCAAAGGATGTAAATGAAAAAACGTAAATAAACAAAACTCCCAATAACGAGACAACAATTAATTACTTAGCATTATGAGAGATAGCTTAAAACACATTATTCAATAAAGTTAATCTACTAAATAAGTCAAACAAATGTAAAGAGAAAAAATAACTCTTGTAAAATGTTCCAAGTATCGAAAACACTAAGTAGAATGTTATTTATATAAAATCCTCATTCTATTGACTAATTTTCTTTGCAGAATCTAAGATATAACTTAGAATGTGAGATAATAATTAAATTTTAGATTCATTCTTTTTTTGATTCTATTCAGATTATTTGATTTATTCTTTAATTTCATTTAATCCTCCACTTTATTCATTATCTGTAACATCTGATTCTTCTTGGTTAAGTTCACTATCTGAGTCATCAGAAGATACATCTTAACCAATAGGTCGATACTTATCGATACAAATAGGTATTCGATAATTCAGATAGCAAATGTAATAAACTAATGTAGTAAATAGCTAACAAAATGAAAGTACATTAATGATTAACTATTCATAAAATTCTGCCTTCAGTAGAACTTAAAAATTATAGATTTCCATATTATAAAATAATATCATTAATATGTTTACTGAAATAGAGAAAAAAGCTGAAAGATGTCTTAATACTTGAATATATTATGAAGTTATGGGTAAGAATTCTCTTTTGCTTAATTCGTAATTATATTAAAGCTCTCGATAAATTTGATTCCTGTATTCTAACAATCCGTTTATTTTATCTCTTTATGTTTCTCTATTCACATTATACATAATGATATCTCTAGTTTCATCTGATAAAAATGTGAATAATGGTCGAGATGGATACAAAATTGTTTAAGGTTTGTTTTCATAAATGATTTCTATTCTTAAGATTTTGGTTTCTAAAAACTTCATAATTTCTTTAATGTAATTACTACTTTCATCTAATTAAAAATTCTGAAATTTAATTTTTTCTTTTATAATCAAAACATTTAGTATTTTTTCTATGTTGTCATTTTTCTTTTAAATTTGTTAATCTTATTCATTGTTTTTGTCCAATTTTATGTCATATTTTTATAATGATTATTCTTCTAGTGCTTTTTCCATATCTTCCTTGCTTTGTATCTTTGGATTGTGATTTTGAAGATATTGTCTGACAATTTCAATTAGAAATTTTGGGTCAATTTTTTTCTATAAATCTTCCTAAATTCTATCATCATTTCCTTCCAAAACACTCATTATGATTATGATGATTTTATTATAAATATTAAATAAGGCTTACATACCCTCTGGCTTTGATAGCAATCCTCTCTATTCTTAATTTTATCTTATACTTAACTATTAAACCAAATAACAAACATCTTCAAAAAATGTTGTCTTACATAAAGTAATTTAATTTTCTAGACAAGGGACTTGAACTACTTCTAAGATGAAATCCAAAATATAAATTGGTACTTCGCTTATTTTTGAATTGAATGCTTTACAGAATACTCTCAATTGCGATGTTGCTAGTTCTATGAAATTTATTGAGCCTATTTTTGGATTGAGATCAGGATCTATTTACTGTCTTATAAAATTCTTCATCTAAACATTGTTGTTTTCACATAATAATTACAGAAATCTAAAAGATCTATTCAATAAATTGATGAATTCTTCCTTGATATACTCTTCTCTTGCATCATCTTTTTCCATATGATTTAATCTCGAAGTTGTTTAAGTAAGTTCATCATAAAAATCAAAATTATCACATAATTCAATATTTGGAAAACTTGAATGGGGTTTGTTTTTTCTAAATTTAAAATTATTGTAAACAGCTCTACTCACTCTTCTAATTAATTATCTGTAATTAATTAAAATCTTGTTTTTAGAATCACTCAAAAGTTTTTAATAGATTTCATTCTAACATTTCCTGTTACCCCTTTCTAGAAAAGCATTTCCAAAAGATATTAATGAATTTGTTAATCCCTATCTCAATTCAAGATTAGGAATGCGAAGAAATTTACAAATCAATTCAGCAGCACCACATTCTAATAAGAAGTTTTATTGTTGTTTGACCATTTTATTCTATAATTCTGGATTACTTTCATTTTCACTTTTCCTAATAATCTTTTCAAGCGCCTTAAGAAAGAATATTTGAATATCTTAGCTTAAAGTGTCATAGTGGTTTAGATTTAAATGAATAATATTCTAAATAAACTCCTTCAATGTAATAGGTGGTTGAAGTGCCAACTTATCTGAATATTTTATTTAATCTAAATCAGTACAAAATGAATTAAATTCTTCTTCCAAATAAACATTAATTGTTTTATCTGTCAAAAAGAGCTCCATTAAATTTCTATATCTTTTATTTAGATCCATATTGATTTTAGTTTCCTTTTCATAAACTCTCCTTATTTTTTTCTTTTTCTTCTCCACCTCCCATTAATTCTTTTGTTTCAAAACTCTTATCTAATTATCGATATTGGCAAAGTCATAAACTTCATTTAATAATATGTCCTTCAATTAATCATTATACTCTGCATTATTTGGCTCCAATCTATTACCATATAATTCAAACCATTTCTATTGCAATTCTTGATATTTCTGAGACAACATGGTAGATTGGTTAATATGAGGTGTTTACTTCCTCAATTCTTATTAGACAAATTATTCTTTTCCATTTATATACTTCTTATGAATACAGGTTGTCTCTATTATTGCATTATGAAATGGTTTTGGATTAGATAATACGTCTCTTAAGATTAATGTGTGTAAATCAAAGGTTTTGTAAATATTGCAAAATACAACCATAAGTACTTTGACTAAATTTGTAATTAGTTCCGATTCAGACCATAATTGCTCAATTTTTAATAGAATATTACCGAATTCCAGTAATACTGAATGTTATTTTAATTAAGGCTCTGATTTTTTTTAATTTAATTTCAAAGTGTCTTCTAATTCATCAAAAAAGGATAATTGATCAAATATAAAATTCAAAGATACCAAGTTTTCTTCCAATGTCATATAAAAATACGAACATAAGTATGAGAATCTGGTTGGGTTACTCAATTTTATTTTTTGATAATCGCATCCAGATTCCCTTAATTCAAGAATATCTTTAAGGTCATTCAATATGTTCTCTAAATCAATTTCAATTAGATTTTGACATATCCCAATGAAATCTTTGTTATGCTCATAATATAGTCTATTTATGTATGCTCTTAAGTATCTCTTTAAGGGCCAGCATTAACCTGTTCGTTAATAGAGTCTTATCAATTTTAAGTGTGAATGCATTTGTTTGCATTTTCCTAGATTGATTTCATTCTTATTTGATATTAGGAGTACTAGTAATTAGAAGTAATTAAAAAGATATGTCAATTTTGGATTGATGTTAATAAACTTATTATCATCCTTATTGTTACTATTTTTTAAGACCTTAAAATATTAAATTTGATAATCAGCAATTAATTTCTCAATTTCGTCAAATATAGAATCTTTGTTATCAAATAAAATCATGATTCTTTAAAAATTTCTGTTTTACAAAGCTGCCATTATTAGATTCTAATTGATTTTAATGGATTTATTATTATAAATGGTTAATATTCTCAGGAAATCAATTAATTAAGCTTTATAATACTAATCAAAATTTAAAGCATTGCATTATTTGACAACTTCATTAATAATCTGGGATATTTTAGACTCATTGAATAATAATGATTTATTATTTTGAAATAGTTCTCTAAGAAATTAAATGCAAAAAAGATTGTATTTTATGTATTAAAATAAATTTGGAATGATTTTTATAAAATCTGAATCTTATTTGTTTTCATGATGATTCCAAAGTAACATAGTAAGGAATTAAAAACAGACGTATAGAGTTTTCATGATCAATTTATCATCAGAAGTATTTTATTAATCTTTTTGGATTAATTTATTACTTTCATTTTCCTATTTATCTGAAACTTCTTAAACCTCATTAATCATTTTAGTAGCAATATTTATAAACACCAAAATATTCTCATGTAAGTCTTAACACTTAATCAAACTTTAATGTAATTTGAAGTTTTGTTCTTTTTCAGTATATACTTATTACAATCTATTCTCAGCATAGAAATCATCATAGTTAACTTTGACATTTTCTTAGAGTACTTAATCTCCTGATTTTAAGCATTCAATAAGCCAACATAAATCCTATATCACTCCAGTCCCTCTCTCTTTTGTATCCTTCTTGTCAACCCATAAGTAAATATTATACTCGCTTTAGTTTTTGAGATTAAGATTAAGTATATTGAAATCATTAAAAGAAAGCAGTTTGGTTCTTGTCTTTCTACTATCCTCTGAAAGTTTATGAGTGAAACCGGCATTCACAATAATAGTTTTATCAAAGTTTTCTATGAGTTCTTTCCTATATCCATAAATTCTCTTTAACAATTTGATTGAATAAGTTTACAGTATTTCATTATCATATTTGGATAATTCTGCAAATTTAGAAATAATGTCCTTAGAGAATTTTCCAAAAAGATCCCTTTCTTTAATTAATTTAGAAAATTTGCCTTTCCATTCTTCAACCACCTTCTCCTAGCTTTCTTAAACACTCAATCGTCTGATGCTATTTTTCATTTATACTTCATTTTCGACCTCATTTAATTATCGTTTAGATTCATTCTTCTTATTATCTTCTTTTTCAAAGAAGTCTTTTAGGTTGATGGTACTTATACTAACTCTAACATTAGTTTCCATGTCAACGATTATATCCAATATCTCACATGATATTTATTTACATTTTAACATAATCATATTTTCTGTGTTTATTTCAATAAATCTTTTTTTCTGAGATTAGAAATTATTTTGCGATTTTATGATCTTTGAAATTTAATTTTAATGATTGCTATTTTACGATTAATCTATTTATTCTGATTGGTTTTATTTAAATGTAATAATATTAAATAAGGGTTCTAATAGATTTTTTAAGTCATCTATTTTCTCCCAATATCCCAAACGAATAGTAGTTTTTAGAACATAGAGGACAGTATACAAAGTTTTAAAGTACTGTTTCTCCTTCCCATTTTGGTTGAATTTTTTTGTAATATAGTCCTAGATAAACTCGAGAACTCTTTTTTAATCCTTGTTCACTTTCGTTTTAGTCTTAATTATGTCTGTCTTATCTTTAATTTTAGCCCATTCTCTAACTCTAGCAATTCGTCTAATTGGGGCAAACAATGAAGAATCAATAAATGCAGAATGAATTAACTTTAGAAATGGGTCTATAGCGTTGATTTATTCTGTTTCTGGATCTTACAGGATTGTAGATAAGACTGATAATTCGTAAAACTAATGAACATAATTGGTCCCTTGTTTGTTCCTGTTCTAACAAATATCTGACAATAAGTTTATATAAGCTAGGAAATAGTTCCAGGTCTGTAAGTCATCCTACATTTGACTATAATCATGGAATTCCTTTAAGGTGAACCATTATTTGTTTAAATGTTGAACTTTGATTTTTTGGTCCTCCTCCTTAAACAAGAATTTAAAGATGTAAAAATTTTAATCAGAGCTCTAAGGCTTAAAGAATTTGTTTAGCAATTCAATTTAATTCTTTATGATAGGTTTTCCATCGCAAATGATAATAGAACTAAAAATTCTTAGATGTTTTTCATGAACATTTTTCTTTTCACTTATATTTTTGACCAAGTTTTGGAAGGTTGCTTCTTAGACAAATTTGTTAATCGAATAATAGTTATCATTTAATAGTTCAGCCAATGAAATTTGAATTTGTTCATCATCAATATCAATGGCTTGCTTTAAGAAAAACTCGAGCCATTGTGAAATATATAATTTAACTGAGGAATTGTTCCTGGCCATCTTTTCAATCAGGACGTAGGAGTATATACATATCTGTCTTAATTTATCTTTTTCATAATTCTTATGTAAGAATAAACTCATAGTTTTATGTTTTTCCCAAAAATAGAAGATTATTTGTATAATAATTTCAACCATCCTTAAGTCTTTCATGAATAATTATCTAGAATGGATAGGTAAGTTCTCGCATTTATCAATATTCATGTACTCACAGTTCAAGAGGTAAGCAATCAATTTTTAAATGACTTTAAGAACCTAAGTTAGAATCTTCTCATTTATAATAGATTCAATTTATAACTTGTCTTCCAATTATAATGAGTTTATGAATTATTTTAGAATTTCATGAGATGATGTGATTAAGAGCAGATCTTTTTTTAAATCTTCATTAAGTCTTTTAATTTGAAATCCATGAACAGAATTGGTGGGTAAGAATTAAACATTATATTAAACATAATCTAAATCTTCTTGACCAAGTAATTTTTAATATTTTTCAATTTCCAATTGAGTAATGGTAAGCTTTTTGGTTTTACATCTTTGAACATTTGATTTTTGTAACTCTTTATTGTCAAATTTAATTTTCACAAACATATTGAAAGAAACCTCATTGGTGCCAAGTTTAGCAGGCTCTATTTACAAATGTTAATCATCCAACATTTCATATTGTGAAAGTTATGAATTTGAATTGATAACAAAACCTGAAATTTGAGATCTGATTACGTACTTGTTTTCATATAATTATAATTCCCATACACAATCAAGAGGAATGTATTCATTATCCTTGTACTCTTGTAGTAATAACCTTCGACCATCAGAAGTCAAGTATGATCCATCCTACGAGAAAATGAAGAAACATAGGTCATTTGGGATAATCTTCCCATTTTGTTCATGTAATTAAAATTTCCATTATCTATCACTATTAAGGGAGACCACAGCTTCATCTCTGGTGTTAATTGGTTATTTGAATGTTTTATTAAATGACTCAGTTTGAGAAGCCTTATAATTTAAGCCATTGCTCATCTGCAAATCCAAAAACATTCGACATTTCTCGTAATCCAATTTACATTGGGTTTTCTCATGAACAATAATTAAAGGCTCATCTATTTGTATGATTTGACCTTCCTTCTGATATGTTTAATAAGGAGCCAATTTAAAAATAGTATGAGAACTTAATTATGGAGACAATTTCAATTTAAAAGCATCCATAGCAACTTCAGAACAATCATATGAGCCAAATAAATAACGCTAAGAGTCCACATGCTTAAAGACTACTTCTGCTCCTAGTAAGATTTCTTCGTGCATTCTTGATTAAATTATAGTGTAATATTGGGAGGCTTCTGTTGAGACTCTACTTTTCAAGGCATCTACAGTTTAATTTTTTTTTTCTTTCAAATATTCATCGTGCAACTCAAAAGTGCCTCTTGGCAGAATAGTAAATAGAGAATCTCTAAAATTATTTGCTTTTCTGAGATCATCAATTTACATGTAATAAGCATTGGGGTCAAGGAATCTATATAAAATTAGAGCGTAAATACCCTTTAGCTACGATTATGCCATTTTCATCTTTACTATTTAAGTGGATTCTGACTACCTAACCATATTTTAAGGTTTATTTAATCATTAATACTATACTTTAAAAATATAGTTGAATTCAATATAATAATAAATTTTTCATAAAGATCAATTACATTATAGAAATAAATTTATTCAAAACTATTTTTATCTCTTTGATATGTTTTCAACTAACATATCAATTAGAAGTTTATTATTATTTTTTAAATAGTTTAGTGTTTGCAAGATCAATTAAAAATTCATACTTAGGTTGTTTTTTTGTAAATTTTTGATTTTAAGATTTTCCAAATTTTCTCAATAGGATAACTTACCTACCCCCACACATACTCTATATTTGTCCTTCAATTCCAACACAGAAATAAAAGTTATATTTCAACACTTATAAAATTATGCAAAACTACTTTCAAAAATTATTTCCTCAATGCTTATCTAATGAATTTTTAGACTTTATTACCTCCTTTAGACTCCTTATTCCAAAATATACAAACTAACTCAACCATTTTTTATCAATATAATTTTAATTAATTAGATCTAAGAATAATATCATAAACAAATTACAAATTCTTGCTATCAATTTTGATTATCTATTTCACTTATACCCAATCTGTATGACCAGCTAATGTAATAATTCACATCGACGTAAAATTAATTTTCATTTCGCCTCAATATTTCAGAGTTCTTTATAAATTTAAGAAATATTTCTAGTCTTAATTGGTAAATGACAGAACCAAGAAACTAATTTAAAAGATTGGAAAAAATAGTTGCATAGTTCATTACTGATTGATTGAGTTATTTTTATACTAAATAGAATAATAATAATAATTCATTAAAAATTGATTAAAAATTAGCTATGAATTACAAAATTAATGAGGCTAAGTTGAATTGATATATCTTAAAGCCTGTCAATTTAAATTTGATCAAAACCTCATTAAGCTTCATAATCATAACTATTATCGTTACTCCAAATAATCTCCTTTAACATCTTTTCGTAACTTTTCTATTTTTATTTAAAGTTACTCTTCAGATCTGCATTTGCTTTATTTAGAATGGCTTTCTCTAAAATATTCTTTATTCCATGATATTCAGATAAATGCAAAAGTCAAAATCTTCTATGTACCTTGAATTTTTTGCTTAAATTTAATAGAAATAGATATTTACATAAACCTGTAAGTTGATTGAAATTTTTTAATTTCATAATTTTTTCTTTCTATCCTTGTCTGAAGACACACCTTATTGACGCTTCCCATTATTCTTCACTTGCTATGTCCAAGCATGATCCTTAAAATAATTAACCTTTAAATTATTTTGCAAAGTAAAAATAAAATCAAAGAAAAACAATTGAATTAACAAAATTGTAAAATTTTGATTAAAACAATTTAAAAATCATACAGAATCAAAATAATATTAAAGGAAGACACCGTATATGTGTTTTATATTTAATTTGGAAGAGACAATGAGATATAAGTTCATGAAAAAATTCATCTTCGTAAAAATGAAAATTTGTCAAACTCAATTTATATTATAAGCGAATTTAAATTGCGAAAAATATATAAATAATTACTAATTTGAAGAACTGTGAAGGTCTTAAGCAAAGATAAATAACTGATACCCAAAATTGATTATTATTTTTATTTCTACTATATATATAGTAATAATAGTCTTAATGAGCAAATCATAACCCATATTTATATACGGAATTACCATCAAAGACGATAGGGGGAAGTTGAAGAACTGCTAATTGTGTGGAGCAAAGTTCACTATGTCAGTTAAAGAACATTAATGTAAGAGGTATTAATATATACTTAATTGGCAGATGTAAAAGAGCTGTATGTGATAAATGTGCTCCAAACAAAGCTTAAGTCTAGAAGGCAGATGGTCTGTCTAAGAAAACTCATCGTCTATGTAACTTTTGTAAAGACGTAAGCATCTCAATTTCAATAATTAGGAAAGTGATTCACTTAAGAGATTCTTGGAACAATACAAAATAAGTTTTAACAAAGATTCATTTTCACAATAATGGTTATAATCATTTGGAACTGATACTACAAAAGCCAAAAATGTAATAATTGAGTGAATTAAATTTTAGGATTTCTTCAATGCATTAGATGATGCAAAGTTATCCAAAGATACTAATGCTTATGATATCTTCAAAGCAAAGTTAGAAGTAGTGATAAATGATATCGATGGATTTGTAAACTATTCCATCAAAGACTTTATGGTAGCTGCTCTAAAAAATGTGGAATCATTTCGTCAAAAAGAAGTAGTCAAAACTTCCATTTTGAGAGTTGCTGGCACACTTCTACTATTGTATCCTCAAATTGGATATTCGCATGAAATAGTACTCATTACCTATTTTCTCCTTTGCTTTGCATCTGAAGCTTCTGCTTATATACTCCTAACTGCAATATATGCCCATATACTCCCATCGCAATTGTACCCAAAGGCTAACACTAAATATGATTTAGCTAATGAAAACTCCATTGTAGTTGGTGTTTTAAAGGACGCTCTTCAAGTAGATTTAAATGACATGAGCGTGATTAAGAGTTTCCTCTCATAGAAGCTCAGATAGTACTTAGTTACATTTAGCATTAATCTCTTTTTATTTGAAACGACCTTTTTCATAATAAGTTCTGTATTAATGTCTGGTTCAAATGGATATATGGATTTACTGGCTCAGATGGCTGTTTTATGTCAATTATCTAATCAGGAAATGTAGAAGAACAAATTCAACCATGAAGAAACAGAATTATTCATGCTTAGATCACTTAGAACTAATCAATTAAGTGTACTTTATAAATAAACTCAAAATTGTGATTTTGAAAGTTACAAGAAAGTTTATATCACAACTAGATCAGATTCAATCAAAGTGGATAATTTGAATTTGAGTGCTCGACAATCAATGATAAAACCAGATATGTAGAAAGTAAGTGAAATTAATTAAAAGCTCTAAGAACAAGTTGATAAAAGGGATTTAGAAAATAAAAAGTTGAATGAGGAGATTATTCAATTAAGAGATAAAGTCAAATAATTACAAAAGGAGAATTCTATACTTCTAAATTAATAATAAAATAATGATTCTGAAATGTATAAAATTAAGTTACATGAAATGAGAATTGATAATTCAGAATTGAAATCATAAATTGAATAATTGAAAAATGAAATTTCTAAGTTGAAATTACAAAAAGATGATGATACAAGATGGAATGCAACTAAACAAAAAACAGAAACTATAGACAGTGATTATGAAAATGATTTGTAAGAAATCTCTTAATTCAAATTAAAATATGAATAATAAATCAAAAATCTTAAGAAATAAGCTGAAGAGAAGAAATTATAGAATTAACCTAATACAATGTAAATTGATGAATTAAAAGAGAGTTATGAAAATAAAATAAAATTACTTTAAAAATAAGTACAGTAATTATAATAGTAAGATAATATTGAGGAAATAAGAGATTTGAAAATCTAAAACCAATAATTACAAAAAAAATTAGAGAAAATGAAAGATGAAAAGAGTAAAAGTGAATTATTACAATAAAAAAATGATGAAATTGATTTATTAACTGAATTGAATGAAGAGCTGACCAAAGAAAACTAACGCCTATCAAAACAGTTTAGAGATTTGAAATCTCAAAGTGGGACTTCTAGTGCTTAACAAATAAAGGTGCTAGAAGAGTAAAACAAATTATTGGAAATGAAATTAGAATAGTATAATTTATTAATATAGGAATTGATGATTAATATTAACAAAGTAAAACTTGAAAAGCAGAAGCAATTAGAATTTTCGGATTTGAAATTAAAATAAAAAGAGGATCTAGAAGATGTCAAAATGGTGGCAGAGATAAGAACAGTATAAACTCAATTACTAAAGGGAATGCTTAAAGAAAACTAAGCACAATTGAGCGATTTGATAGCTGCTATTACTCAAATGCGTCAGATCCTCGAAAAATCAAAAACATTAAAACTTTGAATGAAATAATTATATAACAAATATATTAAATATCAAACATTTTGCTTTCTAATGAAAACACTACTTAATAATAAGAAATAACTTGGTTAATAGGAAACATAAACAAAATCAATACAGAAACATGAATCAGCTGCCACTGTAAGTGTGATATATCCACAATTGAAATAATAAAATAGAATAACATCTGCATATTATTCAGCTAAGTTAATTAAAGGTAATGTAGTTTGGTTATTATATAAGGGCTTCCAATTAGTGCACAACCTATAGCAAGACCTATAAAAAAGGTTCCACAATTGCAGTATCCCTTTTTTCAAGAACCTCCACCAATGTAGATGCAATCAATTCATGATGAGGATGTGTAGCAATCAAAGCAAACTCAAGAACCTGAATTTGAAATTAGAGCTACCACAGCTCCTGAGGGTGCTTAGAGAAAGCCAAAACCAACTTAAGATTTCAGATAATTGATTTAACGAGTGCCATAAGTTATTAAGATGGAACCGACAGCAGGATAATTTGTAATTTAAAATAAATTTCCTGAGTATATTGTAAGAAATGGAAAAATATTTATATTAGAATGATTTTGATGAATTTACAGTGAATCCCCATGTTCATAAACATATGGAACGATTAAAATCATCGATTAGATTAGTAAATTATCAATAATTGCCTCGTAATTAATCCTCCAAATTGGAAAGACAGAGAGAGCTAATTGAGAAAACAATATCAAATAGGCCTGTTCAATCATAATAGGTAAAGAAACGAAAGTTATTACCTGAAAACAGACCCAAGACAACAAATTATAAAAGAGAGAACCCTTTAGGTGATTGTTGGAAAGACTTGGCTTAAAAGGTTGTGATATAGGCAAATACAGCAAATAAACCTAGGGATGAATCAGTACATGAATTAGAGAAATCATTGACTCATTTGGATTTAGAAACAAATGTATTGACATAGAAAGAGAAGGAATATATAAAGAAGAAAAGAAAGCAATTCTTAGATGATTTGAGACCATATTTAGAGATGAAGTAAGCATAGGCAGAAAAGAAGAGAGCAATGGCTAAAAGAGAAGTGTTATTAGACAAATTTGATTAGCATAATTCATTATTGAGTGAATTAGAAGATGATGGTGATTTAGCCAAGGAAGAAAGTTTTGAAATGCTGGATGATGAGATCTAAATATTTAATAAACCTTTAGTTGAATAATAAAACTTTTTTGCTAAAGTGGATCCAATAAATAGATCGTTTGAATAGCAATTGAAGGAGACTCAATAAAAGTTTGAATAAATGGTCAAAGAGGATAACAAATTATATGAGGATGCTCAGAAAAATAAGATAGATAAACCAGCACCATTTTTAAAGGTTGGAGATCATTTCTCATTAGATGAGATCAATTTAGTATTAAGAGAGTTAAAGAAATCAGTAGATGATAGGAATTATGAATGTAAATTATATATGTCTAATTTAAGTATTGGATGGGATTTGCAAAAACCTAAAATTCTTTTGGTAGTTCAGTAAATAAACAAGAATTTTATTGTTAAAATTGAGTTCTTTGGTTTTTTACAAATGCGGTGAATATATCTTTTATGAAGGTGATGTTGGAGAATAAATGTATATAATCCTTAATGGGGGTTGCCATGTAAGAATTAAGAACCCCCATGTGGCTGATTGTAATCCAATTGTAAGTACTCTATATACAGGGTAACAATTTGGTGAATTGGCCTTGATTGATCCAAACACTAAAATTAATAGACCTGATTAAAACTAGTTGCATTCTAACAGCAAATACACATTAAATATGATAAGAGGTGAGATGTAGAGATCGGAATAACAGAAGGAAAAGGCTAAGAATTGGTGGAAGAAAGATTACAATGAAGAAGAGAAACAAGAATAAGTTAAAATCTAACCGAAGAGAAGTGCTTCAATTGAATGTGCTGTTGATACTTATTTATTGGCTATCTCAAGAGATTATTTCAAAAGCATTATTCTGAATGTCATTACCTCAGAATTGGAGGATAAATTAAAGACATTATTGACTATGCCTTGTTTTGATGTATTACTGCTACTCATTATACTAGTTTCTATCTTAAATGGAATTGATACCTATAGCAAATCTATTGGAAAGTGAAACCTATAGATTGGGCTAAGTGATTTTGAAGGAAGGTGAACCATAGAAATACTTTTACATTGTTGCAAGTGGGAGATGCAAGTGTGTGAAGGAGGAAGTGTTCATTAGAGATTTGAAAGTGATGAGAGCGGATGATCCAAATAAGAAGAAGCCATTGAAATGTGGTTTAATAGATTGTAATAAAATATCAATATTAGAGACGCTTAAATTAGAGAGGACAAGAAAATGAGAGTGAAGAATACATCCTTAGATTTAGAGAACGTGCCTGGATTAGGGATACCTTAATCATTTTAATATTAGGAAATATATAAAAATAAAGAGTATATGGCATTCAAATACCATTTTCTTTATAAAGAATTTGTAAGAGGAGACTTTTTTATGGGGAGAGTGTTATTGAATGAATATAAATTGTTTGATGAGGACATAATGGAAATGAAATATGATCTGTCGGAAAGAAGTAGATTGACAGTGATTAGTGATGCAGCTAAGACTGAGGTGTACAAATTGGATAAGGGACTATTTCATTTGGTTAGCCAACCTTTGAAACAACATTTGATTGATGGAATTAAGAGAAAACCTGAATTCGATCTTATTTTTGATGCTGAGGAAGCAAAGAAAGTTAAGAAATGGGATGCCTATAAGATGAATCTATTTAAAGCTGTGATGGACTAAAAGGAATTGAAAAATTGATTTTTTTTTTAATTAATTCATTATTACGATGAAATCTGGATTATGGGATAATATGAGAAAGATGGTCACTCTCATTGATGATCTAAGAGATTGTGGTGTTTAAGATTACATTAAATTGCCAAGAATATGTGTTGTGGGAATGTAGAGTGCAGGAAAGAGTAGTTTATTGGAAAACATTTGTGGATTGGATTTCTTACCTAGGGGTGATGTAATTGATTAATTGCTATTCAATAAAGGGTGTTGTAACTCGTAGACCCTTTGGAATTGCGTCTTGTCCATATTCAAGAAAGATTATAACCTTGGGCAATCTTCAAGGAAGTACCAGAAAAGAAGTTTACAGATTTCACTAAAGTTCGTGAGGAAATCGATAGATTAACTGATGCTAAGGCTGGATAGAAGAAGAGTAAAGTAATTGTTTGAGCATAGACATCTTACCTGATCCTATCGAATTGACAATTTGGTCACCTGATTGTCCAGATCTTACAATTATAGATTTGCCAGGAATTACTCTTATCCCATTGAGAGATTCTGATCAACCTCACAATATTGAAGAAATTACATTAAATATGTGCAAAAGGTATTTCTAATTTATGAAACCATAGATATTGCGAAGATGAACGAACCATCATTCTATGTGTAATGCCTGCAAGTTAGGATATTACGACATAGAGATCTTTGAAATTAGCTCGTCAACTTGATCCAGATGGCATCAGAACTATTGGTGTAATCACTAAAATCGATATTATGGGAGAAGGTTCAGATGCATCCAAAGTTTTGTTGAATGAGGAAGTCAAATTGAGATTAGGATATATAGGAGTCAAAAATCGAAGCTAATAAGATATCATTAATAAAGTTCCTGTTTAAAAAGCACTTCGTCAAGAAGAGGATTACTTTGCTAATGATCCTAGATATGCTGGAATCCCTTAAGATATTTTAGGAACCAGAGCCTTAACTGAAAAATTGACAACTGTCTTATATCAACACATTAGAAAGTGTCTACCTGATATTATTAAGGAAATTGATACTAAAGCTGATGAATGCGAAGATAAACTCAAATTGCTTGGTACCGAGTTACCAAGAGATTAAAAAGACAAAGTCTAATTAGTTTTTAATTTACTTCAAGATTATACAGATGGATTTAAAAATACAATGGATGGAAAATATGATAAAAATGAGGCTACAATTACTGATGAGGAAAAGAAAATTGAACTCACAGGAGGAGCCAAAATTAAACAAATGTTTAACGAACTCTATCAAGAATATGCAGATGAAAAATATCATGTCACTGATTGTTATCTAGATAAAGATATCGAATTGGCTGATCAATTACATTAAGGTGATAGTATTCCAGGATTCCCCTCTTTTGATAGTTTTCTCTATTTAATTGTCCCTCAAGTTCAAGCACTCATCAGACCTGCTTAAGATGTTCTAGATCAAATATTCTAATATATGGATGAAATCAGTTAACAAATCTTAAGAAAAGTATTCAATCCTCTTCTACTTAGGTATTCACTAGATTCCCTTCAGTCCTAGATGAAATCTCAGAAATGAGTCGTAAAGTCATTGAGTCTCAAAGAGCCAAAGCTGAACAAGTTGTGATCAATTAAATTGATGCAGAAATGAATTACATCTATACAAACGATGAAGAATACTTAACAACCAAGGCAGATCTTGTATTCAAACAAAACACTAAGACTGTGGATCCAAAAAAGATCTTAGTCAGAGAACTCAGAAATAGAGTTGATCTCTATTACAAAATCTTAATCAGAAATCTAAGAGATAGCATTCCAAAAGTAAACTATTCTTCTAATAGTTTTAGTACATTGGGTATTACTTAGTCAAATAAACTTTGGACAAAATGTAGATGGGTTTTATATGATCAAATGAATAAGAGTGACAATGTCTTCTAAATGTTGGAAGAGGTAAAGGAATTGCTATTTATTACTTCTAGCCTGTCTACATCCTCCAAGAAAGATAACAACAACAAAAAACATTGAAAGCATTGAAATAGGCTAAGAAAGTACTTAAATAAGACCCAGAGTAATTATTTTATCCATTATGCAAGTCTTTCGAAGGGCCGTGGTTGATTGAACATATTATAACATATTAAAATAATAAGTTAGCATATTAAATAAGATTTAAAAATAATTAAAAAAAATATTTATTGACCAATGGTGAAAATGAATGTCCTCAATGATTGCCTCCGTTCTATTGTGAACGCTGAAAGGTTGTACTTGTTGTCCTAACTATTTAAGACAAGGAAGAAAGCAAGTGCTCATTAGACCCACATCCAAATTAGTTGTGAAGTTCTTATAAGTTATGCAAAGACACGGCTACATTGGTGAATTCGAAATCGTTGATGATCATAGAAGTGGCAAGATTGTTGTTGAATTATTGGGTATCCAATAATCATTAAATTCTAGGACGCATTAATAAATGTGGTGTGATCTCTCCTAGATATGATGTTACATTAGGAGAATTTGAAAGATGGGCTAACAACATTCTACCTGCTAGACAATTTGGTTGCGTCGTCCTTACAACCAATGTTGGAATCCTTACACACGAAGAAGCCAGATAAAGACATATTGGAGGTAAAATCCTTGGTTTCTTCTATTGATATCATTATAAACACGTAGTACAATAAATATTTATGTATTTATCTAAGTAACTGGATATAAATTAATTGTTCATTTATATATAATTTATTAAATTTTCAATTCTCTTACTAAGAATCTCTATACTAGTTGTTCTCAATTACCAACACTGAATTATTAATCCTATAAATAAGTTATTCCCCATCACTACTCCTAAAGATATAAGATCGAAATCAATTAGATTTTACATAATACAGTATGACATTTAGATTTTATCTCGAATAAATACTCTAAATAATCATAAATTTTGATTAAATAGAATAAATTAAACCAATTAATTTGTTTTAAATGTTTTATAGTTCTATAATCTATTCGTGTATTTTGATTTGTATTTTATGTATCAAATATTCTGCATTGATGAATTATTATTTCATATTTAGTTATTATAAGTATATGGTATTAAATCGAAAATTTGAATTACTAATGAAAACAAGAGATATTATAAATAATGGATCTTCTCTAATTAATCTTGAAATTTAATCTTACTTCTTACTTTAGTTGCTATATTTATACTTTACCTAGGAAAACTTGTCTTTTGGTTTATAACTGCTTTGAATTAATTCCATCTAGACATGTTGTTGATGTTTTGTACTAGAGACTATATTATATAGCCTATTTTAATTACAGAAAATATAGACATTTGTATTTTAAAGATAAGAATGGGATCTTTCACAAACACCTGCATAATTATAGTTTAAATCTATATCTTTGAATAATATTATTAAGAAACGATTGATGAGTAAATTTAATCATAATATTATGATTAAATTTACTCTAAAATTTTGAGGTTAAAAATCTTTTGGGATTAAGATAGTATAAATTATACAATTAATTAGATATTATTTAATTTAAGATCATTTTTAAAAGAAATGTATTAATACTTATAAATTTAGCCTTTATGAAGAAACTTTTTAAATTATAATAATTTTAATGTTTGTTGGTTTTTCATTATTTTCCCTTTCTATTTTGGACTGGTGCTTGATTACTGACTGCATGTTCTTCAATAAGGGAGTCACCCACGTATTCATTAACTCTCTTTTTCAAATACTCATTGACTGTTGCAATCTTCTCTCTATAGATTAAAAGAGATTCCTCCAATAATTAGTTTTCTTCGTGTCTCTTCTCTTTTTCAGAATTGTACAACTTCTTCTTGTAATTGTATTCCTCTAAAAAGAATAGTAATTGATAATTTACCTTAGGTCAAACTTAAGATTCTCATGCTTTATTCTTGGAGTTCCTTCTTCTTGGTCAAAATATCTGAAGCCAATTCCTTATCATTTTGGAGTGAGTTCAAGAATTTAGCTTTGGCATCATATTCTTATTTAAGAGATTCTTATTCAGCAAGCAAGTTAGTTTTGAAATCAGCAAAATCATTAGCAGATTAGATTTCTTATTCTTCTAAGCTTTTGATTGTATCTCTCAATTTTTCAATTAATTATTGGATGATTCCAACAACATCTTTTTCCACCAATGAAGCCAATTATTCTCCATTACCGTGGGATCCTTAAATTTAATATGGAAAACTACTTGTTTATGCAAATGAAGTTTCTTGTTCACCTAATTTACCAAAGTCTTAGACAGCTTGCTCTTCAAACAAGTTTGCATACTTGCTCAATTTCTCTGCATAATCTCCAATGTGATTCTTCTCTACAAAGGTACTTTATTTGCTTTGAGCATCACTTCTGACCCAATCAAGAACTGAAAGAGCATTTTTGTATTCTCTCAGAGTATCAATGAAAAGAGCATTGGCTTCGCATCGTTATTCAGCCAAATTTTCAAGCTTGACTTCATTTGCCTTATATCGCTTGTTATTCCAATTCAAGTAATCAGTTGTTTATTGGATCTTAAGACTTGATGTTTTTTAATGATAAATAAATACTCGACAGCTTCTAAGTCTTATTAGGCTGCAGCAGCACTCTTTGAATTTACATTAACAATTCCTGAGAACTCATTGACGTCCTTCAAAATGGCTGATTCAAAGCGTTAGAAGGTGAGGTCTGCCTTATCTTGAGCTTCAACATTTGCTCCCTACAGATCTTCAAGCAAAATAAGCACTGATTGAATGGCATCTTGAGAACTTAAGACATTTGTTTTAGAACTAAGTAAATTCAAAAAGTCTGTATTGATCTTTTTGGGACTGCAAAATACGCTCTAACTCAAAAGGAGAATGACTAACACTCCTGAAATACTTTTCATTCTTTTTTCAATAATAATAATATTTATATAAATACCGTTTTTATACATTAATATACTTCCTCATTTGAGAACGCAATTCAACCTCTACAAAAATAAAATTTTAGATAATCGGAGTTCACTGGACATACAAGCCAATCGACTTAGTGATTAAATGTAGATAATTAAATTTTGGATAGATTTCAGCAATTAAAAAAAGAATAAGGAAAAGTTTAATTTCTATTTCCTAAATTTATTAGAAGATCATTTGCAATTATAAACTCTATATTAAACCAAATAGAATTAAGCTTAATTTAATGGAATAAAAGTGATTAAAATGGATGGAAGATATGAAACTTCAAGAATTATAAATATGAAATTGCTAGTAGAAAAACAAATAGAGGAGGGAGATTTCAAGGAAATTAATGAAATATTACAATTTTAAGTTAATATAATAATTCTTTGATAATTTATTTTGTATTATTCAAATATCTGGAAGGGGTTGATTGCATCCAGACCATTTATTCATTACCTTCTTACCATCCTTAATATCAAACCACAAATCTCCAATAATACCAATATCCCTCAAGAATTTACCACTTGGTGAATGATAATCTTAATAAGTGTCAGTATCGTCAGTATCCTAGATGAAATTATGATAAGAATTACTTCACTATCAGGGAAGTTGAGAGGGGGTGGGTGAGTGATTCTCCAGTGATCTTCATCTGGATATCTTTGGTAAAGGAATTCAACCCCTAAACAGAATAAGATGGAGAATATTACAGAAATAGACTAATGGCATAGTAGCCATTGCAGCCCATGGCCACATAGGTCCTCTTTTTCTGAAATGCTATGTTCTGAAGCTCTCGGTTTAGAAATCACAATCTTCTGATTCATAATCAAATTCATGGTTCACATCAGCATCTTAGTCTTGTTAGGCTGCAGTCAAATGTTAGATTGGTTGTCCTATTTATTTGTTTTCTGGTTTTAAAAGAAGTGATGGGTTGTAAAGATGATCTTAAGGCAAGGCCTCAGAAGGATTGAAATGAACAAGCTTTCCTTCGAATGGCCATACGTATGTTTTTGGATCTGGACAACCAACATGTTTTGTTGGAGTGATGTAGTCTGGATTATATTTTGGATCGTCTCTCCAGTCATAGGGTTTGCCATGAGCTTCATTGTAATTGACACCTGGATAATGCATATAGCCAGGACCCTCTATGATTCAATAATGAATGATTACACTCATAAATAAGTATATAAGTTCTAGTGATCTCTATGTTGAGTAATTGTATTGAATTCGACCTTGGGTCTGCCTCTACCATGAGGTACTCCATGTCCATGATCACCATGTCCATGACCATGATCTCCATGTCCATGATCTCCATGACCGTGATCTCCATGATCGTCATGGTCTCCGTGATCGTCATGATGTGCAAAAGGATTGGGTACTCTAGTAGAATTAGCAAAGTTTTGAATTGTGACTTGTCTAAGTTGATTCTTCAATCCTCTAGATAAATGAATCATTTAATTTTAATTATATACATTCAGAATATCTTAATTATCTGTTAGATGAATTCAAACAATAGTACGGTTTCGCATTTGTCCGAAAACTACGAAACCAAATATTACCCTAACGATTAAGAGAAAGAAAATAAGAATATTTAAATACCAACTTTTAAATAATACTACGAACTTAATAATACAACAACTTTGAATACAATCACATAAAAATTAACTAACACCATAAGCGAAATTTAAGAAACTGAAAATTCCTTATATGAAACCTTACAGAAAACTGAGATCACTGAAGAACAGAAGCAACAGATTAAATTAAGAATAATAAAATTATAAATGCTGCAAGTCGTTGCATAGTTTAAGACAGAAACTAAATCAAATTTATCTGCACTTTAAAGAGAATTAAGGGAAATTTAAAACTATATTCTCCATGAATTGCTCCAATTTTGATTACTTCATATTACATATTAAGTTAATAAATTTTCATTTAGTAGTGAATGCATATTTCGAAGATGATCTCAAATCAACTGCTGATAATTTACTAGCACTTAATCTCAACTATTTCTTGTATCTCTCTTTACTCTCAACCAATTACTTAGATTATCGATAATATTTCTATTGACTCAAAAATCTTGCTTAATTCAATTCTGAAATTGCTCAATAAATCCTTCTGTCTAATGATCTCGTCAGGTTTATGAATAGCTAACATTTCTGAGAATTTCAAATCTGCTCTCGGATTGATTTTTTTAAAGATTTCATCAGTCTTATCAATATCTGGTTGATTTTACAGTTCTGATTCACATTTATCAATAGCTTTGCTGTATTATTCTCTGAAGTAACCTACAACCTCATCAAAAGCCTATTTTAAATATTTCTATCTCTAGTGATTGACTACCACTTCACCCTCCCTTTGCAACTTCTCCTTCTCCTCTATTTCTCTTAAGACTAGCTATTTATAATCTGGATTAATCAAAGATATCTCTTTCAATATCAATTCATCCCACTCAATCTTTCTTACATCTATAAACTATAATTATCCTGCATCTATTATATACAGATTATCAAAATCATCCCTAGCAAAATCCAGCCTCAATTTCATTATTTTTCGTTGATGATATGCTTCAAAAAAGTGTACAATCTAATACATGTGATAACTAACAATATAATAGAGTATTACTATAAATATTATGACATACTCTTCTTCTTTAACTCCTTTAAGTAAAGTTCATGTTGACGGATATGATTGCCAGTCTAAAAATTAGGATTGTTGATTTAACAAATTTACTCTAAGGCTTTATCGTACTGGTCTTAATATTTGATATCATCCTTAATGTATGTTATACGTTGATATCTAGTCTTATTTAATTCATTTAATTTTTATTTTTATTCCTCAGTCAACTTCATACTATCATCTGCTATTTTTGATTTACTCTACTTTGCTTCCGTTGGCTTATCTTCTTCTTTGAATTTCTTCGTGTCTTTGCTAAGAGACTATTTAGATAATCTATTGTTTTCAAACTTTTCTGGATTCTCTTTTGCTTTAAAAATAAGTTTCCCATAAAAATCATATGGGTATGCTTAGATCATAACTATGGTGTCCCATATTTAATCTATCTTCCTCTTTTCAAACAGTTACATAGCCGCTAACTATGACATTATCTATTCACCCCCATTCTTGAATTTAACTAAGATAAAATCCTTCTAGATTCCAATATTCTAAACATATTTCTTAATTCCTTGTTATATTTCTGCACTCTTCTAATCAAATTCCAAATTATTGAAATCTTTGTTCTCTCTTTTCTCTGTTGCCACTCTTAATTCTATATCATATTCTGTTCTTCTTTTTACTAAAAACTAACCTAATTCTTATAAATTAGTTAATAGATGCCGATCTCTGATGATTCTAAGACCTTTGTCTTTGTCATGATAAACCAAAACACAAGGTTCTCTTTAATAAAAGAATAAGGTATCCATTACTCTGAGATTCAGTGTTTTCCCATTTTTTGTTGGCTGCATCATTTTAATCGAAAGACCTAAGAAATCAATAGGATCTTTGATTTATGGCAATAATTGTGATCCTCCATCTTTCCTCATGAATTTCACATGTGTCTATTCGTCTTGTAGATAGCGATCACTCGGTTGATCATAGAATTCATCATAAATTAAATCCTTTTTTAATTGGTTGTCAGTCATTAGTTGATGATGGCATATTGAACAATCGCAATTGAATTTGGAATGAATGTGATAATTCTTGTTAATCTTCTCTTCTCGATCAGCATAAAGAGTAAGAATCTGTTACATAAGTTCTTAATCTGAATCATTATTATTAATCATATTAATGTAAGAAGAATATTAAGGTTATGGAATAGATTTAGGAGGTAGATACACTCTGCTCGCTAAATGCAACTTATTCTCAGCAGATGTAGTCCTCAATGAAGGTTCAAGAGAAACAGAGAATGTGATAGTATTTTAGACACATGAAAGATTCTTTGGAAACACAGCAGCACATTCATATAGATCTAATATTCTAAATTCTGTAAGAGGATTCCAAAAGGCTCACACATTTCAGTATAAAGGGCAATCGATCAAATTGGAACCCGAGTAACAGATTGGAGCTTTTCTTAGAAAATTGCTGCGAGATTGCGATAGAACAATTGTTATCTCTTACCCTGATTTTTACACCCAATTCGATTTGATCAGACTGTGGAGAGCAATTCAAATAAGCAAAGTAAAGGTCATGGCAGCAATTCCAGAAAATATGGCAATTAGCACTTATGTAAATTATTGTCAAAATAATGTTCTACAAAAAGAAATGATGATAATTGATTTTGGACATTCAAAATTCACAGCGTTCCTATTATCCTAAGAGTAGATTCTCTGTGAAGTTTTCGATAGAAATCTAGGAACATTCTAGATGGACAATTATTTAGCTGAATGGATTATAAACCAGGCAAAGATCACCATAGATAAATCAAGTAAATATTATTTGAGATTGTTGGATACTTGTGAGAGTATTAGAAGACGCTTAAGTGCAAATAAAGATACCCATATTGATATTGAGCAACTTATTCCAGATGTTGATTTTACTTGCAATTTAACAAGGTAAACAATATTCATTATGTAAGGGAAAATTATGAGAACATCATATAACCAGTTTTAGAATAGATTCAGAGTTTGCTATTCAATCTCTATCATTAGACCTAAAATTATAATTTTAATCTCATAGTAACTTTGGGAGGAGGTTCTAGAATTCCGATTATATAATAATGCATTAAAACTATTTTCGAAGGCAAGCAAATCTAAAGTACCATACATGCAACTGAAGCTATTTGTCAAGGATGTGCAGTTTCCAATACATTAATTACTCAAAGGAAGGATCAATTAAAAAGAGAATAATCCATGCAACATTATTTAAATTTATTTGAACATTTCCCTATCTTTGTAGGAATCAAACCCTAAGACTAGAATAACAATTAAATGCATTAGATCAACTTGAGAGAGTATTTCGTCCTTAATGGTGAGTGTCTAAGATTTAAGCATTGTTTAATAAAATAATTGGATTAGTTTAGGCCTTATGAGATATCATTATTCTATGATCCCCCTCCTATTGGATGTTAAGCATTAATTAAAACCTTTTTGATTACTAATGCGAGGTTAGTTATGTTTTATTATGATGACTTTGGAGTGATTCAAATGTCTGCAGATAATAAAATAGCCATTCCAATTTAGGATTAGAATGCAGGACTTATGGAAATGATTCAAATTGAAGATCAATTGGAACTAGATGATAGCAATGTTTAACTTGTAAGATTTAATATTTCATATCTTTATTAGACTCACGATCTTAGATATTAGTGCGAAAGAAGAATTAATGAAGTCAAGCAATAGTATAAAACCAAAAATTTAAGTGTTCCTTAATTAATGAAGGTAGGTGAACTAATTGAAGAGTCTGAACAAAGGGTTTTGGATCAGAGTTTAACAGCACAGGATGTTTAAAATTTAATGAATGAGTTTGAATTATAATATAAAAATATTATCGCTTGACATTTATCTTTTAAATTAAAACTGCTTTTTAAATATGAGTCTGGGGTGTAATAATAGGTAAAGATAGAGAGTTAGAGAATAAAATTTAAATAATTGAATTACTTAAGAATTTTAGATATAATTTTATATGGCTTATTTTGGAAATAATCAATAGAGTGGTGAATTATAAGAGTTTTATGCTGATTTGAATGATTGAAATTTTGAGAAAAAGAAAGTAGGAGCACTAAGATTGATATGCGATTAATGCTGCGAAGAAGTTATTGAGTGTTTGACAGTAGGAAAAGCAGATCTACTTGAAAATTGAAGAAATTTTGGAAAAGAATCAAGTACCTTGGTTTTGGCTAATTCTAAGAATTTTCATTAAGTCTTGAATGAATTAATGATATATATTAATGAAACAGATCCTCATTATGTCAGTAAGACCATTAAATCTATTGGTAAATCTGCTGTGATGTAATTGATGACAAGGCACTTACTGAATAATAATCACTTAATTAATTGGAGCTGTCTCAATCTTAGTAGAATTTACTAATAAGCCAATGAAGCAGCCTATTAATTATTCATTAAAATACAACTTATTTCCAGAAAAATCGAAATATCTAGTTTATTGTCTACTAATCTAAAAATCATGAAGAATTTGATTTGTTATGGTGTTGAAGGAACTTCTTAATTTTAAAAGATGTACGATTATGGGAGACTAAAGATTTAGATATTACTTAGAAAGTATAAGGTAGTATGAGCAATCTATTTCGAAAGTTACCAAATTAACTATATAAAAATCTTATAGTAAGTAATAATAATATCCCATATTTAAGTCATCAATAAGAAACAAAAGATCATAAGTCAGAAGCAACTTCGAAAGAATATAAAATCAGAACAATAATAATAAAAACAATAAAAAGATAAGATTTTGATCTCTTAAATTTTGATGAACCTACTTATGATTTAATATCAATATTAAAATATATTATAAATTTAACCTCCTTTCAGTTTTTGATTATTTAATTATTATTTGAATTTGATATGTTGTTGTAAACGTTATAGTTTACAAAATAGAATCCAAACCTATTGTGGCTATCATGATAATCTTGATGAATTCATAAAGATGATTCCTGAATTTTATGTAAATAAACTTTAACCATTTTTGTGTATAGAAATTATAGATTATTAAAAGCAATAATTATGAAGTATTATCGATTACATCATTATTTATTTTAATTCTCTTAATCGAAGATTGTGTTTACAATTTAGTGTTTACTTTAAGATTTACTAAGAATGTTGATTCTTAAGAATTTGTTAATTTAAAACAAAGCGAATAGTTTTAAATATATGATATTTTAATGTTAAGAAGGATTATTTAATTTTTCTTGGGAATTTTTCAATTATTGGTTGTTCTTGAATTTGTAAAACATTTATTTAATTAATTATTTATGTCTTGCCAACGAATCACAGTTACAAAAAGGGGAGTAGAGTTATAAGAGTAATTAAAGGACATTTTGAAGAAAAACTAAAAGATTCATAAGATAGAACATCAGAGAGGTGTATTTATTTAATAATATTATGTAGATAATTCTAGTGATCCGTTGAAGAGGTAGAATATCGGCAAGGAATAGTTTGGAGGATACTTGGAACTACTGGAGTAGAAAATGAATTCGCCAGAGAAGATTAAAGTGTTTTTGAATCAAAGATTTAGCAATCAGCCAAAGTTTATATAAAAGGAAGTGGAGAAGGTTAGTCAGAAGATCTACAATTATGGAAATTCTTAGTTTAGATCTCATCATTCATTGCCCTCCTTGGATTTTAGATAGGTTTAACACTTAAAGACTAAGTATAGTGATGGGTTTTGGAATAGTTAGAATCTCTCAATGACTGGAAATACGTGTAAAATATTTGCATTTGAGTAGTCTTCAAGCCTAAAGACGATGAGGTCAAAACGAGGAAGGTCAATTACCTAATGTTTTAAGAAGCTAAGATCGAAAGAATGATCACAAAATACGATAAATTTAATGAGAAAGCATAATTTATTCCTAGTTTCGAAAAAGGAAAATAAAAAAACTCGAATTTGGCCACTGAACTGTTGAAAGCAATGGAAAAAAAGGACAATGAAAACAAGAGTGGAATCCATTCAAGAAATCAATTAGAAACATGCTTAAAATCTCGATTTAATGGAATACAACAGTTAAAGAAGGGAGCGATTTCATCAAACTATGACAGAGTTGCATAATAAAAAATATAAGCATCATTGGGACAATCTAAGAGTAGGTAAATGAATGAACATTAATATTAAAATTTAAAATATATTTTTAAATATGGGCAAGAGAATTCGAAGTAAGCATCTCCTTTTATATCCTACTAGCACAAAGAAAGGGTAAATCCAACAGTGTCTTCAAAGCACATTAAAATCAAAGAGTTGGGAGTCCCTAATATAGACACCTTGATTATGCTGAGAGACATGGTTATGTGAGAGGTGTGATCTCTGAGATTATTCATGATCCAGGAAGAGGAGCTCCATTGGCCAAAGTTGAATTTAATGATCCTTACAAATACAAAAAACAAACTAAACTCTTTATTGCTCCTGAAGGTGCTTATACTGGATAATACATTTATTGCGGTGCTAAGGGTATTCTATTGTTTTCATCAATTTCTAGCATAATTAGCAACTGGAAATGTATTACCTATTGGATCAATTCCAGAAGGTACAGTTGTTTGCAATTTGGAAGAGCATCCTGGAGACAAAGGTGCTTTAGGAAGAGCTACAGGATGTTATGCTACTATTATTGGTCATTCAGATGATGGAGCATAAACTAGAGTTAGATTACCCTCTGGTACAAGAAAAACTTTAAGTTCACTTTGCAGAGCCACAGTTGGTTTGATTTCTGGAGGTGGAAGAACTGAAAAACCAATCCTCAAAGCAGGAAGACAATTCCATAAATATAGAAGACTTAGAAAGGTATGGCCTAGAGTCAGAGGTGTTGCCATGAACCCAGTAGATCATCCTCATGTATTTCTTTTGATTAATATTAACTTAGGGTGGAGGTAATTAATAACATATTGGACATCCATCCACCTTATCCAGATATGCTCCACCAGGTCAAAAAGTTGGTCTTGTAGCTGCCAGACGATCAGGACTTCTTAGGGGAGGTGCCTAACTCAAACAAATGGACGAAGACTTGGCTGCATAATAGGCTAAGAAATGTATATTTTATTTATTATTGTACAATATTAGAAACCTATAGATGCATTATTCTCATTTTAATGAGAAACAAGTAATTATTAAAATAAAAAATAAATGAACAATTATATGAATTAGAAGAAACTATAAGTTGAATAAAAATCTCCTAGACTGTTGATCTTCCCAAAATCAAAATAGAATTAAGTTAATAGCAGGGCTGCTATGAACTACTTTACAGAAATGAAAAAGGAACACTAATAAATTAATCAAAACAAATAAGTCTTACCTCCAGAATTCTATATATCGTTATTGTCATTAGAGCCAAAACAATCCCAACTACATACTCCCAACATAGAGTTAATACGAACCTTAATTGACAGCTATCTTATTATTATTGAATAGCTCTAAGGTTAAGATGGACTTATGATCTATTTTAAGGATAAAGTTAATAGCTTGTTAGAGTAACCATAAGTTAGATAATGCATTTAAAAAAGTGATGATGCTTAATTGCAACAAATGTTAGACAAAAGTCAATAATCTTATTGCAAGCAAACAAATGTAGAAGAAATGGAAGCATATATGAATATGAACAAACCCTAAGTCAGAAACTCTTTAGCTACTTTTCTAACTATGCATGATAGATTAGAGAAAGAATATGACAAGGCCTAGCAGATCTTATAAGATTATGACGATCATGTTGCTCAGTTCGATGAACTCATGCAAAAAGATCTTGATAATCAAAAGAATGCATTAGAAGATAGGCTAAAAAAAAGAAGTAAATACTTTTAAATACATAATAATAGATGATAATAAAAAAAGGTATTCTGCTCATGAATAGAGACCTAATCCTACTAACTATTGATAAATGTGAAATGTTAAATATGTTATTTATATTATTTTGTAATAATAAAATTATTATTACTAAAATTACAAATCAATCTTATTGAAGGATTATGTGGGCATAATCATTGCTTATAATATTTTTCAGATGTAATCTCAGTTTTTTAATGTACTTGTATGAGACTCTATAATCAATTTTTTCAACATCCAGATTATAATACTTGTATTGCAGCATCACATTATAAATTGAATACAAGGAACAGTCATAAGTATTCTATTGCTATTCAACTTATATCTATTATAGATTCAGTTATATAGGAAATATAGAACCTACAGCCTATAATATTTTTTAATCATTCTAGGTTGCATAAGAATTTAGCATATACAATGATTTATTTTAGTATACTAAAACTAAAAAATGTACTTAATCAGCATTCAAAATAAATATTATTTTGTTATACTTTTAGAAGTCATTAATTACCTATTCATGCTTCTATGGTACTTTTAGACTTTTTTAATCCACTAAACTGATTTAGCTTGTAAACAAATCTTGTGACTATGATGTATTAAATAGATATATCTATGCTTTTGAGGAAGTTTTATAATAATCAGACAAGAGCCTTAGATAGTAATCAACTAATAATTAATTTATCCATTTCTCCTCAGTCAATCCTGAAAAAAAGTGATTATTTATTGAAATATCCTTATGATTAACTAAATATCTTGTACAGATCGTTTTTTCATCAAATTTACATTCATCCTTTTATTTCACTGTTAAATCATTTTTATAATAGATTTCTTTCACAATGGATCCATTCTGTATTTTATTAATGAATATTCCTTATTTCATATTATTCTAATAGTATCCAGTGGTTATAGTTTAATTGGGATTACTGGTTATTGATTCTCCATGTTTAAGTCCGTTCTAAAATTGGCCTTCAAACTTTTGTTTTTAGAATTTTAAATCTAAACAGCCTTTTCCAGTTGCCAATCCATCCACAAATTTACATTGAAATTAAAAAGTTTCATCACAATCAAGTACTCCTTACCCATTAGGTAAAAAAGTTTATTAATCTATCGATCCTGTGTATCTAAACACAGTTTAATCTAAATCTCCCAAATTTGGATTACAAAAAGGAATTCTAGTAGATATGTAAATGTATGTGTGATTAAAATTATACTTATCATTACTTATTTTAGGTAATTTAATTCTATTTATAATAAATTAATTACAAATCTCCACTTGGCCTTAAAATGAAAGAGCCCCTAGTTAGAATTTTTAAGGATATAAATTACTAATCCGTATTTCCTTTTTTTTATTCTTTCTAGATAACCACAGCAATATTATGATACAATTGATCAATTTCTTTAAAAAAATTGGCGGTTGTTATTATCTCTTGTTATACATCTTGAATGTTCAAATTACTTAAACCCAATAGGATTTCATAAAATTATTTATAGGTCTCATCTGAAATTTGATTTTTATACTTAATTTCTGAAGTTAGAGATGCATCGATATAGAAAACCTCTACTTCCTATTTTTGATTTTTCCAAATATAGAAACTGCTCAAGTTCTACTTTATTATTTATTAAGCATTTTATTTGAGTTACAACTTATTCAGAAAGTGATTGATGATGCTTCGAAATTAAGGTTTCAATTGAGTTCTAAATGTTGTAAACATGTCTGCATGTTCTTTATTATTTTATTTCCCAAACAACATATAAGAATTATCTTTCTTCTCCTTATAAAATGTAAATAGCTCTGAAAGCATAATTAAATAATCCTATCTATTTTATTATATTTTATAAACTTAATGAATTTTCGTTTTTTAATTCTTCTAATAACAATAACATTTGCTTATGACAAAGTCAAAGCTGAGTCATAAACTGAGAAAAGCATCACCTTAGAAGATGAGACTCTAATTCAAGACATCAAATTTTCAGAAGCTTTTTTGGAGGCCCCTGTCATCTACATTACCTTAACTAAGCTATCAATGGCTGGTTAGAAATATGGGTTTGAAATTGATATAACAGATGTGAATACTAAAGGGTTCAAATTAATTTATAGGAAATACATCAATGATCCAATAACTCTACAGGTTTAATGGCTAGCAATTTTTGATCCAAGAGTTGAAGTGGCTTATTATACATCTTTCAAATAATAACTGATTGTTCCTGTTTACGAGGATAATTTTGCATACTCAATCATAGGTTTGTAAGGTAGTTCTAGTCAAGTTGGAATCTAAGTAGAAAAGATCGATAATGGAAATGCATATTTGTAAGTCACAAATTCTGTCAAAATGATAAAGTTGTGTATTATATCTGGGTCAAAACATGCTTTGTATCCTAAATTTATTCCTTTTTCTGTGTCTAATAATCATCCTTGGCTTAAAGAACAGAAAGGCAAAGCATTTATTAATTTTTCATATGATCTGAATGTAAATTAACCAATTTTGATTGGTGGTATTACTGAATTTCTATTCAAGAGTTAATCAATCAAGATCCAATTACAAAACCTAAAATATGATGACAAAGTATTAGCAGAAATTGGAACTTGTAATTTAATTAACTGATATCTAGGGAACGATGCACAATTAGTATAAGCCTAAGTTTCAATTTTGGCTTATATCATAGATGAAGATTTGATAATATCAGATAAGAATTGTGTTGAGTTGTTTGAGTAATGCTACTTTTAGGGTAAAAGCACTAAAATTTGTAAAGAAGGAGATGCATAAAGTTTGGAAAAAGAATTTAAATTCAGAAGCTTTATCGTTCCTAGATACAAACAATTTGAACTTGCTAACAATAAAGATGTCCAATAATTAATGGGAATAGAATCCTGTGTTGATGAAATTATATTGAAATGAAAAATCAATTTTATTCTTAATTATTCTTTTTATTAACAAATTAATTATCTTCCTCTTCTTCTTCTTCTTCTTCTTCTTCTTCATCATCTACATCTTCATAATCTTCATCATTATCTTCTATTTCTTCCCCTTCTTATTACTACTTTTTTTTAACAATAATATTTCCATCTTAATCGATATTGTCAGCTGTAATCATTTCATCCATAAATTCATCTCCTTCATCTTCCATCTCTACATTTGCTGTTGCTAATTCTGTAAAAATCTCATTTATTTTATTTTATGTTTCCTTTGATTATTTACTAAGATCAAAATATATCTATCTCTAAATATATGCTTACCTAATATTCACCCTTTCCTAAATTTACTATTTCAGCTGGATTTTATTACTAAATTAATTCAATTAATTCTTCTTATTCTTCTTCTAATTCCATCTCTTCCTCCTCTTGTGACCCTAAAAAACACATAAACTAATCCCCTTATTAGCCATGTGAGACTAGGGTTTCGTAATTAAACATAAACGATTTTCCATTCAAATTAGAAACCAAAGAACCATTCTCTTGTGTTTTTTCAATTTGTATATCTTTTTTCAATTATTCATTTGTTAATGATTCATTACTTTATGCTAAACTGTACCAACACAATCTCTCATTTGTAATAAGTAGGTTTCCAGAATTTGGAGTGAATTCGATTTCCTTTCCATTTTAACCAATCAGCTTCACCTTAACGTTTTCAAACAAATGAAATTGATCCTCTGATAGCATTTACTAAAATGGATACTATATTTCATTCTGAACTTCTTGGTTATTATTTTAATCCATTTATTACCAATATATATAAATTATTTTAAATAATTTTTTATTGTATTTTTTCTTAAGATGGTTTGACCTTCTTTTAAATTGAGTTCTTCCTACTTTTAAGTTTAATCAATTTATTTAATTAACCATTAAATAAACAAAATATATTTACTTTAATAAAAACTTTAAATTATATGATTAGTTGTAATTCTCAAGGTCCTTATAGGAATATCAACGAACTAAATATCAATACGCCCGGATAGCTCAGCTTGGTAGAGCGAGAGACTCTTAATCTCTAGGTCCAGGGATCGAGACCCTGTTCGGGCGTAAATTTTTATTTTTTAAATAAATTAAATTATCTAAATTTATTTAATAACTTTTATAAGAAATCGTGAATTTTAAGAATATTATCATTTTTAAAACAAATTGAAAGTAGGTTCATGAAGTTAATTTGACAGCTATAAATTTCAAGTCCTAACTATATTTATGTTATAAATTTGGGTCCAAGTGAAAATTATGAAGCAATTTAAGATAACCACTATTATATATATATATATAATTATATCATTTTTAAAATTCACACTATCCAATCATTGAGTCATCGTTCTGTCCTTATTAGTTCCCATAATAATAAAATTTGCTATTTTGAAATGATTACTATGTCAAAGGAGCAGTCTTTTCATAATTAGTTATATCAGCTAAATTATTTTTTTTAAGAACTGATATATTTGCTGAAGATGTAGATGTGTTATTAGAATGAGTTGGACTTAGTTTTTAAAGTCCAATAGCTTAAATTATATGAAAATTATATACTTGAAATATTGTTTATTGGATTTCTATATGTATTGCCGGTCTTTATATTATTACTTGTCATATTATGGGCTGCAACACTACGTCTTGTAGCTCTTTATTCATTTTTTAGTTTTTCATTTTCTCTTAGAAGCTATTCTTTTTTATCACTTAACTTTTCTAATTAATCTGATAATTCAGTTTTTATGTTATTTAAATGATCTCTATCTAAATTCCATTTGGCTCTCTCTTTTTCAAACTCAAAAATAAGAGTGGATCTTTTGTTTTCAACCTCCTTATATTTTGTTTCTAATTCTACTATTTTAGCCTTCAAGTTCTCTCTTTCTTATTCTAACATCTTTTAATATTCAAAAATCTTATAATCCCTATCTTACTTAATATTTTCAATTTCCTATTATAACCTCTTTTCATTATCTAACATTTCAGCAAACTTTTTCTCTGACAATAATTGATTACCAATTTTTCCATGTTAATCAATTAATATCTTATCTCTATGAGTTTTAACCTCTTTTTATAATCTTCTAATTTTATCCTCATAATCTTAAACTATTCTTTAATGAGTTTGATTAGCTTCTTCAATTTATGATTAATATTTTCTCTCAACACTTAATAATAACTCATTTAAATTATTTTCTTACTCATCCTTTTCGTTTGATCTAGCCCTTTATAGATGCATCAAAGTCATCTCAAACTTTTTTAATGCATCCATCAAATCTTATTTTGCCTATTCCTTTTGTTATTCCAAAAATTAAAATTTTCCTTCCCATAAAGCTTTATCTCTTTCATAACTGGTATGGATTTCGCTCTTCTCCTATTCCAATTAAAGATTAAACTATTTATATTTTTCTAATTCTTATTGTAATGATTTCTTCTCTGCAGCTATTTATTCTCTCAAAGCAGTCTAATATTAAGCAACGCTAGCAGACTCATCCTTTATTTTTGATTCTAGTTCATTTTTTCTTGAATCTAATTGTCCTAACTTTTCAGTTAGAATGGCTTTCTCTCTTTCTAAAGTAGATGCTTATTTATTATATTGATATTCGTTTTCCTTCAATTATTTCTTAATCTTCTCATACTTAGTTTCAATAGCTGTTTTTTCCTCTTAAGCTCTTTCCAATTTTTATTCTAATTCAACTGAATACTCGTTCTTTTATTATTTAATTTTCTCATCAAACCTTGATTACTATGTATCTATTTGTTTTTAAAGATCTTCAATTTTTTTCTATAAAAATTCATTTTATTATTAAGTTAATGCTGTTTCTCTGCCATATTCAATCTTCTTCTCCAAGAATTCATCATTCATTTTTTGTAGTCTTTATTTTGTTTCTTCTAATCTATCTATCAGTTCTCTCTTTTCCTCTTACCATTCTTTTCTTGATTATTCAAATTGTTATTCTTTCCTTGTTTTCTCATTTTCCAAAAGATCCTTCTTTTATTATAATGCCATGTGTTCTTTTTGTAGATTATTCAATTAACTTGATAGAACATCATTTTTCGAAATTAAACTTTTTCTTTCTGTAGTGAAGGAGTTCATTTATTATTCTAAAGTAGTATTGTTGTTATTCTAAAGGGATATAAGTTACTCTTTAATTTCTTTAATGTGTTTTTCAAAAATCTCAATGGTTTACTATTTCAAGGCAATCTCATGATCATATTATTAAATTGTATTTGTATACTGTTATACTTAATCTCTTAAATCATCCTTTAGAGTTTCAATTTCTTCCTCATAATTTTATTCAGTTTCTCTGAGCTTATGATAGAATTCTTCTTAAGCAGCTTAGAATTTCTTATCGCTTTTTTCTTTTTCTTCGCAGATTCTTCTTTCCAATCTTTCCCTTTCAATTTCATAGAAGTTCTTTAACTATGTTAAGGATTCCTCTGCTTTTGCTTGAGCTTAATTAACTTCTCTAGCTGTTTTTGTGTCTGCTTCATCCATAGCCTATTCCAATTATTTAATTTTCTTCTAATATCTTAACTCTTATTCTTTCAAGATTGATAATTTCTATCCATCTAAAGTCTTGTTCTATTCTAGTAGTTTATTTTTTTGTTCTTCTGATGTTTAAAGTTATTCTTTAAGATTCTCAATTTCATTAATGAGATCTCCTGTCTCAAACTTGACCTTGAGTTCCAATTCACTATTTCTCTCATTCAATTGATCTACTTATTATTATAATCTCTTCTTCACACTTTCATATTCATTCTCTATATTTTTAAGATCTCTCTTATGTTGTTCTCTTAAGTCATTCATTTTGGCCGCATCAATCTTGTAAGTTGATTCATTGCTTGAATTCTCAAAAGCCTTCATAATTGCCTCATGTGATTTTTTGTTTTCTTCAATTTATTTTTTGTATTCATCCAATTAAACCTCCATGAATTCCATCTTTTATTACATCAAAGCCTTATCTTTTTCACTATGGCTTTTTGCTTATTTCAATTGATCATCCTTAGTTTTGATAAGATCTTCCAATCCTTGAACCTTTTCTAGTAATTCATTGACTTAATTATTAGCATCACTCTTCAACATTTATTACATCTATTCCTCATTTCTCTTATATTCTCTGATTTCTCTAGTCAATGCTTAAATTTATTCATTTTATTCAAGATTTTATTTTGTTAAACTTCTTTCTTTGTGTTCAAACTTTTTGAAATCATTTTCAAAATTGGATTCCTTCTCAATTAATTCATTCTCCATCTCATTCAATTTCTCTTATAAATCACTGAGTTTCTATTATAATTATCTCACCGTTTAGTCAGACTTAGTTTACTAATCTTTTGATTATAGACTATGTTCTTTTCTGAGATTCTTAATTTCATTCTAATAATCAACTTCCTTTGCATTCATCTCATTGACTAATTTTTCAAAGAAGGTGATTTTTTATTCCAAAAGAGCCCTTTCTTTCTCAAACTCAGAGTTTCCAAAAAGAGTATTCCTCTCCATATCCTTATTAAATTCTTCTGCTTTTAGAACTTATCCCTTTAATTCTTAAATCTGTCTAGTTAATTCAATTTTTTCATTTTCAGATTCTAATTTTAAATCCCTTTCAACTTATTCCTTTTATATTTTAAGTTCTTCTAAATTATCTCTAGCAACCTATTCCCTGAGTTCTAAATCACTTTTTTCACTTTCTACTTGTGCCAATTTCATCAACAGATTATTTTTATCTTTCAAACTATCCTATCTTGCTTCTTTCAATTCTTATTCTAATTTTTTCTAGGTTTCAAAAGCAACATTTTTCATCATATCTGTCTCTTGAGCATACTATCTAATAAATAAATTTGATCCTTCAATTAAGGCTCTTTATAGAAATTCTAAAATGATTTAGTTTCTAGTTCCCACTCTAGGTCCATTTTCAATAAAAAAATTATAAAACATCTTGATGTCTTTTTCATACTCTCCAAAAGATTTGTATTCTCCCATTTTAAGTTTTCTATCTATAGGCTAGAATTCTTATTAAATAAATTAAGAACACATTCTTGAACCTTCTCTATCATTTTCTTATTTCACTGCAGCAAATCGTTATTTAATTCTTCTTTATAATTCTAATTTGTATTCGTCAGCATCCCCAACACATTTCTTTTTGAATAATGCAAATGCTTATTCTCTAAGACTTCTATTAAATGCTTTCAAATCTTCATTAGAAATTGGAAACCTGTTATGAAGATTTTCCTTAAGGATTTATTCATAAGTATCAAATGCTTCAGCAACAGCTTTTTAACATTCATTCTTGCAAATATAAGTCCAAGCAGATTCAATGGCAGGCACAGCTCCATTATTAATGGCTGTAACATAAGAACGAATTAAATCACAATACATTTAACCAGAAAGTGTCTTTCCATTGAGCATTTTTGGCCTTATTCTATTGAGTATTTTTTTTCGCAGATTAATAACCTATTCAAAGAATTCAGGTCTTAACTTATCGAAATCTAAGTTCTCTAGATTTTGGAGACTGCTCTCTTCAGTCAAAGGCCTTACCAATGTGATACAATCTCTATCCTTGAAGAATGTAGTTAACAATTTTCTAATCTTATTTTTTTGATCAATTCCTTCTGAGGATCCCTTTTAGATGACAAGGGCATTTTCTAAATAATCCTTGGATGTAATTTATTCTCTGTTCTTATCTACCAACTATAGAGTAAAGTCTCTCACAACCCAATAAAATTGAGGAAAGTATTAAGACAAATCTTCAAGCTCTTGAGGTGATTACCCACTAAAAATCACAAATTAATATTTACCTCTTTAATTAAATATTTTTAGTCAGATTGACTACAAGACTAAGGTTTTGGAGAGCATTTTCATCGATACTGCCAACTGAATTGTAGATGAAACATGATGTCAATAGAATAGTTAAAGAGAAAATTCTGATGTCATGTGTCGAATCTTCATCTGGAGCCCCCAATCCTTCGCTATCTACAACCAAGATTGAACAACTTTCTCCATCACTTGTTTAACCTAATAATGGTTTGCCCCACATCCAAAGTCCCTTAGTACATGGCAACACTGTTGGACCAACTCCAAAACCATCTGATCTATTTAATAGCATTCTATTCAAAAGGTATGATTTTCCAGTTCTATACATACCTGCCACACCTACAATTCCTATTGGTGATGGAATATTTTTTATTATTTCAATCGCATCAGGGTTTACTTGATAAGCTTTGATGATTTAGCGAATATTTACTTTGAGTTTCTTATTAGTAAAAAATAAGAGGCATTGCTTCTTCTTTGAATGATTTCTTCATTTTGTGTAAATTTGAATTTAAAATTAATGAAATGTATAAATAAAAAATTAACTGTAAAAACAATTGATATAAAAATAATTAGTTGAAAAGGTCTAAAAGAAATTTAATAATATATTAACAGATTTCGATTTGCTATTTAACATAATTATATTAAGTTATTTATGATTTATATAATTTCCAAGTCTTTTAACAATGCATAATTAGATGAATTATTTTATCCTTAATTTTAATTTTGAAATCTTTTTGCAATTTTTCTTGAAATAAATTTATAATTTGTAAATTAAATTTCATATCCCATTCTTAAAGGACAAATCAACAATTTTAATAACAATATTGGTAAATTTATATAAATCAACGATTAATATCTCAAATCTATGGAAAATAGAAATTTTTGGCATAATTAATGTTTGTAATAAATTATTTAAAAATATGTAATCCATAAGACCAATAGAAGACCCATATTATGATATAACAAAGCCAATATGATTTATTTTTTTATCATCATTAAAAATTCAACGACCAAATTAACACTTAATAAATCAGAACAATTAGAAATAATTTCTTTAAGATTTAACCATACGAAATTCCCATACTTATCCCGAAAACATTGTCCCTTTTACATTTATATAATTATGCATTACCATTTCCATTCCAAACTTTTCATTTCAACTTTATCTTTACTTTATACGTTTATGAATGGGCATGATTATAAAAAAGCGTTGAATTCCTTATTCTAATTGACATAAAGAATATATTTGAGAGATGTACAATTAATATTCTGGGGAATTCGCATAGGAAAATTTTATGGTTGGAATAATCTTGAATATCATTATTTGTTTATAACTAAAAACTTAACAATTTATAAATTAACATAGTTCAAACATTGTTTATTTATTCGATTATAAGTATAAAGAAAGTAGAATAAGATAGTTTCTCGAAGTGTTTATGATAGTTCTCAGAAACTGAAATTATAAAACTAGTTCTAGTGCCAATTTCGAGTCATTTAAATTCTTAATAAAATGTTCTTGATAAATCTCAGGATCTGACATGAATTTATATATATATGACCACACATATGATCAACAATATGATTCATACAATAAGCTCCGATATCACTAAGATTTGAATGAGGACAACATAAATTAGTAAAGGTATACATTATTTGTGGACTTCGAGTTCTATTTTGGTAGAAATAGATAAATATTGGATGGGAGGAGGGGGAATCTGGTAAATTAATCGATTTGAAAGATATTATGGGAAAGAAAGCAGCTTCCGTTTTTGAGGTAAATAAAAATAAGGATGATAATAAACATGTTTAAACAATTTTGAAAATGATTGACATGGACCAGTGAATAAATATATTTTATATAATTTAAGAACTCCACCCAAAGAAAACATTATACATAATTAAAAATATATTTGAAATCAATGCAAGGCAATTAAGGTTCCTAGAAGAAAGATATTGAATTTGGTTCTTGTCCTTTTTCAGAAGCAATGAAGCCTCCCAAAGGACATGAAAAGTATACAGATAAATCCAAATGTCCTTTCCAGTAAATGCCGCAGCAACCAGAGATCAAAATTGCAGATGGAAGTGCTGAAAAGAAAAAAGAGAAAAAAGAAAAGTAACCCAAAGGAGGATGTCCATTTATGTCGAGTGAAAAAAAAAGAAATCCGCCCACTAGGCCACCTTGAAGAATAATATGACACTTATTATATAAGTCCTTTGAATTATCTACTTGATACTCGTGGATTGTGGATGTTGGCATTTGATTCTAAGGAAGTTAAAAAAGGTAAGGCTCTCTAATATTCAATCTTAGGTCCAATTAAGGATAGAAGGAAAGTATTCGATACATATCCAACTTATTTAAAAAGTACATTGTTTCATGATGACGAAAACACAAAAAAACTCAGACAATGCGAAGTGGCCTAAAGATTTTTTGTTTATGATAAGTTTAGAGAAAAAGGTATTAATAATTTTCATTACCAGGAAATAAACTATTGCAAAAATAAGAATATGATGAGGCTATTAGATATTATGAAAGAGCCTTGGGATGTTTCCGTTACTTGGAGGTAGTAGAGCCCCCTGAGGAAGAATCTGATGAGGAGGAAGCAAATCAATAATAAGACACCTCAAATATGACTGAAAAGGAGAGAAAGGAACTGGAAGATATGAAAAAATCAGCCAAATAATATAGGAAAGAATAAAAGGAATTCAAAAAATAATACAAATCATTAATGACTATTTACACTGATGAAAATGTTAAATACAATGGAGTTGAGCATATTCAAGTAACCAATTTATTCATTTCCTTTAGGATGAGGCTGATAAAGAAATGTGTAATTCCATAATGTATGGTCTGTATCTCAATATGTCTGTTTGTTATATGAAGATGTCGCATTTCGATTTAGCAAGAAAGATCTTGGATGATGCAGGTGTTATTTAGAAAGAAAATTCATAATATTTATTTAGGTATTCTTAAGCGATTTTATATGATAAATGGTCTACTTATAAAGATCTACTAAGAGCAAAAGAACTTATTGAGAAAGCTATTAGTTTGTCTAACGTTGAAAACATTTTCAAATAAGGTCCTGGAATATTGAAGTTGATGGGCTTAGAAAATGCCAAAGAAATCTATGTTGAACATGCACACAGAGTTATGGAAGCATTGAAATTAAAGAAATAGTGGGTTCAAGAAATAGTGGAACCACTATTCTTAAGAGCCAAGGAAATCGATGAAATTGAGTAAGAGATGATCGAAGATGGCAAAGTACCCTATGAAGAAGGTGTTACCGATGTCGTTGATCCAGATGATTTGATTCAATAACAAAATGAAACAGACAAGCAATTCTTATATAGAGTGTGTATGCCACAATTGACACAAGAACATCAAGAATATGAAATTGTTAAAGAAATGGTTAACAAATATTATAGAATAATTGAGTTTTACGCTGTAATAAAATAATTCATATCTTTAGGAATAAAAGAAATATGATTAAGTTAAGATTGCAAAATAGGAATTATAAAGACTCCTAGAAACTGTACAAACAATGTCATTCTATATGAATTTGGATCTAATTGATTATGAAAATGATGAGATACTTAAAGAACTTGTAACCAAACACTAAATAAATTTTACTGACAGGAAATATGTCAGAAGATTGATTAGACTTTGTAGAGAAAATGTGACTGAAATCTTTGGTTAAGGAAAATTCAATTTCGAAGTAATATTCTTATTCAATATTTTAGGTGTTTGAATATGCTATGACAGATTACTTTAAGAAAAAGAGGGAATAAGAAGAAAGAGAAAGAGAAGAATACTTAAAATAACATCCTGAACCAGTAAAACCAAAACAAGAGTCTTCGTTCTTGAAGAAAACCTTATTTTCAACAGAGTTTTGGATGCAAGTATGATATTCAATCGATTATTATTAGATGCTCGTATTATTATTGGTAATGGGAGCCATGTTTTATTTTAATAATAATACAGGTTTTATTGGCAAACTTTTCTCCCTCAAAAAATGAGAGCATACTTGAAAATGAAACAATAGATCATTATTTTTATATATTAAACATAATTGGATTAAGTCTTAATTTAATTTCTTAAACAATTAACTATAAACTCCTACATACCAAGAAGAGTTATGCCTCTATTTGAACAATTTTGAATAAGAGATTAAAGAAATAGTGTGTGAAACCACTTATTTTCAATTTACTCTATTTTCAAGATAATATTGTAAATTAATTAATTTTTTATGAATAATAATTATGCTATATAAATAGAAAATTGTGTATTTATATCAAGAATCTTAACTTGATTTTGATGATTCTGAATCTACTATTGTAGATTTCATTTAACTAACATTCTGGTTGTTTTAATAAAATCCCAATGGGAGCCCGAGAAATTAAAGATACGATTCAGGTGCAGATTTTAAATAGCAAGAGTTTAAGAGAGTCTCTACAAATGTTTCAACAATAACTTTTCTTCCATCACTATTTTGCTTATTTAGATTTTTCTCAATATAATCTTAAAATAGAATATTAGTATCCTTTTCAGTTAAATATTCTTTTTTATATTGTTTCTTTAGAGCCTTTTGAATTCTCAATAATATTTTATGTCTAGTCCAAGTTATGTACTCTTTTTTATCTAAAACAACCTAAAATTAAGAACTTTAATTACAGAAAGATTATATTTAGCAAAGGTTTTAAATGGCATTCTAGATTATCCTCTCGATATCGAAGTTACAAAAACCCTAATTGGCTGATTCTTTTATTCTTATTAGATTGAAATAGTTTGAGAGAAATATTTTTCGCATATCATCTTGATGATTTAAAAAAACTCTTAGAATAATCTTTGTTTCTATTCTAAATCTTAACATAGGAATATAAATTTGTCATCTTTATCCTAATTACACACTGCCAATTGTAGAACCTCGTTTTTATCTTCTTCTAAATAGGATTTTTCATCGAGAAAAGCATATTCTAATAATCTTTCATTTATTCTCTATTCGCTAACTTATGTTTTTTTTGACAACACTATTAAATCACTACACAAATATAGCTGTACAAGTTCTTCTTGACCTTGTCTTAATAAGTAGATTGGTTCGGTTAAAATAAAGTTCCTAGTTGATTCGACTATGTTCTAAGACAAAACATCGAAAAACTTTTTTTGCAGATCAAAGAGAGCCTAATTTCTTAGAATACTTAAAGTAAATAAATATAATTACCTTCCCATTTATTTGTCTATTTGGCCTGTAACTGAATGAAATGACTCAAGGGTTTTTATCAGTTTATCATAATCAGGATGGGTTTTCCAAGTGTGTTTAACTAAATCTTTTAATAATAAGGCATATTTTGGTAGTCTTTGTACAGGTTTGACTAGAAATGAATTTAAATCACATCCTCTAAATAAATTGCCTTGTTCTAAAATGTTCAAATGATTATCAAAGGCTGGATATGCTTATCGTAGGTCCCTAATTTGATAATCCTTGTATTCATAATAATATTTGAAGTATATTTTAAAATAAGGAATAAATCTTTCTAATACATTTCCGAAACATGAATTAGGATGATAATGAGAAAATTATTCTAAAATAAATATTAAATCTTACACTAGATATCCCTATAAAACATCTAATTGAAATTGTAAATTTAATTGAGATTACTAAAAGTTATTTATATCTCATTTTCTGGTAATAACTAAAATTAATCTGCCGCTATCATAACGTTATGAATGATAGACTTTAAGTCGGCTAAATAATCTTTTTCTGTCATTATCAACTCTAAATAAACATTTTTTCTGTATTTTGCCCATTTTTTCATATTTTTATATTTTTTTCTTTGTAAATGTCCTTTGTAGTGAGATTGAATTATTATGATTTTTTTTCTTTAAAATTACAACAAACATTTACTTCCATATTGATTAGTACTTATCCAATAATAAGTCAGGAATATTTAAAATTTAACTAGATCCTAGTATGACTTAATCAAAACATAATGATTAAGATTTGGAGTGTTCTGTACATCCTGTTTAATTTGTAAGTCTATAATCCTCTTTTCCATAGACATCTTAGGACTAGAGCATATACAAATAATCTTTCTCATTCATTTATGATTATTTCATAGATAAATATTTACTATATTAAATAAGGATATGCAATTATGATTTAATCTACAAGATGAATATGGAATTAATCATTAAAAAAGTATCAAAAACATAAACAAGAAATCTAAAATAAATACATTTCAAAAGGTTAGATCTTCGCCAGAATTTCAGGCGATTCTTTTTTAAACTGTTAAAAAAATAAAAATTTTAAAACATTTATAAGGAGTTCATTTGGATTTTAATTTATCAAATATAACTAAGTTAATTTGATGGGAGAAAGATTATTTTAATTAAAACAAAATATTTAAGAGACAGAATAATCTAGAATTTAATGAGCTAATATATTTATTAAAATAGAAGGATTTGAGAAATAGTATTTATAGTATATCTATGATTTATTATCAATAAATCAAAAAAACCATACGCATATAAAAATAGAAATTCTATTCTTGTTTATGAAATGCTATAAATTAGTAAATTGTGTGTCTTTTCTGGGCGAAAACTTTTAACAATTTTTCTCAATTGAACAAGGGTTTGATTGGATATATCTGAATTAAGCCAAAACCTAGTGTTTAATCATCAATTGATCAGAATAATAGAGGGTTACGGTGATTCTTTTTCTATTAAGCATAAATATGTATGAAATATTAAAAGATTTAAATAATAAATTATTTATTCAAAGAAAATGTAAAACAGACTTAACAAAGAATTGCAAGATTTGACTTAAACAAGTCCTCTTCATGGTGTTTAGATCACTGCTGATGCTAATAACAGATTATTGTATTTAATTTTATGTATTTAAAGATGGACAGCCGTAGTTGCAGGCCCAGAAGGCACAGCTTATTAAGGAGGCAAGTTCAAATTGTCCATTACATTCCCAGAGAACTATCCTTTCAAAGCCCCCTAATTTTTATTTACAACAAAAATTTTCCATCCCAATATTACAGAGAAGGGTGAGTTTTGTGAAGATATGATTGAGACCAAAGTAAATGATGATAATATTATTTTAGGATTAATGGCAACCAACTAAAACTGTTAAATAAGTCTTAGAGAAAATCCTAAACATCATGGGATAAGTTAATACTGAATAAGCACTAAACCAAAAAGCAATGGAGTTATATAAAAGTGATAAAGGAAAGTTTGAAGAAGCAGTAAGATCAGAAACCTAAAAATACGCTTAATGATGAGCATTAGTAACATATATTAACAATTATATCTTGCTTTATTTCTTTCGATTCAATTATAATTCATAATTGCGATTGTTTATAATTTTATATAAATAATTTATTCTAGAACAATCGATATTTTTTAATTAAATCTGCGAATATGTATTCTTTAAACTAATTCCTTCAATTTGAGATGAAAATTTCAATAATTAGATTAGATATATTCTAACAAAGTCAAAAAATGAAACTTTTATAATGGTTCCTCAACCACGAACCTTCATTCAGTCTGCATATATCTTCTTTAATATGTCTTTAGTATGTATGCAAATCAGTGTTTAATTGAATTCTTAAATAATATTTAATTTCTTAATGCTCACAGAAGTATAAGGCGCTAGACCTCAGTCAGCTAAAAAACGAGTCAAAGAAAGAAGCGTACTGGATGCTCTTCACAGGGTTAGAGAATGGAGAAGGATATTTGAGCAAGGGAAATCTTAATAGAATACAAACTAACCAAGAATTAGTCTGCAAGAAGCAGCCAATCTTGTTTAAATCCCAAAGAAAACTTTAGAAGACTATGTTCAAATATTTAAAAAAGTTAATTTGATATGTAGGATTGAAGACTTTGGTAATAAGAGAATGGGATTTCTTAGAAAATTAATACAAATAAATTAAGCGTATATTAAAACAGTTGCTCATATAAGAAAGTAAAAAAAAAATCAATTTAACAATGCCAAAAAAGAGGATCCATATTAAAGTAAAATTAAGATTGAATTCGAACATAATGCCGACGTTTAAAATATCAAAGAAGAGTAATTAGAAACCGTTACAATATAAGAGGTCAAGTAAGAGGTAAAATAGGAGGAATAACAGCCAAAACTAATTTTCAACTGAGAATAAATTGTGAAAAATTATTTGTGCATTCTTCATTTTTTATAATTTCAGTACTAATTTTTGAATTTAATTACTAATCTAAAAAAATTTAATTAATTTAAGAATTTAATATGGAAATATGTTCAAGCTAATATACTTATAATATATATATATGATTTCACCATTCACCTTCCTCAAACAAACTTTCATCTTCATCTTCATCCCTATTCCGTCTATGTCGAGCATTTGGATCTAAATTTACTCGAGGATCAGCATTCATACTATCACAATCGAAATTTATAGCTGTTAGTAATTGTTTCTTCAAAATCTAATGATTAAACATATTTAAATACATCCTTGCTAGAATAGTTAGGTAATTCTAAATTAAAGAAGCAAGTATCTGCTTTAGGCAGAGCTTTGTTTGGTTGTTTAGTATTTACAGTAGAAGGTTTGATCATGAATCTAATTTAATTTCTATCGAATTCTTCATCATTGGCAGGTAATCTCTCTTGTCCCCAACAGAATTTAATGAATCGCAATTTCTCTTATTCTGATAGTTCATAGAGAGCCTCCCAAAAGTATTTGATTCTTTCACTGTTTTCATTTAATTCTCCAGAATATCTTGTATGTCTCTTTAAGAGATCCACATCTACAATAGGTCGTCCACAAACCCATAATTCTAAGTCTTCAGCTGACACCCCTAAAATTTGATATTAAAAGATATATACAATTTAATAAAGGCGAGGGTATAATTTTGACTAATCCTTTGATGAGACTTTCACATTATAACTCACTTTCAGTACATTTGACTTCCATCAATTTGTTAATGTACTCGAGTCTTTCTTCATATTTGACTGGTATCTTACTGCCATTCTAAAAAATAATTTATTTAAATACCTCTTTTAGTTCCTGTACACTCTTGTCAGTTCTGAGAGTGACCCAATTTTCAAAAATATTCTCTTCAAATGTTGACTCAGGACATTCTTACATAAAATTAATTAAATTGCACATTGTTGCATCGATTTGCTCAATGTCTTCAAATGTGATTTTCTCACCTACTATTTGTTTCCAAAATATTGATGGCAAATCCAAAGAGAAATGAGTGGCTGTTCTGATTGCAATAGCCATCAAAACTCCTAAGTATTCATACAGGTGTAAATAGTAATTAGACCTTGCACTAGGATTCAAAACAAATTTATCTTTGTGATTTCCCAATTTTGCCTGATTGTTGGTTGAAGGATATAATAATAAAGAAGATGATTGCAATTCTTTACTGATATCGGCAAAGAACTATCTATAAGGACCACTTTCTCCTTAGACATCCTCGCCCTTGAAATTGACCTCGAATGCTAAGAATGGATCAGTTCCTTGAGGTTTTATCGGTCTTAAGAGAGTGGGTGGGATATTTTTCATTTGTTCGTAAGCCATAGTAAATAAGAAATCCTATTGGTTTGCTTTTCCATTACGATTGGCCAAACGAATACGTTCTACATTGATCTTAGGTGGTGAGTCTCTACTGATACTTGTTTTGTTAAGCACTCTCTAAACTATGTCTACCTTTGTAGGAGTCATGCACAATTGTCTTAAAACTTACATATAATTGCCCATAGACAGAAGGATTGTATTTTATTGGAATTGTTATGAAGTACCAATAGGAACATCCATATTGATAAATTATCCACAAGTCTCTAAGTATCTATTGAATAGTTTAATGATTGCCCAAGATTGCCTAATTACTAAGAGTGGAGAATTCACAAGATCCTAATATTTAGTCAAACAATTGATAAAATCTGAATAATTAATGGCCTATTCATCTATTTAATTCCTTATGTTTCTAGGGTTGTAAGTTCTTACAGCTTTGGTTTCTTTGCAAATATCGAATTCAATTAATTTAAGGAGGTGTTTCATTTATTAAATGGGTAGAATTTAGATGGTCTTTGGATTATTAATTAGTTGATAATGGAAATCATAACCTAATGATTCTAAATGTTTCCAACATTCTATTGCATCCATACTGCTCATTTCTTCCAATTGTTTGGGATTGATTTATTTTCTGAAATATTCTAATCTGTTAGTTAAGAACTCTTTTAAAAAGGCTTTGGCTTTATCAAGGATTTATTTGCCAGAAAAGATTTGGAAATTGTTTTGAAGTTTGATTTCTTGTATTTATTATAATTCAGATGTGAGTTATTATAATTTTAGTTTGCAATCCTATATTTTTTGTTATTGTAATTGCTGTTATGGTTATTTGGTTTGTTGGAGCTTAGATTTATACGTTAATTACTTCTGCTTTTTTTCTTAATATTTGTTGAGTTATTTTAATTGATTCTATTGAGCTTCGATTGCCTGATTGACTTGATTTATTTTTTATTCCTTCTCCATCTATTAATCAGCATAGTACTTCTTAACCTTCTCCTTAATCCTTTCAATTAAATCTTCGAAAAACTACTTCTCTCTTCTATCAGCCTTTTCATCTTCCTCATCAACATTGATCTAAATTTACTATTACTCTTATTATTGGGATTAATCTTCAGCTCCTTTGTAAGGGATTTTATTGGCAGGAGCTGGATTTTCGCATATTGAACAATGTGATGAATCCCAGACATTTTCAGCATATGTACACATTTCACATTACCAGAGTTTCACAGCATCTTAGACTGGTTCAGGAGGCAACTGTATTTCAACATTTTCTAAATTTAATTATTGAAATCCATCAATCAGAACAATTGCTTAATTTTTTCTTCTAAATATATCGATTGTTGGATTTAAGATTCTGACTTATTGTTCTTGTAATACGTCTTGAATATCACAAGGTAATTGATTCATGTAAATCAGTTGATCCCATTGATTAGACTACAACATTCCATTGATCTGTTCAATTTATTCATTGTACAAGGTCTTACCACATTTAATGAATTCTGCGATCTAAATTAAATATCGATAGGCATTTATCCAATCTGGAATCTAGATTTTTGTCTTGTTGGGAATGGCTACTGCCAATAATTCACTGATATCTTAGAGATAGGATGAATACAAAACATTAGGTTCTACTTTTTGAATATTATATATTTTGACAGCATCATTTATTAATTAAATAAGCAATTCATCCTTTAGAGTTTCTTCTGAAATAGTTTGTAATTTGCGAACATTCCTAATTAATAATTTGATGATCGATTGGTTTAAGATATGAGGTTGAGATTGATACGCTTTATCTAACAGATGATTGATGTTCTTCAAATTCGGAATGTCTTTGTTTTTGATGAAGATTGTGCTCATTTAATCAATCACATAACAGACAGTGTTCCACAAGGTTGGAATTTTATAGACAACACAAGGCAGACGAGAAACACATAACTTTTATTGGTAGATTGGCAAGGCTTCACCATTGAAATAGTACTCGCAATAAACACTCTTCTGATTGAGCACAATAGGAGATAATCTACCTCTTGTCTCTTTGCCACTGCTTATTGTGTAAAAGTCGTTGATACCCAATTTATCCTTATAGAAATTGATGCCAGAACAAGTGCACAGAGTTGCATCATTCTTAAATACAATAGCCAAACCAGCAATATCTAAGTCGGAATTGAGTTCTAATGGTTTCTTATGAGATTTGACTAAATCCAATATCAATTTGTTGTTATTGACAGATTAATGAATTTAATCAAAACACTTAGACAACCAGCTGAAGATTAATTCAGGTTTCTCCAAAAATTGGTTTAATTTCTGATTAGTTTTAGTATTCCCATCTATTAATTACTCAGTTAACCAGCCATTAATACAAGAGCCTTCGAATTGCATCGCTAATTATAAATATGTGATTGGATCAACGTTGATGGTTTGACTCTGCAAAATGTACAATTGTCTGGCTTATTTGCTGAGTTCCAAGTCTAATTCTCTGTTGTATTCTTTTAAGATTGTCTCCTATTGATAAGCATTAGCATTTGGGGGAATATACAACTAAACCTGTTTAAGTGCACTGACAGGGAACCAAGTGGCATACAGTTGAGAATTATTGATATCCATATGTGTAATCAATATCGAAGATGATCTTTAATCAACACCAATGATTTGACCACAAATGAAAGTATGACCTTGCTACTTGTAATGCAAGTATTCTTTTGAGTACAACTATTCTGATGTTTTATCAATGAGTCTACAGAGAACATATTGTCCAGCTTAGACTTCTTCTATTGTTAACGTACTCCAGTCATGATTGGACTCTGGAATAACAACCCCGTTTGGCATTCTCTGATCGCATACAATGTAGGCTATTTCCAAAGCTTTATTTTGTTCTCCTTTTCTTAGTTGTTATCTAATTTATTCAAAGAAGTCGTCAATCTCATAGGGTCTCAAGGAGCCTTTGACATAATCGTATATTTTGGGTAAGATGTTCTTCTCCCAATATTGAACTAATTTCAATTCGTTAGAGACTATGCAAGCTTCAGGCAATGATTGCATATATGTACTACCAACAATAATTGTATTGTCAACACCTTCCACAAAAGGGTCAATCTTATGATCATCTTATTCACCTTATTAGGGTTATTGGGGGAAGTTAAGAGTCTTAGGGATTTCTATGGGGAAGAAGTAATTAGGTGTCAGTCTGCTATCTATTAATCGTTCCCATGCTTGAATGAACTTATTATCTCCTTAGTAAAGATTAGCCAAACTTAATATTTTCTCTGCAATTCTCTCTACATTGTATCCCTTCCATTCCAATTTGCTAGCAATTATGAAGAGATTCCTCAAGATGAATTTATCATTCTCTTTTTCGATCAATTCTAACATCTATTCTTGAGATATCAATTAAGGGATATCTTATTGTATTAATTCGATTTCATCTAATTTTACAACCTGTAAATTAAGTTTATCATCATTATTTGACAGTATTTTCAGTTCCTTCTACCCACAATAATCTCCTCCTGATACTACGTATTATTTATCATATGACTTGTGCTTCTTAATTTAGACAGGGATTCCTGGGGCTACCTATATTAATTATTAAGACAGGATGGTAGTGT